GTGCTTGCGTAACTGCTTCGCGAATCTGGCCCCAGGTTCGTAAGTGCTTGCGTAACTGCTTCGCGAATCTGGCCCCAGGTTCGTAAGTGCATGCGTAACTGCTTCGCGAATCTGGCCCCAGCTATTCTGAGTCTGCAGGCAGGACCGGGTTACTGCGCAGACACAGAAGTTCCAGGAAATTCTGCTATTTGCCCCTCGGCCCTGTCAAAGCTTTATCCCGCACTGAATACTTACTATCTTGCCTATTAATCAGCCTAATCTATTATTTTTCCTATGAGGTTATCTTGAGATGATTTCTGGGCTTAGCGTCCCCGCGGCCCGGTCCATCGACTAGGCCTCCTTTTTGTTACACATCCCCCAGGAAGCAGCCCGTAGCAGCTGTCTAACTCCCAGGTACCTATTTACTGCTAGGTGAACAGGGGCACATCAGGGTGAAAGAAACTGTCCATTTGTTTCCGCCTCCACCGGGGATCGAACCCGGAACCCTTAGGATTACGAACCCCGAGCGCTGTCCACTCAGCTGTCACTGCTAGGTGAACAGTGTCATTTGGTGAAAGGAAAACGTGCCCAACCATTTCTGCCCCGCACGAGGTAACTTTCCCTGATAACTGATAACTAGATGAGCATTTTCTGCAGCGAGGGCGGACTCTTTCAGTAATTTGGAGTTATTATCAATGCAATTATTAGGTCTAAAGAGTTACATACAAGTTATATCTTGAGATGGTTATCTTGAGATGATTTCGGGCTTTTAGTGTCCCCGCGGCCCGGTCCTCGACCAGGCCTCCACCCCCAGGAAGCAGCCCGTGACAGCTGACTAACACCCAGGTACCTATTCACTGCTAGGTAACAGGGGCATAGGGTGAAAGAAACTCTGCCCATTGTTTCTCGCCGGCGCGTGGGATCGAACCCAGGACCACAGGATCACAAGTCCAGCGTGCTGTCCGCTCGGCCGACCGGCTCCCTATAGCCACCAATTACAGAGAGTTACCATAGCTGTACAGTAACAGTGGTACTTTATTGTCATAAAGGTTACAGTGGTAGCAGGAGTGTCTGTGGCAAGTTACAGTAATGACCTTTGATCGTTACAATGGTGACATTTCAGCATTGTTACAGAGAGCGAGCAAGAGAAAGACACAGCCTACATACATATTATACACGTGTATAGACACAGCCTTCATACATATACACGTGTATAGACACAGCCTACATACACATTATACGTGTATAGACACATTATACACGTGTATAGACACAGCCTACATACATACATATTATACACGTGTATAGACACAGCCTACATACACATATTATACACGTGTATAGACACAGCCTACATACATATTATATAGACACAGCCTACATACATATTGTCTCTTACACGTGTATAGCCTACATACATATTATACACGTGTATAGACACAGCCTACATACATATTATACACGTGTATAGACACAGCCTTCATACATATACACGTGTATAGACACAGCCTACATACATATTATACACGTGTATAGACACAGCCTTCATACATATACACGTGTATAGACACAGCCTACATACACATTATACACGTGTATAGACACCGTGTATAGACACACGTGTATAGACACAGCCTACATACATTATACACGTGTATACACAGCCTACATACATACACATTATACACGTGTATAGACACAGCCTACATACACATTATACACGTGTATAGACACAGCCTACATACACATTATACACGTGTATAGACACAGCCTACATACATTATACACTACATACATACAATTATACACGTGTATAGACACAGCCTACATACACATTATACACGTGTATAGACACAGCATTATACACATAGACACAGCCTACATACACATTATACACGTGTATAGACACAGCCTACATACACATTATACACGTGTATAGACACAGCCTACATACATATTATACACGTGTATAGACACAGCCTACATACATATTATACACGTGTATAGACACAGCCTACATACACATTATACACGTGTATAGACACAGCCTACATACACATTATACACGTGTATAGACACAGCCTACATACACATTATACACGTGTATAGACACAGCCTACATACACATTATACACGTGTATAGACACAGCCTACATACACATTATACACAAGTATATAGAGCCACAAAACATGAACAAGCAAGAAGTTTCTCTTCCATCCCCTTTAGGTGCATGTTCATCAAGTTCTTCATGAACTTTCACTCCACACTGGACGTGGGTGTTCCTAATACACACTACCCCCATGTGGTACACAAACATCTAATCACCTGAACCCTAGGAAGCGAGCCCAACAGTTTTATCAGAGTATCAAGTGTTTAACAAATTAACAAATACCGAACATCTCTGATAAATTTAAACCATGAACACTTTTTTTTAAGATATGCGAGGCCACGAACACAAGACCTGATAACTGAGATGAACAGTTCATGAGGAACATCTCTGATAAATTTAAACCATGAACACTTTTTTTTAAGATATGCGAGGCTACGAACACAAGATCTGATAACTGAGATGAACAGTTCATGAGGAACATCGCTGGATATACATGCTCACCGCTCATAAGTATGAGTTGAGTATGCAGGTCCAGCCTGGAGTCCATACCTAGTTAAACACAAGACAAGATTCCAAAGAGAAGATTCAGAGGTACGCCACCAGACTGGTTCCAGAACTGAGAGGTATGAGCTACGAGGAAAGGCTAAGGGAGCTAAACCTCACGTCCCTAGAAGAGTGAGAGGAGACATGATAACCACCTACAAAATTCAGGGGAATTGACAGGATGGACAAAAACTCTTTAGCACGGATGGAACACGAACAAGGGGACACAGGTGGAAACTTAGTACCCAAATTTATTAAGATATTAGAAAGATTTTTTCAGTATCAGAGTAGTTAAAAAATGGAATGCATTAGGCAGTGATGTGGTAGAGGCTGACTCCATACACAGTTTCAAATGTAGATTTGATAGAGCCCAATAGGCTCAGGAACCTGTACACCAGTTGATTGACAGTTGAGAGACGGGACCAAAGAGCCAGAGCTCAACCCCCCCACAGCACAAGCCACACCGGCTACAAACACCTATTAAAGGAACTTGTAATTTACAAGTTGTGAACACCCATTACCCAAGCCTACTGCCCGATAACGAGACAATCTTTTAACAACCAATAATTCTCCCTGTTGTATAATACAGTTTTCCAAAAACATACATGAAATTTTGTATCACTGGTGTATACAGAAATATATATTCATATAGTGGTTGTAGACGTAATTTTTTTTAATCTTTCCCAGCGTATTAGCGTTACTAATCAGTTACAGCAAATTGATTTTTATTAGTAATAGGCTTTGGTATACAACATATTGAACAGGTTCAATAGTTTTACTTATCAATTCAATATGACGAATTATTATAGTGTGTAGAGCAAAGGCTATGAAGCTAAGACTTAAGCTAGTCTTAAGAAAACAGCTAGAAAATCACTAAGTCTAGCCTATAAGTCTAACCCATTAGTCTGCAAACTCTGGATAGAGCACAAGAACATAAACAGATAATTAGTTTATACAACAAAGATAAACAGGTAAAAGTATATACAAAATGAGCTATAAGAAGAATGTTGGATAGTTAGATAGAGTTAATATATACTATGAATGAAGTCGGCTTTGTTCGGATTCGTTCTCTCGACCCCCAATCTAGCATTCCGGGTTCGAATCCCGGACGGGACAGAAATGGTTGGGCACATTTCCTTTCACCTAATGCACCTGTCCACCTAGCAGTAAGTAGATACCCAGGAGTTAGTCAACTTCTTGTGGGGTTGGTAATTGTACGTCCCACTTCTATATCTATCTATATATATATATATATATATATATATATATATATATATATATATATATATATATATATATATATATATATATATATATATATATATATATATATATATATATATATAGCTCTAATCAAGTTGTTGGTCTCCCTATTGGGGGGGGATTAATTATCTGTAGCTAATTGGCAAAATTAGAGATATTCCAACCTAATTCTGACATTTATAATGGCACACTGAATTGGTCTCGTCTAGTGGATATTGTGTGCTGCTTGTATATATATATATATATATATATATATATATATATATATATATAGTTATGGTTTTATCAACTTTATACTCATGCTTTAATGCTCTTTAAGTGTCACTCTCTTCTTGGCTATCATTAATAAACCAATGATTTAGTTCTCTCTCTGTCTGTCTCTCTCTCTCTGTCTGTCTCTCTCTCTCTCTCTCTCTCTCTCTCTCTCTCTCTCTCTGTCTCTCTCTCTCTCTCCGTTTGTCTCTCTCTCTCTCTCTCTCTCTCTCTGTCTCTCTCTCTCTCTCCGTTTGTCTCTCTCTCTCTCTCTCTCTCTCTCTCTGTCTCTCTCTCTCTCTCCGTTTGTCTCTCTCTCTCTCTCTCTCTCTGTCTCTCTCTCTCTCTCCGTTTCTCTCTCTCTCTCTCTCTCTCTCTCTCTCTCTCTCTCTCTCTCTCTCTCTCTCTCTCTCTCTCTCTCTCTCTCTCTCTCTCTCTCTCTCTCTCTCTCTCTCTCTCTCTCTCTCTCTCTCTCTGTCTGTCTCTCTCTCTCTCTCTCTCTCTCTCTGTGTCTCTCTGTCTCTCTCTCTCTCGCTCCGTCTGTCTCTCTCTCTCTCTCAACTAAATCTAAATGTATTACATTTCAATAAAAAACTAGTCTTGCATTATTAAAAAAAATATTAAATTTCAGATTAGGCTTCAAAAAGTGACCAAAATACAATTGAAAATGTCGTTAACAAACACACATGTTTTAACTTAAGATTCAAATATTAGTAAAACTAGTAATTGTTAAGAATTAAATATAAGTAAAACTACTAATACTTAAGAATGAAATATAAGTAAAACTACTAATTCTTAAGAATCAAATATTAGTTAAAGTTATATGAATATAAATCAGCTTTTCTCACTTACCAATGACAAGGATACAGGACAATCCTCCGGTGGCCCAGAGGATGGTGCTAGAATACTGGCAGAGGCGCGCCACCGACATGGCTCCTCACAACACCACAAGCGCACTGCTGAGCTGCTCGCCCACGACTGACGCTCCTCAGACCTGTTGCTCGGGCCGGGAGGTGGCTGCCGGCGCTCTTCCACCCACGTTGTCGTACCGCATTAAGATATCTAGATTAAGGACCTGCCCGAAACGCTGCGTTTACTAGTGGCTTTACATGATTGTAATTACTATCCTATGTATCCTCACAATCCCAATGTATCTTTTTGTATATAAATAAATAAATAAATAAATATTCACTCATTTACCCACGTTGTCGTACCGCATTCACTCATTTACCCACGTTGTCGTACCGCACTCACTCATTTACCCACGTTGTCGTACCGCACTCACTCACACCCACCTGTGTATGATAATAATAATAAACATAGAAATCACATTAACGTGAAATTATAATCACGTTATTGTGATTTGTGTGTGTATTGAAGTAGGTAGAATTATTTGGGAGGCCAGAGTGCTTGGGGGGGATTGTGTGGGAGCCTAGCAACCCTCATAAGTGCAGTAGTACTTCAGGCTGCAATAATTTTATCTCGTGGTGCAGTTGGCTAGAACCTGTCTGGGAATACTCAGTGCACGGGTTCGATATCCTTCAAGGCCCTTGTGGATTTGTTCAAATAATGAGTTACAAACATAATGTTGGATTTCTAGAGCTGGTATATACTACGCCTTAAGCCTAAACATCTTATGGTACAGCTAGTGAAACGTATGATATATATATATATGCCTATGGGGGTCTGACGGCTGAGTGGACAGCGCTCGGGGTTCGTAGTCCTAAGATTCCGGGTTCGATCCCCGGTGGAGGTGGAAACAAATAGCCAGGTTTTTTTTACCCTGATGCTCCTGTTTACCTAGCGGTAAATAGGTACCTGGGTGTTAGTCAGCTGTCACGGGCTGCTTCCTGGGGGTGGAGGCCTGGTCGAGGACCGGGCCGCGGGGACACTAAAGCCCCGAAATCATCTCAAGATAACCTCAAGATAACCATAGTACAAACATTGACGTAAAAGGCAATTCGATAGTTGTATTTGGTACAATTCAATTTATAGTCCGAAAAAATAAAGCTAAAAACCGTTAAATATTCCTAAGCCTAGTATATGTATCATACTAGTCCTAGAATAGTACATTTATGTACTATACTAGGTCAAGTATAGCACATATATGTACTATATATAACCTAGTCTAGCACATATATGTACTATACTATGTCTCAGATAGCGTGTATGAAGTCTAGGAATATTAGGCTTTAGTTTATTTTTGAGATATATACAAGAGTTGTTACATTCTTGTACGTTAGTTTAGGTTGTCATTACAACAATATACCTTTTCATGTTACCTGATATATTAGCTTAAGGACCTGCCCAAAACGCTATAAGTGTTTGCATGAATGTAAAATAATATCTCCAAGCTTCGTCTTGAGGCAAAGCTCAACGCCTTAAGTCATATTGATGCTCTGTCCACAGACATTCTCTCTCTCAAATCATATACACTGATGGTTCCCTACACCACCCCACGGGTGCAGCTGGAAGTGCAGTTGTCCTGACAATGGGTGATGGCTTGTACTTTGAGTGGGGAGTCAGTCTAAACAACTGTACCCATCAGACAAAACTATTTGTCTTGCTTTTTGCACTGAAATGTGTACAAGTCTCCAAACTTGGTACATTACTTGTAAGTGACTCTCTATCAACCTTAATTGCTCTCAACTCTTTAAGACATAACTGTAACATGCTCGTGTCTGAGGCTAGACACAAATACAACAAAATTATTAATGATGGTAACAGAGTCCATTTCATGTGGACTCCATCTCATGTTGGCCTCCTAATGCATGATACAGCTGATGAGTTAGCCAAAGAATTTGCCTTTAAAGGAGAAATTGAGTATAACCTTGGATTGCCAATAAGCAGTCTGAGAGCAATAGTACATCAAGAACTTCAACAAAATCTTGTTGATCTGAGGCAAAGTGAAATAGACACCAGTAATTCCATCTATCATCATACTATCATGCAAGAGGAGCTACACATCTATGGATCATCCCATAAAATCAGCAGACTTCTAGATGTTACTACTGCTCGGCTGAGACTCGGTTACAAATATCTCTGGGAATTCTTATTATCTGCTGATATAGACCTAACCAAACTGTGTCAACAAAATTATTCGCACACCCTCCGTCACTATGTAATGGAGTGCTGAAAGATACGTGAATTCAGAGACAATTCTATAACCAATGTTTCAACAATGTGTAAATATTTCATTCAAATTGATCTGCAAATAGGAATCTTAGCCAAATATCTCAAGTTTGCTAACTGTAGGTAGTAACTAAGTGATTGTAGCCTATCCACCGCTGCCCACTGGATGGGGGGCGGTGTGCAGGACAAACATATAAATTGTGACACTATGATTGATTGATAAAGATTAAGCCACCCAAGAGGTGGCACGGGCATGAATAGCTCGTAAGTGGTGGCCCTTATGAGCCATTACCAGTATCAATAGATGATACTGGAGATCTGTGGAGGTGCGACTGCACCCTGCGTGACGGGAGATGTCTCCTGTGTGTGACACTAGCTCTCCACATATGTCAGTTGCTTAATTTAGACACTGTACTTGTGGTCGATCTCGAACCCATTGTTGATGTAACGATGGGCATTTTATTTTATAACTAGTTCATCAAGATTGTAACTTGCTTAGCTAAATGAATTGTGGGGTTCAGTCCCTGAACCCATTATGTGCCTCTGTAACCCTTTCCACTATCACCCACAAGATGAGTATGGGGTGCATAATAAATGAACTAAACTAACTTATGTAATCTCACTAGCCCATTGTACCTTCTTGCAAATAAATTATTAGTATTATTAAATAAATACAAAGCCTATTCCGGTTTGTCTAAATCCAATAGTCATGATGTCTACTTTCTAATTGTCCATTATGTCATATATGTACTATGGTGCTCATCGTTACTATATGTACAGTACTAACAAAGCAGGAGGATATCTTGAGATGATGTCTAGCTCCCTGGTACCTATTTACTGCTAGGTGAACAGGTGCATCAGGGTGGAAGGAAACTCTGCCCATTTGTTTTTGCCTTCACCGGGGATCGAACCCGGAACCTCAGGACTACGAATCTCGAGTGCTGTCCACTCAGCTGTCAGCGGCCCCTTAAATAAAATCACAGCCCACAGGATGGGGTTGATAGATGTTAATCTTCTTGTTTGAGGAGCTGTTCACTTGAGACAGTTAAGCAAGTCCCAGCTGTGTCTGGGTACAAGTGACAGGATGAACAACCCAGTGGGTTTTCTTCCTATTGGGGAGTGTTGTACATGCTGCTATGGCGGTGTGTCCACTCACAGGATGAGTGGCGCTGCCCAATACTGTCACTATGGCGGTGTGTCCACTCACAGGATGAGTGGCGCTGCCCAATACTGTCACTATGGTGGTGTGTCCACTCACAGGATGAGTGGCGCTGCCCAATACTGTCACTATGGCGGTGTGTCCACTCACAGGATGAGTGGCGCTGCCCAATACTGTCACTATGGCGGTGTGTCCACTCACAGGATGAGTGGCGCTGCCCAATACTGTCACTATGGCGGTGTGTCCACTCACAGGATGAGTGGCGCTGCCCAATACTGTCACTATGGCGGTGTGTCCACTCACAGGATGAGTGGCGCTGCCCAATACTGTCACTATGGCGGTGTGTCCCCTCACAGGATGAGTGGCGCTGCCCAATACTGTCACTATGGCGGTGTGTCCACTCACAGGATGAGTGGCGCTGCCCAATACTGTCACTATGGCGGTGTGTCCACTCACAGGATGAGTGGCGCTGCCCAATACTGTCACTATGGCGGTGTGTCCACTCACAGGATGAGTGCCGCTGCCCAATACTGTCACTATGGCGGTGTGTCCACTCACAGGATGAGTGACGCTGCCCAATACTGTCACTATGGCGGTGTGTCCACTCACAGGATGAGTGACGCTGCCCAATACTGTCACTATGGCGGTGTGTCCACTCACAGGATGAGTGCCGCTGCCCAATACTGTCACTATGGCGGTGTGTCCACTCACAGGATGAGTGACGCTGCCCAATACTGTCACTATGGCGGTGTGTCCACTCACAGGATGAGTGACGCTGCCCAATACTGTCACTATGGCGGTGTGTCCACTCACAGGATGAGTGGCGCTGCCCAATACTGTCACTATGGCGGTGTGTCCACTCACAGGATGAGTGGCGCTGCCCAATACTGTCACTATGGCGGTGTGTCCCCTCACAGGATGAGTGGCGCTGCCCAATACTGTCACTATGGCAGTGTGTCCACTCACAGGATGAGTGGCGCTGCCCAATACTGTCACTATGGCGGTGTGTCCCCTCACAGGATGAGTGACGCTGCCCAATACTGTCACTATGGCGGTGTGTCCACTCACAGGATGAGTGGCGCTGCCCAATACTGTCACTATGGCGGTGTGTCCCCTCACAGGATGAGTGGCGCTGCCCAATACTGTCACTATGGCGGTGTGTCCACTCACAGGATGAGTGACGCTGCCCAATACTGTCACTATGGCGGTGTGTCCACTCACAGGATGAGTGGCGCTGCCCAATACTGTCACTATGGCGGTGTGTCCACTCACAGGATGAGTGGCGCTGCCCAATACTGTCACTATGGCGGTGTGTCCACTCACAGGATGAGTGGCGCTGCCCAATACTGTCACTATGGCGGTGTGTCCCCTCACAGGATGAGTGGCGCTGCCCAATACTGTCACTATGGCGGTGTGTCCCCTCACAGGATGAGTGGCGCTGCCCAATACTGTCACTATGGCGGTGTGTCCCACTCACAGGATGAGTGGCGCTGCCCAATACTGTCACTATGGCGGTGTGTCCACTCACAGGATGAGTGGCGCTGCCCAATACTGTCACTATGGCGGTGTGTCCACTCACAGGATGAGTGACGCTGCCCAATACTGTCACTATGGCGGTGTGTCCACTCACAGGATGAGTGGCGCTGCCCAATACTGTCACTATGGCGGTGTGTCCCCTCACAGGATGAGTGGCGCTGCCCAATACTGTCACTATGGCGGTGTGTCCACTCACAGGATGAGTGGCGCTGCCCAATACTGTCACTATGGCGGTGTGTCCACTCACAGGATGAGTGGCGCTGCCCAATACTGTCACTATGGCGGTGTGTCCCCTCACAGGATGAGTGGCGCTGCCCAATACTGTCACTATGGCGGTGTGTCCCCTCACAGGATGAGTGGCGCTGCCCAATACTGTCACTATGGCGGTGTGTCCCCTCACAGGATGAGTGGCGCTGCCCAATACTGTCACTATGGCGGTGTGTCCACTCACAGGATGAGTGGCGCTGCCCAATACTGTCACTATGGCGGTGTGTCCCCTCACAGGATCCTCCTGTTTAGATAATACTGTGCTTACAGGATCCATGTGTGCCATCATACATATATTGACATAATGGACATTTAAAAAGTATAATTTGGTACCATTGAATTTGGATAAACCGGAAGAGGTTTTATATTTATGCTGCTAATAAAACCTAACCTAATAAAAACATGATAATAGACCCAACCTAGGTCTATTTTATGTTATATAAGGCCTAGTATGGTACATATATGTGCTATACTAAGCCTAGGAATATTTAAGTTTGCTTATCAGCTATATTTTTCCAACCTATAAAATGAACAATACAAAATTCTACTGTCTAATTGTCTATTACGTCCATATATGTACGATGGTGCACATAGTTACAAAAAGTACAATCTAAACAAGAGAATGGGTTGACATTTGTGTATGCACAACTGGGGGGGAATGGGGAGGTCCGACATGAACCACAGTAGTACAGTAGTACAGTCTGGTTCACTCTCGACTAACAAGCGCGAATTCCGGGGACAGAAATGGTTGGGAGTGTTTCCTATCACCTAATGCCCTTGTTTACATAGCAGTAAACAGGTATCCAGGAGTTAGTCATCCTCTTGTGGGGTTGCATCCTGGTGAGGATCAGTAGTTCCACCTTGTGTCTCGCTCTCACTCTACTTGAAAAAGGAGAAGCGTATGGTAGCACAGGGGTCAGGACACAGAGATGCACTTTGAGTGGATGAGGAGGGCATGCTTGCCTCATTGCATTGAGACAGCCTCACTGTCCAGGAGGAAGGCATAGAAGTGGGCACAGTAGCATGCCACAGGGAGGCTTACCAAGGGTGTCCACCGGGCCATGAAGGAGGGAACAGGTAATGGGGAGGTGGGCTTATAAATTAGTTAATGGGGACATGTGTTCCTGACCCCTCTCAGCATCGTTCAGTTTAGGAAGAAACCCGTGGGGTCTGGCAGGTCATGTACCTTATGTGTAAAGGCAATAGCACTGAGGTAGGAGTGAAGGGTTTTTATCTTGAGGTTATCTTGAGATGATTTCGGGGCTTTAGTGTCCCCGCGGCCCGGTCCTCGACCAGGCCTCCACCCCCAGGAAGCAGCCCGTGACAGCTGACTAACACCTAGGTACTTATTTTACTGCTAGGTAACAGGGGCATAGGGTGAAAGAAACTCTGCCCATTGTTTCTCGCCGGCACCTGGGATCGAACCCAGGACCACAGGATCACAAGTCAAGAGTGCTGTCTGCTCGGCCGACCGGCTCCCTACTCTATGCAGTGCAGTAGACCAAGCTGTGCTGTAGGAGGCTCCGCAGGAAGTTGGCTCTGTCTTTCCAACTTCGAAGTTTCCTCACACCGGCTATTCTTTGGCTATACCCACTTCAAAGTTCACCCAAAGAGTATCTTGTCCTATATTTAATTCATTCATTCAGTTGGCCATCAGGCCAACCAAGTGGCAGGGAGCCACTACCAGCTAACACGCCGCCTGGCAATGACTGCGTGCTCACCCCTCTTGGCTTCACCAGCCCTCTGTGTAGACAGTTTAAGGTTTCACGGATAAGGTAGCCGGATGCGGAGAGATGGCGACCGGGATGGCTGACGGTCATTAACACCCGAGGATTTGATGGGTTATGAAAAAGAGCGTTACAGAATAAAAATTTTTTACCTGGGAGGTCACTGATAATCACCTTACCTTACCCAGGTGGTGAAGGGAAGGAAACTATAAGGAGAAAGTGCCAAGCCATTATAAGCTCATTTATAAAACTCAACATAAGCATATTATATTTATTTTACACACACCAATCATTTAACTACTAGGTACCCAATCACTGCCGGGTGAACACAGGCATACATTTAAGGATTGGCACCTAGTCAATCCTCACCGGCCAAAATACAAACCAAGCCCAAATTGCTCGCAAAGCGCTAGGCGAGCATACAGTATTACCAAAGGGACCGGTGTGTGTACTAATTTTCAACACTTTCTACGACATAAATATCTCAAATGACACCCTAGTGCATAATTTAGAAACAAAAAAAAGTGAAAACAACTTAGTGATATTGAAATTGTTACAAAAATATTCACAGGAACTCTTGGCACTCACCTGGCCTGGGCAACTCTAGCGGGACACCTGCAGCACGAACGCTTATTAATCTAAAGCATCACTTTAGAAAGTGAAGCGACGACAACATTTCCCTCCGTCCTGGACCATTCTCAAGTTGACTGTGAATGGTTCACAATCGACTTATCAACCAAATACCACAACCAGGTATCAACCAGACTTGAGAATGGTCCAGGACAGACCGAAACATCTTCGTCGCTTCACTTTCTAGAGTGTAACTTGGTCAACATATTCCAGCCACGTTATTCTGACTCCTTGTCTACATCACTTTATTTAATTCTTCCATCAAGATCAAAGTATCATACAATCTATTTGTATTATTTTCCTGTGATCAGGGAATGTATTTTAACAATAGGAGAAATATAAATTTCAATTTATTTATTCGCGCACATGAGGGTTGTCATATAGAGTAATCAGCCCATGGTTAATGATTAAAATAATTAATGTGTATTTAAAAATTTAATCATGGTTTGAAAAAGTATATACATGACCTAGTTAATAGCAAACAACAATGGGAGAAAAAAAATTAATTTTAACATGCTGAAATTTCATTTTCACAAACAAAAAACAACAAAACAAATTGGCATCAGCACAAAATGATGAGAATAAAATTGACATAAAAATAGTTCATGGTAAAATTCTTTCAATATACTATATAACTAAGCAAGAGTTAAGATCATCACATAGTCAACATTACCGGCGTATAAAAATAAAATACCATCAAATTTTTTTCTATACAAATCTCAAGATGATCAATCTCAGGATAGCATCTCAAGATAGCATCTCAAGATAGCATCTCAAGATAGCATCTCAGGATAGCATCTCAAGATAGCATCTCAAGATAGCATCTCAGGATAGCATCTCAGGATAGCATCTCAAGATAGCATCTCAAGATAGCATCTCAAGATAGCATCTCAAGATAGCATCTCAAGATAGCATCTCAAGATAGCATCTCAAGATAGCATCTCAAGATAGCATCTCAGGATAGCATCTCAAGATAGCATCTCAAGATAGCATCTCAAGATAGCATCTCAAGATAGCATCTCAGGATAGCATCTCAAGATGCTATCATTATGCACCGGAGGTTATACAAGAGACCTCTCTCTCACATACATTGATTTTCTGTAGTTTTTAACTTAACCCTTTTTTTTTATATATTTTTCATCATAACATTTAATATTTAATGTCTTTTTCACTTGTATATTTAGTATTATTCATTAAAATACAACAATTATACCATTTACAATCAGACCTACCAACATTATTTTTGGGAGGGTGTATTCAATGAAGAAATAATAATACATTTTCTTTTTGCCCTAATATCATGTATATTATACAACACTACATGATTCAATGCAATATAATATTTTAATATTGGGTACATTTGGCTCATTCTTTTTTTCACAAACCACTGCTTTCATAAAGTATCTATGGCAGGCGATGAGTCTCAATAATGTGGCTAAATTATGTTGACCAGACCACACACTAGAAGGTGAAGGGACGACGACGTTTCGGTCCGTCCTGGACCATTCTCAAGTCGATTGTGTGATTTACAAAATCAACTTGAGAATGGTCCAGGACGGACTGAAACGTCGTCGTCCCTTCACCTTCTAGTGTGTGGTCTGGTCATCAAAGTATCTATGGCAATTGTAAATCATTGTGATTATAAATTATAGATATACTGTAACAGATATCATGAAATAAAAATTATTTCTATAAATTGTATAGCTCTCAAGACCTGCGGTGAATTTCTTCCCTCATGTTATCAACCACCTGCATATCTTCCTTAAGAACGCAGACCACCGCCTGAAGTGCATCGTGCTGCCAAGACATGTACTGTGAAACATCCTTCTCCTTGTCACTAACGAGCCCATAGCGTTGTGCTCCTCGAGAGCTTCCAGGTTTCACCGACATCTGAGCCATCAGTTCATTCAAACATCCCTGCAACATTGAAAGCTCTCGGTTAAAATGGCGGGACAAGTTGTACTGTACCTTGAGGTGCTTCCGGGGCTTAGCTTCCCCGCGGCCTGGTTGTCGACCAGGTCTCCTGTACATGCCAATAACAAATTACACTGATATTTACCCAGATCTTCTGAGAAAATTTAAGCCATGAGAGTAATGAAACATCTGTCTTTCTCTCCCTGGGGGGCACCTCCACTGAGCTTAGGGCATTACACAAAAGTAGACATCTTCTTGAGGTTATCTTGAGATGATTTTGGGGCTTAGCGTCCCTCCTTTTTTGTTACACATCCCCAGGAAGCAGCCTGCAGCAGCTGTCTAACTCCCAGGTACCTATTTACTGCTAAGTGAACAGGGACATCAGGGTGAAAGAAACACTGACCATTTGTTTCCGCCTCCACCGGGGAACGAACCCGGAACCTTAGGACTACGAATCCCGAGTGCTGTCCACTCGGCTGTCAGACCCCCTATCATAACAGACTTCTGTGACTATCTCCTGCCAAGTGCCCAAGACAAAATAAAAGAGGTTGTCAGCAGCTAAGATGGGTTTGAGGTTATCTTGAGATGCTTTCAGGGCTTTTTAGTGTCCCCGCGGCCCGGTCCTCGACCAGGCCTCCACCCCCAGGAAGCAGCCCGTGACAGGTGACTAACACCCAGGTACCTATTTTACTGCTAGGTAACAGGGGCATAGGGTGAAAGAAGGACCACAGGATCACAAGTCCAGTGTGCTGTCCGCTTGGCCGACCGGCTCCCAAACCTCATAATATAACCAAAGTGGCAAAACTAACCTGAACTTGAAGGAAGCAGGGTCCATCACAGAAGTGAAGACTGAATTTGGCAGAGGTACCACAAATAATAATAATAATAATAATAATAATAATAATCTTTATTTAGGTAAGGTACATACATAAAGAGATTTACAAAGTTTGTTGGCTTTATAGATAGAGCTAGTACATACAATGCCTAAAGCCACTATTACGCAAAGCGTAAATGGCCCTTACAAGCACTCAAATAGGGAACTCGAGAAGAAGGACAGCTCCATTAAAAGTCAAATACAGTATGACTTGATATCAAGGCGTATACATGAAAGAAGAACTCATGCAAAATATCCAAAGCAGTATGCCACCACTTCATCCAACCATGTGATTCATACGTCAGGCTGCGAGCAACCGCGTCAAACAGCCTGGTTGACCAGTCCAGCAACGAGGAGGCCTGGTCGACGACCGGGCCGTGGGGACGCTAAGCCCCGGAAACACTTCAAGGTAACAGGTAACTAACCAGAATTAAAGATGTCAATGTTTCTGTTAAATATTCACTCTTAACAAAATGATTCTCTCTAGTCTTATACCGACTGTGTTGTGCACTCTAGGCACTCAATCCTTGCTACCTTACACACTAACCATTTCTCTCCGCCTTCTAGGTGTTACACTCCTACTACTTTCAAATTCGTTCACATAGTCTCTTAACAATTCAATCATCCATTAATTGTAACCATCTCCATACACTCTCCTTAATCTTAGGATTTGCTGAATTTTTTTTATTCCATATCCTTCCATGACATTCATCCCTTACTCTGTTTACAAATGCACCTTAGATTGATCATTATCACAGCTGTAATTCATGATTAATCATGCCTATGACATACCAGCATATCACAACTGTACATAATGGTAGGAACTAATACCCTTCATGATGCTCTCCAGACACCTGCTAAATACCTGCCTGATGGGGTTCTGGGAGTTATTCTACTCCCCCCAAGCCCGGCCCGAAACCAGGCTTGACTTGTGAGTCACCTCTCCTGCCTACTTTATTATTCCCAGCCAGGGATTAATATGACATCAACCACCTTACTTTTCTGACTTACTTTACTCTCAACTTCTCTTGCACAAAATCCTATTTGGACAATTACAAAGCCCAGGTATTTAAACTTATCAACCACTTCTAGGATCTCTCCGTTTACCATGATTTTAAATACCGAGTTTCCTTCTCTCTTCGCAAAAATTACTTATTTCACAAACACTTCCAGCAGCCATCCTTCAAATACAAGCATTAGTTATACATTTAACTAATTAATCTTCATAGTCATCTGTACAAAACTAATTTGATAAATTATATTTATCTCAAGCAGTCTCTAATGTCATTTCCTTTTCAAGAATGTTTACCTTAACCTCTCTCATGACCCAATCTTTATACACACACGAAACAACTATGGTGATAACACACAACCCTGACATACTCCTACATTAACATCAAATACCTCACTACACTATAAAAGTTAACGCATAGTCTACACTCTGTATTAAATCTTTTCAAAACACTGAAAGATCTTTCCCTAATTCCATACATTCTCTATGTTTATTCACCTAGTTGTGCTTGCGGGGGTTAAGCTCAGGTTCTTTCGGCCCGCCTCTGAACTATCAATCAAAAAATTTTTTCCCACACCCACCAACCACCAGGAAGTAGCCCATAGCAGCTATAATTCCCAGGTACCTAATTTTACTGCCAGGTGAACAGATTCATTAAGAGTGAAAGAAACTTTGCCCATTTGTTTCCGCTATCGCCGGGGATCGATCCCCTGGTCCCTAGGATTATGAATCCTGAGCTCTGTCCACTCAGCCACAGGCCCCTATGGTGTGGTAGCTGCTCGATGTATGCTACAGACCCTTGTATTCCTTACATCAAATGCTTTCGTCAAGATCATTAATACAGTACATCTTACAATTTTTCTCACATGCATTTTTTACTTGTTGTATAAATTGACACCCAGCACTGTAGATTGCATAACGTTCTACATGTTTATATTACACATGTACTAGAAACTCAGTATTGTATAAATAAATGTATATTTTGAAACAAAGAAGGGAAGGGAACTATCAGGAGAAAGTGGCAAGGCATTACAACTATATAGCACTAGGAAGGGATCATGATAAAGATTTGGGATGGGGCCCAGGGGAAAAGGAATGAAATAATACCATTAATAATATATATTATCACACTTCTTACCCGGTATTGCGTGGGCTGCATCAGCTGCATGTACAAATCCTCCAATCGCATTCGGATCTGCTCCTCTGTTTGGTCTAGTGGTACTCCTCTTTTTCTTTCAACCTCTTGTGCTGACACCAGCTAGAACATCAAAACATCATGATTATAATAATGTAATAATGAGAATATCAATTGGAGCCGTGAGGAGGATTCGAACCTGCTCTCTCGATACTCCCAAGCACATGCCTTAACCCAGTGGACCAGGATATGCTACAAATAATGCAACCTGCAATTTAATTGAATACAAGGGGTCCCTGAGGTATCAAATCGATACCAAATCAAGGTTTCACACATTACCCCACATGCACTCTGGTGTGATATATATAACCAATTCTCTCCAACTTCTAGGTGTTCCTCTCCTTCTACATTCAAATTCATTCACATACACTCTTAACAATTCAATCGTCCATTAAATTTAATGAAGTGACGGTCTGGCGTCATGCAGGTCAGTGTTCAATCCCCGATCGTCCACAAATGGTTGGGCACCATTCCTTTCCACCCTTCTCATCCCAAATCCTTATCCTGACCCCTTCCCAGTGCTATATAGTCGTAATGCCTTGGTGCTTTCTCCTGATAGTTCCCTTCCTTTCCCCCAAAAAAGCACTTCAGATGCACAAAGAAATCGCATCACTGTGATGTATCAACGAGAAAATCAGCCGAGAGTACCCAGAGTGCAGGCACACTCTGGGTACTGTCTGGCTCTCCAGATGGCTCGACTGATTTTCTCTTTGTGTATCTGAGGCTGGAGCACATGGTTTATGAACACCTACACCAGTGTGTGTGTAGGACCATACCTGGAGCATACCTAGAGAGGGTTTCACAAGTCCTTCTACTCCCCAAGCCCGGCCTGAGGACAGGCTCAACCAGGTTATAAGGAGTTATATGGAAAATTTTGACTGGCTTTAGTAGAAGCTGCCAGACTTCATGTGAATTCAGTGGAATCCCAGGATGTATAACTGATACCATGTCATGGTATAGTGCTAAGGTGAGCAGCTGGGAGTATCTAGATTGCTGGTATAATTCACCTCATTCCTCCAATTGATTTTATCATCTAACAGGGTCTTGGTGGCTAGGTATCCAGTCAAAGTTCCTTGTCACACTCGGGTTTGAACTGCCCTAGGCTGGGTTTCCAGGGCTTGTGCTTCTTCCATGGCATTGTAGCTGCTGCTCCTCCTCCTCCTCCTCTAGTAAATCCCATTTTCCTTCTTTTCTGTTGCATGTTAGCTTCCAGAAGCCACTATGGGGTTCGCTCAGAAAACCAACATTGAATGTAATGAAGCAGCCCTTTCTGGGGGAGCCCTAGTGGCTCCCCTGACTTACTTTCCTCCTACTAGGTACATTAGTTTGTGATCCATCAGCTCTGGACTGAAGCAGTCGCCGACCTTGAAGCCAGGAGATTCAGGACACTAACTGTTTGCGGCTTGGCTCACTAGGGGGGTGTTTCATACACCATTTCAAGTGAACCATTTAGTTTTTGAGTGATTCTTTTGCTGTGTTGGCCACTTTGATGCTTCATTTTTACGAACAATGTAGGTGTCTGTCTGCACACTGTCTCCTCTACTTCTAGTTATATTCCCGGTTAGGATGATTATAGCAATTCTCCGCTTCTTGTGCCTCTTCAAGGGGAACCAAGATCTGGCTCTGGCCTCCTGTGGGCCAATAGAACTACTATGATTGATATGATTTATTGTTGGAAGCTATCTCAACAACAGTTTCAGCAAGCCATAAGGGCTTACTTAGGAAAGGGAGTTTCTTCACATTCAATGCTGGTTTTTCAACAACTATCGAGCCAACCCGGGGCAGCCCATGAGGTCCACATGCTCTAAACACATTTTAAATATACAAATATTTATTTAACAGGTATATGTGAAACCTGCTTGATACCTGCTTGATGGGGTTCTGGGAGTTCTTCTACTCTACATTAAGTATTATTACTGTACATATATTCCATCTATTCTCGCTGGCAACTCTCAAACCATCCAAGGCTCATGCATGAAGGGGTGTCTCTTCCAATGACTTAAGGATCATTGAGCAGAGCGGACCTGTGCTACGGGCATTCACTTGGTTTTCAGTAGAGATATACCATGCCTAGTGATGCAGGCGATGAGTCACAATAACGTGGTTAAATTATGTTGACCAGACCACACACTAGAAGGTGAAGGGACGACGACGTTTCGGTCCGTCCTGGACCATTCTCAAGTCCTGATCATTCGACAATCGACTTGAGAATGGTCCAGGATGGACCGAAACATCGTCGTCCCTTCACCTTCTAGTGTGTGGTCATGCCTAGTGATGCTGCTCACTCTACACTTGTCCAGCAGGAACATGACGAGACATCAGTGATATTGCCATAGCAGGAACTTTACCTGCACAGCACACTCTTCAGTTAGTAAAGTGTTTTCTCTTGTTGTAATGTCATTATATAGTATAACAAATTAACATAGTAACAAGTGTTAATAATGTGTTCATTACACAACAATACAAATAGCAATGCACCCGTACTTATGTTTTGTTGGTGTTCATTGCACCCATTACATTATTATTCATTACATTATTAGTTCATTACATTGTTTATTTACCATGTGATTTTCCTGAAATTAGCTCATGCATGAGGATGAAGGCCAACCAATAATCATATAATGTAGGAAGAAAATAAACTCATGCTTACCTCATCTAATGGTGACTTCATTTAACTCAAAAGTATGATTATAAGTGTATACAAATATGAGCGTTATCATTTATGAACTAACTGTCATGAGTTTTACAAATTATGTTCTTCAGACCAGGAGGCCTGGTCGAGGACCGGGCCGCGGGGACGCTAAGCCCCGAAATCATCTTGGGGTAACCTCAAGGTAACCTTCATAAATAGTTCTACAATTTGGAAAGAGCCCTATATCTTGAGATGATTTCGGGGCTTTAGTGTCCCCACGGCCCGGTCCTCGACCAGGCCTCCACCCCCAGGAAGCAGCCCGTGACAGCTGACTAACACCCAGGTACCTATTTTACTGCTAGGTAACAGGGGCATAGGGTGAAAGAAACTCTGCCCATTGTTTCTTGCCGGCGCCCGGAATAGAACCCGGGACCACAGGATCACAAGTCCAGCGTGCTGTCCGCTCGGCCGACCGGCTCCCATATACCCACATACTGCAAACTGATCTATCTGTATCTCTCACCTATGAGACAGACACACAAGAATCAACAATAAACATCAATCTCAAACCAATTGTTACACAATGCAAGTAGGCAATCAAAACACATTGTAGTTGTTTAGATTCAGCTACTCGGAACAAAAGTTCCAAGTAGCACGGGCTATGGTGAGCCCGTAGTGGATTTACCTGACACAGGAGGTGGCAAGTAGCACGGACTATGGTGAACCCGTAGCGGACTTTAATCAAAACAATAAAACTCCCTTTATTGAAATCCCATAAACTTATTATAAACCAACCCCATTATGTCTTATATAATCTACACCTACAGAACCCCAAATTATAATTTCAATGCAGACACCAATTACTCGGCAGATCATGACAGACTCTATGGATACCTTGTAAGTATGTAATTACTAATGTTTCGATGAGCCTTGTGTACAGCTTCCTCTGTGTGGAAAGTATGGCTACAAGTGGGTCTAATATTGGAGTTTATTATGTACTGTATCTTGATGAAAAATATGATGTTTGATCCAGTATTGTTAGTCATGAGTACATATGTACTCCTGACATACATAAGTATCCATGTAACATTTGAAACAAAACTGCGGTACCTATGTTACCTAGCAGTAAAATAGGTACCTGGGTGTTAGTCAGCTGTCACGGGCTGCTTCCTGGGGGTGGAGGCCTGGTCGAGGACCGGGCCGCGGGGACACTAAAAAGCCCCGAAATCATCTCAAGATTTCAATATCTCAGAAATAAATACTAACTTTTAGAACTCGGCGAGTGATATTTGCTTGTTTCCACTTGGCGTTCTGGATGGCAGCTTTAACCATAGTCTGCTTGTGTCTTAATTGTGTTATATCATCCATAATATTCTTCATGCTTTCCTGAAGTTTTTCGCCGTGTTCTTCTTGATACCTGAAAATAAAAAAACCTGTAGGCTGGTTCATGCAGAAGAATATAATTTTTAGATATTAATCATCACTTTAATATTAAAAATGCTACTAACTAGAAGAAACAGCATAGAAAGTGTAAACTCCCTTATGAGAAATTCCTTACAGTAATACCAGTTCTCAGTAGAACACTGTATATTCGAAATTAAATGAAATCCAATAATATATATACACTGTATTCTATCATCCGAAGGCATACCTAGGATGAGAGGAAAATATATTAGTCATATGGGCCAGTGGGAAGAGGCATGATGGGAAACCCTTGAAACTAGGAACAAATCCGTCTCAAAAGGTCTTTGTTGACCTGTCTCAGTAAGTCTCGACAGGTCCTGGTTGACCAGACTACCAACTGGGAGGCCTGGTCGGAGACTGGGCTGCGGGGCCATTAATCCCCAATGGCCAATGGTAGGAACAAAGAGCTTGACATTATACGCAGCACCACTGAGAAGTCGACATCGTAAACAGTGCCACCTGACTTTCTATGACTTTTTTTTCCCCCCCATGGGGGATCGAGGATATTTTGGGCTCGGTGCAAGAGTAAAGTTAGCACACAGGTTGGATGTTTTCTGGTACCTTTGGTGACCAAAGCTGCCATCTGGTGGCACTTTATGATAATAGTGCATAGTTTGTTGAGATAATGCAAACTACAGTACTGCTTCCCTTATTCCATCCCCTCTCTTTAATCATGATATGTGCAGTAGTTTGTTTTGCTTCACCTGTGATTTCTTGTCAGTTTTCCTCTGCTTTAAATTTGATCTCGTATCCTTATGCACTTCACGCCTGTATATTCAGACTAGTTCTGGTCCTAGTCTTCTGTAGGTCTGTATAATTCCAGAAGCCTGGTAGAGTCTTTACTAGTATTTACTAATACTAGTAAATACTTTACTAATACTTATTAATACTGTATTTATATCTGTGACTAGTATTTTTGTCAATTTGGAGGATAGTACAATGTATCCTCCAAATTTCCCATATCAATTTAATGGATTCCTTTATATAATTGATAAAATCCTCCCGTCAAATCTAGTCTACAAATTTCAGATCTATCCCAAATAAATCTGGACCCAGACCAAGAAGCTGTGAGAGACAAGAGTGTCATCTCACCCCATAAAATAATTTAATTCAGATCCCATTTTTGTTCATATTGTATTTTGGTGTAATGCAATTCTTTAAATTATAAACGTTATTAACAAATATATATAGTTTAGATTTTCCTAAGCTTGTACTCTAAGAGTTGTACAAGAGTTTATGAAACATTTTTTCTGAAAGGTGTGTACACCCCACCTCTTGACCCAGTTGCTCCCCCGGAGGCTCCAGCCAGCCATCCACCTAACATATTCGCCAAGGGTGGTTAAGATTACACTTCTCGGCTGGGATCTGAGAGCTTCTCCTTTGTGCCGAGTGGTATTGGCAATCCCTAGAATAGTACTGTGCCAAGAAGAATTTCATTACACTCAGAGATCACACTAACGTGATGCATCAAATGAACAAATCCACAAGGGCCGTGACGAGGATCACGGCCTGTAGCAACTGTCTAACTCCCAGGTACCTATTTACTGCTAGGTGAACACGGGCCGTGTTCACCTAGCATCCTCGTCCTCATCACGGCCCTTGTGGATTTGTTCAAGAATTTAATTGCTTTTGTTCCAATACTGTTCCAGGATTGTGTTTAGATCTACCAACATTATGTGCTCTGGGTATGTACCAGATTTACCAACCCTGGTAATTGCCTAGATGTACTTACAGGAACTCACAGTTCCTGCAACGGCGCTGGAACCAATCGTATTGGCATTCGCCTTTCCATTGGGGACTTTCGGCGCCGTGGAGAGGGAGGACCTGCTGCCTGGGTAACAGCTTCTCCTCCATATCAACCTACCTTGGCTTTGCACCCTAGTGAGGCCAATCCAGAGCACAATACCATAGTCTCTTGAGACTGATGGATGCCTACTACTACTACTACTTACAGGATGAGAACTACGCTCGTGGTGTCCCGTACTCTTTGTCGTATAATGATTTGAAACTACCAACAGTTTTGGCTTCCAAAACATGCAAGCAAGGTGGCAAGCTTGCTCCACTATTGATGTCTTTTCTGAGGATATTGGGTACCTCTTCTGTGAGGTATTGGTATCTCTTGAATTATCATGGCTCTAGGTAATGCATGGAACTTGATCTACATACACAAAAATGTGTTGACGTGGAAGTAATGTAGTTAGTAGTAGGTATCCTGCAGTCTTGGGAGACTATGGAGTTGCGCTCTGGTTGCCGAGGCTGGAGTGTCCTCTCCAGAGCGCAAAGCCAGGGTAGGTCGTTATGGAGGAGAAACTGTTATCCATGCAGCAGGTTCCCCCTCTCCACAGTGCTGAAATTGTCCAATGGAAAGGCAAATGCCAATATGCTTGGTTCCAGCACTTGGTAGTTAGCAGTGTATAAATAGTGCCTGGCCCTGATTTCCAGGCATTTTAGTGCCTTGTATGTTTTATGGGTTTGTGCCTAGGCAGAACACATGTTAATTTTCCACATTTGTGGCTTCATACACCTTCCCTCACTGGAAAAATCAAGTCAGGGTTAGGTGTGCAATAACAGCGGCAGAGCTTTGCTAGCACCTGACACAAATGCCTGTTTGAGTAACAGTTTGGGAACCCAATATCCGTTGTCTTTAGGTGCGTTTACTTTACATTCACTAATGGTTGGACCGAGTTAGTTTCTCCAGCTGACTCAGAGAAGATCGAGTCCAACCACTTGGGGTGGACGGTAGAGCGACAGTCTCGCTTCATGAAGGTCGGCGTTCAATCACCGACCGTCCAAGTGGTTAGGCATCATTCCTTCCCTCCGTCCCAGCCCAAATCCTATCCCAGCCCCCTTCTAAGTGCTATATAGTCATAATGGTTTGGCGCTTTCCCCCTGATAGTTCCCTTCCCTTCAGAGAAAACCGTTCTTGCTTGCATTTTTCACAGTTTATTTTGGCATTTTTGTGAACACTTGGGTCTTCCGATTGCCAGTGTCATTCCACCTGAATTTATATTAAAAAAGTGAAGGGGTTAAAGCATTCCTCGGTTTATGAAATGGACAAAAACGGGTCATGCAAAGCATGTAACATTTATGGAATTGTTGTGAAGTATTACTATGAAAGAGAACAGCTTTAGGGACGATAATGATAAATAAACAGCCAAGGAGCACAGGAGTTACTTACTTGAACTGCTTCTGTAGTTCCTGGAATCCCACTTTTACAACTGGAAAGAACTTCTTGGGGTCAGGATTTTCTCGTTTACCCTGTTCCCACAATGCTGGATCAATTCCTGTAAACAAACATTTCATTTCTTAAGATTCTCATCATTTCCTATGTAGGTGTGAGTGATAATAGCTAATAAATGTTTACTATATATATTTGAAGATAATTTAAACCTTTCTTAGCTCTTTGGACTCCTTGATAGTGAACAATATTTAACAAATGTTGCAAACTCATCCCTTCAATAATCTGACAGAACATTTCCTGATGCAGAATTTCAATCAAATTACTTATCAAGTGTGTGTGTGATGCCCGTGTTCACCTCCGGCACTCCAAGGAGTGCCGGACCAACCGGGCTGTGGTGGGTATGTGGGCCTGCGGGCCGCTCCAAGCAACAGCCTGGTGGACCAAACTCTCACAAGTCGAGCCTGGCCTCGGGCCGGGCTTGGGCAGTAGAAGAACTCCCAGAACCCCATCAACCAGGTATCAACCAGGTAACCTAGCAGTAAATAGGTACCTGGGAGTTAGACAGTTGCTACGGGCTGCTTCCTGGGGGTGTGTAACAAAAAGGAGGCCTGGTCAAAGACCGGGCCGTGGGGACACTAAACCCCAAAATTCTCTCAAGATAACCATGCCCCTTGAATGTAAAAGTTTCCTTTACAATTGAACAATATACAGTAACTTTCCAAGGGAGTCACGAACGTGGTGTGTCCGAGAAACGCTTATTGATTACCGAGAGGCCAAAACACAGTTTTATCACCAGAAACCTAGAGCCCGGATAGTCGCTGTGGATATTCATGGATGGGTTCCTAGTGTGAAAGGTTCTCGTTATCCAATCTGTCATTTTTCTTGCAATTGTGATGGCTACTTTATTGTGTTCTTTAAAGGTAGGGTCTTCCGACATAAGTACACCCAAATCCTTTACATTGCCTTTTCGTTCTATGTTATGATTTGACTGAGTTTTGCATGTGGTTTCCGCTTTTATATTTTTATTTTTTTCCGCAGTGCATGAGCTGGAACTTATCTTCGTTAAACACCATATTATTTTCTGTAGCCCATAAAAAGACCTGATTTACATCTGACTGGAGGTTTGTCGTGTCCTCTATGTTGCCTACTCATGAAAATCCTAGTGTCATCTGCAAAGGATGATACAGTGCTATAGATTGTATCCTTGTCTATGTCCAATATGAGGATGAGAAAAAGTACTGGAGCAAGCACAGTACCCTGGGGGACTGAGCTCTTCACGGTTGATGGACCGGATTTTATTTTGTTGACTATTACACATTGGGTTCAATTAGTCAGGAAATTGTAGATCCATCTGCCTATTTTTCCAGTAATTCCTTATGAACGCATTTTATGTGCAATAACACCATGGTCATATTTGTCAAAGGCCTTTGCGAAATCTGTGTAAATTACATCAGCGTTTTGTTTGTCTTCCATGGCATCTAATGCCATGTCATAGTGGTCCAGAAACTGCGACAGGCAAGAGCGCCCTGTTCTGAAGCCATGTTGTCCGGGGTTATGGAGATGCTGTGATTCCATGTATTTTGTGATCTAACTTCTTAGCACTCTCTCAAAGATTTTTATGATGTGCGATGTTAGTGCTATCGGTCTGTAATTTTTGGCCTCTGCCTTATTTCCTCCTTTATGGAGTGGTGCTATCTCTGCTGTTTTTATTATGTCAGGGATAACGCCAGTATCTAGGCTTTGTCTACAAAGAATGTGAAAGGCCTGCGATAGTGGTGTTTTACAGTTCTTGATGAATATGGCGTGCCAAGAATCAGGGCCTGGTGGAGAGTGCATATTTCGGATTTCTCTCTATTTCACTGATGGCCTTTTGCTCACTTTGTCTCTCCTGGGTTTTGTATGATTCTTGTAGCTTGAATTCAATTGTTTCTATTTCTCTACCTAACCTTCTTCGCCGTTCTTGAGATAGAGTGCAACTCTCAAGTTATTCCGCAATTCGTTTTCTTCGCCTATAGAGGGAACAACATTCCATTCCAATCTGCATCTCTTCCTCTTTTTTTTCTTAGGGGTATGCAGTTTGAGCATATTTCTAGTGCTACTGAGGTTATTTTTTTCAGGCACTTGTTCAGGTTTGCATTTTCTAGCTGTTCTTGCCAGTTTATTTCTGTGAAGTCTTGGTTTATTTGCTCCCAGTTTATCTGTTTATTACTGAAGTTAAATTTGCTGAAATCTCCTCCACCAGGAATCGGGACTGGTTTTGAAGGTCTATTCCCTGTGCTTGTCAGAACTTTAATTAAGTTGTGATCTGAATAACAGGTATTTGTAATCATTATGTTCCTGATCAATTCATCATTATTGGTGAAAATGAGGTCCAGTGTGTTCTCCTCCCTAGTTGGTTCTACTATTTGCTGGTTTAAGGCAAACCTGTCGTACATCCGTAGCAGGTCATTTGCATGCACCTCATCATTTAGGCTACTTCCTGGTAGACTTTTTGATATTACTGTATTAGCCAGGTGCTTCCATTTCAGGTGCCGTACATTGAAATCCCCAAGCAGGATGATGTTCGGGGCTGGATTTGTGAGGTTTTGCAAGCAGTGTTCTATTTTCATTAGTTGGTCTTTAACCCTCAAACCGCTAGGGGCCCAAATGGAATTCACACCCACAGGCGCAACAAAAAAAAAAATCCAAAAAATTCTTTCGTCTGATAGAAGTGTTCATTTTTGTTCCCTGATCACAGAAAAAATAACAAAAAAATTGTAGGTGGCATATTTTAGCTGCAATAGGGTAGGGAAGTGTGGCAAAAAAGGGGCGTTGGCAGAGTCTTCGCCAGACGAGGTCTACTCCGCCCGAGCTGTCAGACGGCAGTTGCCACAAATATATTATTACCTAATTATTTCAATGTCTCTGATTGATTTTTTCTTAGTTTTTTGCAGTAATATTATTCCATACAGTGAATTGTGGTATATTTATATTATAAAATGTGTGAACCATCGCTGTACTCAAAATTATGGTGTGCATATTAGTGATTCAATTATTATGTTCATAAAACAATAAACAAATAGTTTTGCTGTTGTTACACTATATACACAGGTTATATATAAGTATTTGCATGTTTTCTACACCATAACGAGCTACTAAGTTGGTCTTGTGAGTCAAAAAGCAACGAGGAGTGACCGCCAAACACCAGCGAGCCACTCACTGCCACTCCCTCCCTCAACACCACCTCACTCACCCTCATTCACCTCCCACAATACTCTTTCTGTATTTATTCATTATACACAGACGTTATATATACGTATTTACATGTTTTGTTCACCATAACTGTACATCTAAGCTTGTGTGGTGAGTAAAGGCCATAAGACGTAGCTACTCACACAGTCAGCTGATCGGCGGCCGCCCTCAAGGCCAGACGCACTAATATTTGTCATCCAACAATATTGTTTGTGGTGTTATTACGCTATATACACACATTATATATAAGTATCTACCTGTTTTATTCACCATACCTGTACAAATAAGCTGGTATGGTGCCCGAAGACCATATTGGCCATCAGTAAACAACATGCCAAGTCGTGCAGACGACGCTCCTCCCTCACCAAAATGGCGGCTCCCAACCTACTCCTCTCGCTGTTATCTCACACTATACACACGTTATATATAAGTATCTACATTTGTGTTCACCATAGCGAACCACCAAGCTGGTATGGTGAGTGCAGTCAATAAATGGTGGCCACACACAGTCAGAAAACGACGCCACAACCCTCCCTCCCACAGCCTTACTCCTCCCTCCATGGAGCACAGTGCTAAATATCACCACAATCCTGCTATTATCAGAATCCTGGTCAGTTTTATCACAGTCAGGGGGCTTCAGTAATACTATCACTGCTAAATAATAGCAGTATCATTTATATTATGGTATTTGTAGGCGATGCTGTGGTCACAAGCTGAACAGCGGTGCTGTGAGCTCGTGCTGCGTGCGCCAGCCTTGGTGGCTTGCTCAATACTGACGCTCTAACAACCAAGAATGTTGGCCTGGATTTTTTTTCTAGGTGGCATCTGGCAACTATCGGTCATGGCTGTACTATAGCTGCCCCTATCCCAGGCGGGGCGTTTAAATTATAGCGATAGACACAAAATCATATATAAATGATGTGCGCGGTTTCGGTTTTGTCACTGATATCATTTATATATGATATGCGCGGTTTGAGGGTTAAACTGCTGAGGGTTTGCCTCCAGTGACTTAAATACAATGACAATACTGTAATTACATTTAAGATCTCTATTTTGATTATCAGCACTTCCACCATATCATTTGTGGTGTTTAGCAGCTCAGTGCAGATGAGTGTGTCCTTGATGTACAGGCTGACCCCACCCTGTAGTCTGTGTTTCCTGTCACATGTGAAAAGATTGTACTCTGAGATCCATATTTCACCATCTTGGTAGTCTTTTGTGCGAGTTTCCGTTAGGGCTGCAAACACTGCATTTGCCTCACGAAGGAGACCATCTATAAAATGAACTTTGTTAGATTTGCATGTTTCTATACCCTGGATGTTGGCAAATATAAATGATGTTATCGTGTTTGTGGAAATGCTGGATGCTTTAGTTGGTGTTAATAGCCCGTAGTCGCGGCTAGGTACTGTAAGACCTAAAAGGTACCGTGTGTGTGTGTGTGTGTGTGTGTGTGTGTGTGTGTAATCACCTAGTTGTGCTGCGGGGGTTGAGCTTTGCTCTTTCGGTCCGCCTCTCAACTGTCAATCAATTGTTACTAACTACTATTTTTTTTTTCTTTCTTCCACACCACACACACACCCCTCAGGAAGCAGCCCGTGACAGATGACTAACTCCTAGGTACCTATTTACTGCTAGGTAATAGGGGCATCAGGGTGAAAGAAACTCTGCCCATTGTTTCCCGCCAGCACCGGGAATCGAACCCGGGCCACAGGATTACGTGTCCAGCATGCTATCCACACAGCCACCGATGCCCTATGTGTCTTTTGCCATGCTATGAGGCGCTACTCCACAAATATACAACGTAACTGTCCCTATGATTCCTGGTTACAACTTGTTATAAAGTTGTTACATCTTGTTATAATGTTTTTATGTCGTATTAGAACACTGTTACAACTTGCTATATTGGTTGTTACAACTTGTTAGGTGTTAAACCTTGTTCGAACGTTGTAGTTTCATCATGCGTTTGGCGGATACGGAGTAGTTCACGAGAAAAAGTCATTACATTCAATGCTTGCTTTTTTATCCCAACTTTCACTAACAATTTGCAATGAGACAAACATTAGACAAATAGGAACAAATCCACAAGGGCCATGACGAGGATTCGAACCTGCGTCCGGGAGCATCCCAGACACTGCCTTAATCGACTGAGCTACGACTGGATTAAAAGAGCCTCGGAGAGGCTACGGGTTTGTGCCTCGGAGAGGCTACGGGATCCAGTAAGTTCAGTAGAACTTCAGTTTCAACTCTTTTAACCATGTCGTAGCTCAGTCGATTAAGGCAGTGTCTGGGATGCTCCCGGACGCAGGTTTGAATCCTCGTCACGGCCCTTTTAGATTTGTTCATTTGATGCATCACGTTAGTGTGATCTCTGTGTGTAATTAGACAAATAGATTATTTACCTCTTTGAGGTGTATCAAGATATTCCTTCATCTGCGTTTCAGTCAGCGTCAACAATGGAATGATCTGCTCAATGCACAAGTTCTGGAACAGAAATGTATGAATTGTAAGCAGTATAGTGTGTGTATGCCAAAATTAAAACTGTGTTAAAAGCATAATACAATATTTAAAACAAAACAAAATCAATTTTTATGTATAGTCTACACATTTTAAATGGGCATTATCACACATTTCAGGAGAGGCACCTACAACATTTACTACAGATAACTTCCATTTAACATAATCTTTAATCCTTTACCAGCCATTGAGCTCATTAGGCGTAATGAAACTGCTGATTATTTAGACACTTATTACTATACATAATATAAATAAGTGGAACCAATTACCGCGTACCGTGGTGGAGGTGGGCTCCCTAGATTGTTTCAAGCGTGGGTTGGACATGTATATGAGTGGGATTGGGTGGTTATAAATAGGAGCTGCCTCGTATAGGCCAATAGGCCTTCTGCAGTTACTTTTGTTCTTATGTTCTTATAATAACCCACAAAACTGATATATTGTACTGTATTGAATATTTTGAAGAAGTACATTATATGCACAATCAAATTTTGTGATTCCCACAAACTCCAAGCTATGAGCACACTACCATGAACATTTCACCACATAACTTTTTATTTAACATAAGCAGATAAATAGGGCGTTTCCAATAAACAGCATCGGAGAAGCAGGACCGAGACATGAGTAATACTAATCTCATAATTACTTACAGAGAAAGGCTGTAAATTATGCAACCTAACCTGAAAGCATATCGTGACTTACACAAGATGCAAAACCTGTAGAACCTGCTTGATACCCGCTTGATGGGGTTCTGGGAGTTCTTCTACTCCCCAAGCCCGGCCCGAGGCCAAGCTTGACTTGTGAGAGTTTGGTCCATCTGGCTGTAACTTGGAGCGGCCCGCAGGCCCACATACCCATCACAGCCCGGTTTGTCCGAAACTTTTTTTAGAAAACAGTCTAGTTTTCTCTTGAAGATGTCCACAGTTGTTCTGGCAATATTTCTTATAGTCGCTGGGAGGATGTTGAACAGCCACAGACCTCTGATGTTTATAGTGTTCTCTGATTGTGCCTATGGCACCTCTGCTCTGTTAGTTGTTGAACTAACAACAAAATTACTGATATGTCACGTAATCAAGTTAGCTGTCAATTTTTATGACGAAATGTCATACCATGTCACTCGTGTCATTTATGGGAAATTATTGCGAACAAATTAAAACTACTCAACTAAATTACAAATGAACTGGAAGAATGGAAAAATATTTATAAATACATATATCCAGAATCACTGACTGGAAAGAAACCCATAAATTGTCCACAAGTTCTCCAAAATCTGGGGGCGCCAGATTCACAAAGCAGTTACGCAAGCACTTATAAAAGTGTACATCTTTCCTCAATCTTTGACGGCTTTACAAGCTTGAAAACGTCCCAATCAACTGTTGTTATTGTTATAAACAGCCTCCTGGTGCTTTGCAGCTCATTAACTGTTTAATAATTGTAAACAAAGTCACCAAAGATTGAGAAAAGATGTACAGGTTCGTAAGTGCTTGCATAACTGCTTCGTGAATCTGGCCCCAGGTCCGTAAGTGCTTGCGTAACTGCTTCGTGAATCTGGCCCTGGGGTCCAGAGAAGAACAGAGATTATAAGAAATTAATACCGCATAGGCTTACCTTCAAAATCTGAATGTATGATGCTCCCAACATGTGACGAGAGGCATCACTAGCAGATGCGCGTTGCTTCTCTCCTGGGGAATGACATTGGAGAGCTGCATTCAATGTTATATTTGACTTCTACAATATATTGAGTAATATACAGAGTTAGGAAAACATCGCCTCGTACATTACATAATAAGTGATTCACAATTCTCTTGCTCTTTTTTTACATCAGATACCATCAGGTGATTTACTGCATTACAATTATCATGATCAATTATCAATTATAGGGAGCCGGTTGGCCGAGCGGACAGCACGCTGGACTTGTGATCCTGTGGTCCCGGGTTCGATCCCAGGCGCCGGCGAGAAACAATGGGCAGAGTTTCTTTCACCCTATGCCCCTGTTACCTAGCAGTAAAATAGGTACCTGGGTGTTAGTCAGCTGTCACGGGCTGCTTCTTGGGGGTGGAGGCCTGGTCGAAGACCGGGCCGCAAGGACACTAAAAGCCCCGAAATCATCTCAAGATAACCTCAAGATCCTACTTTTCCAGTTCGTTGAAAAGACAGGCACGTGGCTGCTAACGAGAAGAAGATTGAAAAAATAAATTCCCAGTGTGAGGGGGGAGTGTTAACTGAAGGATAAAGTATTATCTAGGTCAGGTTCTCACTATTAGGATGAGATGATCAAATCCACAAGGTCCGTGACGAGGATTCCAACCTACGTCTGAGAGCATTCCAGTCGCTACCTTAATCGACTGACCTACGACGTGGCCGTGACTGATCCTCGTCACGGCCCTTGTGGATTTGTTCATTGAAGCATCACGCTATTGTGATTTCTGTGTGCAACGAGATGCTCTTTTGTTTCAAGTGCCTTATATTTACTGTATGTTGTACATGTCTTATATGATGGAGAGGGTGGCTCACCATTATGTACAATAAACACACAGTCAAGGACTAAAACTGGATGCTGGGAGTCAAGGTTGCAGAGGATGTATGAAACTTAAAAGAAAAATAATGCATGTGAGTTAGTTTGGCCATGATAAGGCGAAGAAGTGTCACAATTCACAGGTGATGAGAAAGTAGTTGCTCAGCAGCGCTTGTTGTGGCAGCCGTGGGGTGGAAGTTGCTACGGAGGTTATACCTTGAGGTTATCTTGAGATGATTTCGGGGCTTAGCGTCCCCACAGCCTGGTCCTCGACCAGGCCTCATTTTTCTTATACATCCCCAGGAAGCAACCCGTAGCAGCTGTCTAACTCCCAGGTACCTATTTACTGCTAGGTGAACGGGAGATTCAGGGTGAAAGAAACTCTGCCTATTTGTTTTGCCTCCACCGGGGATCGAACCCAGAACCTCAGGACTACGAATCCGAAATGCTGTTCACTCAGCCGTCAGGAAGTTATATTTTCATATTTATTCCAATGTCCCTGAATGGTTCTTTTTTATTCAGAGCAGTGGGTAAGGGCTCGAAAAATATAAGGGTTGAGAACACTGGCTGTGTATACCTAGAAGCACTCACTCTTAAGGCATAATTCTATGTTTGTAGGTTTGGCATATACGTTGGTGCTTAGAGATGCTCCTGTTTTTGCTGTTAACACATCCAGGAAAGGCAGACTGATATTATTACTATTTTCATGGGTAAATTGGAATCCTGACTTTCTCTCAAGATGACTTTTTAGACCAATTAGTTGTTCTAGGTCTTTTACAATTACAAATATGTCATCGACATAATGACAGTATGCGCTTGGTACTGAAGACTCTCTCCTCGATTGTGGCCATGTAAAAATTAGCAAATTGCACTCCTAGGGGGAACCCATTGCAACCCCATCTATCTGTAGATACACTACAAGTTTCCTTGTTGAGTGATGAAAGGAGCTTCCTTTGAACATGCCTAAGACTCTTCAGGTGTGACTCTGGTATGCCAAATTTATGGGTACTCATCTCTATACTCTGTTGAGGATAATTTGTATAGTAGTGTCAACTGAGATATTGATAAACAGAGTCAACATCTAGTGAAACAGTAATGCCTTCGGCCTGTGTAGTCTTGATTATCTCTAGGAAATCTGCTGATAAATGTAGACTGCAATTGCTCGGAGTGTATCTTGAGGTTATCTTAAGATGATTTCGGGGCTTTTTAGTGTCCCCGCGGCACGGTCTTCGACCAAGCCTCCACCCCCAGGAAGCCGCCCGTGACAGCTGACTAACACCCAGGTACCAATTTTACTGCTAGGTAACAGGGGCATAGGGTGAAAGAAACTCTGCCCATTGTTTCTCGCCGGCGCCTGGGATCGAACCCAGGACCACAAGTCCAGCATGCTGTCCGCTCGGCCGACCGGCTCCTATGGAGCTAGGAATTTGTTTATTCTTCTGGCAAGGTGGTAGGTAAGGGTTGGTATTTGACTGATTATTAGGCATAGTGGGTTACCTGGTGTGTGAGTCTTAACATTGCCATAGGCATATCCTAGGCCATAGTCGCCTTGGAGTTTAGCAAAGTGAATTCCACCTCTCTTTGCGTTGATTGCAGCAATAGTTTTGTTTACTTTGTGTTCAAGGTCTTCCAAAGGGTTCCTCGTGATTCGCTGAAATTCAGTGTCATCACTGAGGATGTTGCTGGTTTTATTGATACATTGCTCAGTTAGTATCAACACATATGCTGATGTCTTCATGGCTTTTCGTATTGTTACACATTCCAGATTTTTAAGTTGTTTTGCGGCTTCTTTGAGTCATGGAGTCGGGATTTTCTATTAGTATGTTCCTCATTTTATCCAAGCCTCTGCTAGTCTGTGGTGTCTGTGGTGATGACTTTTTTTTTGTCCTCTAGCGTGTGGATGTCATCGACAAGAATTTTTATTTCAAGGTATTTTTGATACATTTTAGCTTTTGATTGGATGTGACAGTTTAGACCAAGGTTCAAGAGGTCTTGTTAGTCCTGAGTAATTCCTAAGTTCTTGAAGCGTGTACAAAGGAAGCTTCTATCATCAGTTTACAAGGAAATATGAATGTACAGAAGGATAAGAGTAGCAATGGACTCTTCTACAAGGAGTGCTATTTGCTAATTTTTACGTGAACACAATCGAGGAAGTAGCCTTCAGTAGCAGACACAAACCAAGCTGTTGCCTTAGTTTTGTAAAGTTTCTGAATATGATCTCATTATAAGAAAGAAAAAATGAATACACCATAATACAAAAACAAAACAAAAAACCAAACATTATAGATTACAAACTTAAACAACCTGGGTTATTTCTATATCAGATGAGCTGAAATTTGATTATTACACGTTTGAGGTCTTTTCTCGCCAATAGAATGCTGAGATCTGAGTGCATATTAAACAAGAAAATGACCTTCTTGAGGTTATCTTGAGATGATTTCGGGGCTTTAGTGTCCCCGCGGCCCGGTCCTCGACCAGACCTCCACCCCCAGGAAGCAACCCGTGACAGCTGACTAACACCCAGGTACCTATTTTACTGTTAGGTAACAGGGGCATAGGGTGACAGAAACTCTGCCCATTGTTTCTCGCCGGCGCCCAGGATTGAACCCGGGACCATAGGATCATAAGTCCAGCGTGCTGTCCGCTCGGCCGACCGGCTCCCATAACTTGTACCTTGTACAACTTTAAGAGCCCAAACAAAATACATATAATATTCACAAGCTTGAAACCTTAATTACCATTGGGGAAAACTTGCTGAACGTAAAACCTGATGTTCGTTTTGTTTGGCACTTCTGCAGCAAAGATTTCGTCAATAACGACCTCGGCGCCACCAAATATTGGAGCCAATGTTGAAATAATTTGCTGCTTGTGGGGCCTGGAAGAGTGAAAACCCTTGAGAAACCAGAACTAAACTGCCGATTGATTAATGGATTAAATTGAATGCTGTATCTCTGCCAGTGTAATAACTGGTTTGAGTTTTCTTGAAGTCATCTTCAATATTTTACAAGGCAAAATATGTAAATTACTTATTCAACATAAGCTATGTAAAATATAATTTGTTACCACAAAGGCATTAGTCTAAATCGTAATTGGAATAATTTGAAAAACCCAGCACTGACTGTAAGGAAACGCCTTTTTCTGGAGGAGCCCCCAGTGGTTTCTCTGAAACTATTTTCCCGAGATTGCTTCATACTAAAAGGTCACGTCAGTTGCGGACGTTCTGTGGTCTGCTGGGAACCAGAGCCATAGCCTGATCCCCTCAAAAGAGGTGCAGGGAGCAAGTGATAATCCACCACCTCACCAGAAAAAGCCTCCAGAAAGTCACCGTAGCTTTACAGACAACTGCAGGGCTCACAGAAAATGAAGCCTTGAAAACTGCCCCATAACAACACAAACAAGTCCCACAGAGTAAAGGATTCACTCAAATGAGCTCGAAACGTGATTACCATGACCAGGTGGCTCAGCCCCGGTTACCAGCTGTCTCCCCAAGTCAGTTCTGGACTTCATGAACAAATTCCCGATGAACCGACAAACCTGGAGGGTGTGAGGATATCAGGACGCCACTGGCGATAATCCAGAAAGATGCATTTCATTACACTGGAGGGCACACCCTGGTGTGGCTCTGAAGCTAACAATACAGAACAAATTGTTCACAACTTTTTCTGTGGGGAGCCCCTACGCCTCCCTGGAGCTTATCGGGCTAATGGATGTTATATTAGACCGGGACATTAGCTCCCTGAAACCTCTCTGAAAGGGCCAGGTTCTGGCGCTGGTCCCTGGTAGGTCTGCACTCCTTAGCTAATGTCCCGGTCTAATATAACATACATTAGCCTGATAAGCTCCAGGGAGCCTCCGGGGCTCACCCAGAAAATGGCGTTTCATTACATTCAATGCTGTTTTTTTTTTTAGACCAAAATTGGAATACAGTATGCAGCTGTTGTATGGTGCCCATACCTCAAACAGCACATGAATAAACTGGAAAAGATGACAAGACATGCAAGTAATGGCTCCCGGAACTGAAAAACCAAGAGCTATGACGAGAAATTAGAGGGGGGGGGGATTAAATATACTAAATCTAAAAGATAGAAAAGAGGTGATATGATCACTACATACAAAATAGTAACTGGAATCAACAAAATTGACAAAGCAGAGTTTTTTAAAACTGCATCATTAAGAACAAGAGAACATAGGTTCAAACTAAGAAAACAAAGCTGCCAAAAACAGTAGACAGTTCACCGTTTCAAACAGAGTAATTGCCTAAGTGTAGTCACAGGACGAGAGCTACGCTCGTGGTGTCCCGTCTTCCCAGAACCTCCAATTTATGACTGGCCAGAGTGGTAGATGGTTGGACCAAGTAAAGTGAGGAGGCTGGCTGTGACTCGTACGTCAGACTGCGAGCAGCCTCGTTCAACAGCCTGGTTGACCAGTCCAGCAACGAGGAGGTCTGGTCGACGACCGAGCCGCGGAGTCGCTGAGCCCCGGAATCACCTCAAGGTAATCTCAAGGTAAGGAAGCGAAGGCCAAAACTATCAGTAGTTTCGAAGCGCCATATGACAAAGAGTACTGGGAAGACAGAATGCTGTGATCGTAGTTCTCATCCTGTAACTACACTTAGATAAGTACCATCATCCACTATTGCAAACTCACTCTCTCTCTTGCCATTCCTTGGGTTGAGAGGCATTTCATGCTTTAGTGTAGTATTGTCTACTCCGGAACTATACACTTGTTAGCACCACCAAAATATCATACAGTATTTTCTTATCATCTGTGTAAAAATATGTTAATAATTGTTGTCCATTTGATAGAAATATCAAAGCCTGCATGATGGACTAAGTCTTATTATGAACATTTATCACAGCTTTCAACCTTTTGCACACTTCATAATTTGAAATTTTCAAAGTCAAGAAAATAATTCAAAGTTGCAAACAAAAATTACTTACTCCACTTCCGAGAGGCCCTTTCCAATGATGATTTGCACAATACCATTCTCGTTACGATAATTAGGGATCCTGGCGTAGCAAACTACTTTGAAGCGGCAGTATGGATTTTCAGGTGTGAACTCCACAGGCGGCATATTATAAGCATAATAACCTGAAATAGAATGTAAACAAAAATGAATTGTGATACTTGAGAGTACAATAATGCGGTTTTATTAACAGATAAAAACAATGTTAGTCCTTACCTAACAGTGATCGCATGGAAGTAAGGTTTTAGGTTCTTATACCCCATCCACTAGCAATGTTTTACCCGTTATGTAATAGTAATAATTTACCTTTTCTGATGTTTGAATTCTTCGTCGAACCTGACTCTAACCCCTTCAACTGCACATCACACTCATGGATGTTTTAAAGTACCAAGTAGGATTTAAAACCCCTGCGGGTACACAGGGTCTCACATTTGCCTCCTCGGGCCTCCAGTAAACAGATGCCATCTCGGAAAAAATAATCACGAGTGCCCTTCCTGGTTATAAGGACTTCGTTACTAAGAGAGTGACCATATTGGACGCCGGTCGTCCGAGCGGACAGCACGCTGGACTTGTGATCCTGTGGTCCCGGGTTCGATCCCGGGAGCCGGCGAGAAACAATGGGCAGAGTTTCTTTTACCCTATGCCCCTGTTACCTAGCAGTAAAATAGGTACCTTGGTGTTAGTCAGCTGTCACGGGCTGCTTCCTGGGGATGGAGGCCTGGTCGAGGACCGGGCCGCGGGGACACTAAAGTCCCGAAATTATCTCAAGATAACCTCAAGGAGGAGGAGCGCACGCAGCAGCAACGCGCAGCACTGCCATGTAGCTCGTGCCAACACCATCACTTAATGAGGACAATATATAAGTAACTGTAATTATTTACTGATGATAATGACACAGAACACTCAGAAAGTGATATGGTTCAGACTATGTTGAAGACTATATACAAGGTTCAGATACCAGTTTACCCAATACTGGTGATCATGTTCACAGTGTGACACAGACAGCCACTGCACACAGTCATGATTTGATGCATTTATGTATCATGAAATGGGACTTGCCTGATGGAGTTCTAGGAGTTCTACTCCCCAAGCCCAGACCTAGGCCAAGCTTGACTTGTGAGAACTTGGTCCAACAGTCTGTTGCCTGGAGCGGTCTGCAGGCCCACATATCCACCACAGCCTGGTTAGTTCAATACTTCTTGAAGAAAACTATTTAGTTTTATCTTGAATATATCCACGGTTGTTCCGGCAATATGTCTCATACTTGCCTGAAGGATGTTCGAACAACCGTAGACCTCTGATATTTATACAGTGTTCTCATGTTCCTTTGTATCTGGATTGTAACTGGATGGGGTTCTGGGAGTTCTTCTACTCCCCAAGCCCAGCCCGGGGCCAGGCTTGAATTGTGCAAAGTCCTTTGAAAAGGAACATGTGAAAAACTATTCATATTCAGGATTTAGTGACCAGATTCACGAAGCAGTTACGCAAGCACTTACAAATCTATCCATCTTTTCTCAATCTTTGATGGCTTTGTTTACAATTATTAAACAGATAATGAACTCCAAAGCACCAGGAGGCTGTTTATAATAACAACAACAGTTGATTGGAAATTTTTTATGCTTGTAAACTGTTTAATAAATGTAACCAAAGCTGTCAAAGAGTGAGGGAAGATGTACACGTTCGTAAATAGTTGCGTAACTGCTTTGTGAATCTGGTCCTTGAACCTAGATTTAATAAGTGTCATGAATTTCTCGTAAAGGGTGAAGCTTGGAAGTCGGCAAGCACCACGGAGCCACCTAAGGATCCTTCCAAAAAATTGACACATTGTAAAACAAATTAGTCGCAATTAACGCTGGCCCCATAAGTGCCAGGTGCTACAGTGAATAACAATGTCATGGAGAAGACGGGGAATATATGAAAGAGGTACTGTAATTTGAAACACACAACAGCCTAGTGGACCAAACTCTCACAAATCAAGCCTGGCCTGTGGGCCGCTCCAAGCAACAGCCTGGTGGACCAAACTCTCACAAGTCAAGCCTGGCCTGTGGGCCGCTCCAAGCAACAGCCTAGTGGACCAAACTCTCACAGGTCAAGCCTGGCCTGCGGGCCGCTCCAAGCAACAGCCTGGTGGACCAAACTCTCACAAGTCAAGCCTGGCCTCGGGCCGGGCTTGGGGAGTAGAAGAACTCCCAGAACCCTATCAACTAGGTATCAATTAGGTAAAACTGAGTAAGTACTCTTCACTTTGCACCATATATTGCAAAGCTTGAAATGACAATTGGAGCTAAACTCATCACTAAATCAATTTTAAACACGTACTATATTATGTACGTACCTTGAGAACCTTAATAAATAATCAGAAACTTGCCTTTCCCAGCCCCCCAAAATGCTTGAAGTTGATTCCACTTGCGCAAGACTTCATCATTTTCATTATTGAAGTATGAAGGAGTGCATATGGCAAGATGCAAAGCCAGCGAGGAGTCTGGTTGTCCTATTGCTGCTAATTGCGAAGCATCTGCAAGAAACACTAATTCAGCAATGGCCTGTAATATTTCAATTTAATATATAATAAATAATTACAGATAACCAATATATTTCAAGTCTGTAAGGTACAGTATATTGCAAACACTTACAAATAGTATAGGATTAAGTGTAATAAAATACAATTTTCAGGGAGGTTTCTGCGGTACCTCCCAGCCGCTGAAGATACTGTTACCAAGAACCTCTGAAAACACTCCGGGCCCCAGCGACGTGTGTGCCTACCAAAAACCAGAATCAGAATCTGGTTCACTCAAACAGAAAAGGGGAGCTGCTTATCAGACATCAGCACAAACCCAAGAACTGCTAATTTGGCCACAAGTTCCCGATGGACGGCGTCAAGAATGGCCTGAAACCAGGGACAAAGCACCTGCCTGAAGCAGAAATACCTGATCAGGAGGCTGTCAGGAGACACCAGCTGCATGCAACAGATTCCTTTTCCTTCCCAAAAAAATCTAGCCAGAGTAGTAGACGGTTGGAACAAATTAGGTGAGGTGGTGGTGGAGGCCAAAACCGTCAGTAGCTTCAAAGCGTTATATGACAGAGTGCTGGGTAGACGGGACACCACGAGCATAACTCATCCTGTAACTACACTTAGATAATTACATAAACTAAAACACATACCTGTAGGTTGAGTTCCAAATGTTGATGTTGTTTTTACCCTGAAAATAAATTGCTACATTAAAACATTTGAACTAAATTTTAACAATTTGTTTATTCATCAGAAATTTCAAATACTCATTTCAGTCAAACATTGAAAATCTGAAATAATTATTACTAATTTCTTGCAACTTCAAAAACAAGAGGACATAGGTTCAAACTAGAGAAATGAAGCTGCTGAAAAACAAAAAGTTCACTTTTGCAAACAGAGTGGTAGACCGTTGGTACAAGTTAAGCGAGGTGGTGGTGGTACAGGGTAAAACCATGAGTGCCTACGGTGGTCATACCTTGGAGTTTTTCTACTACCAAGCCCGCCCGGGCTTAGCCGAGGGAGCCGGTTGGCCGAGCGGACAGCACGCTGGACACATGATCCTGTGGTCCTGGGATCGAACCCGGGACCAGGAGCCAGGAGGGGGAGCCACCTCACTGGAGCTGGCAGCCCATCACTCCAGTTCTTGAACTGATGTGCTGGTGGTCGGATCAGTCACCTCTGGCTTCAAGTTCCTGTTCTGGATTTATGCCTTGTGTGGGTGTTCTAGCTGTGTGTGGTGTGGCAGCCAGGTGTTTTAGTGTTCAGGAGCAGCATGCGCCTAGGACAATCTTCCCTTGGTACTTCGTGAGTACTGCCCTTGCCTTTATCGTTTGATGTTGTCTTCGCCCTTGGGGTACGTCGGGAGTCTAGGGCTTTCCGTCTTGCCCCAGGTAGGGAAGTGTTATTGGCTAGGTGCACTGTGGCTGCCGCAGCTAGCTTTACTTCAATGCAGCGGCCAATGTTTCTCTCTGATTACCAGTTTGTTTATTGTCTCTCTTCGGGGGATTTTGTTTTCATTTTCTTTCCATTCTCTAGCATTCTCGCCTTGTTTAGACAGAGGAGGTCTGCTTAGCTTCTTATTAGGCTAGCCTAGGTTGTGTTGGTAGTCCTCCTGTTGCCCCAGAGGTTTCATAGCTGTTACTGGTGGTCAGTTTGCCTGCTATCTGACAGGGTTCTACTGGTTTAGCTGGCCCCAGTGCCTGGGCTTCCCGTAGGGCTAATTAACCCTACGGGCCCTGTTAAACTCTTGTGGGCTCGGATGTACAATGGTTACCTCTTCTGAGCCCGCTCATGCCTAGTTGAAGGTTGTTCGTTGTCCGACTCAGGAAAACGATTATCCATACTGCCTCCGTCACGCTGCCTGTTGGGTCGGGAACACCAACAACCTGGAGTCTTGCAAGTCTTGTTTCCCGCTTGTACTTCACTTTCCTTATTCCTTGTCTGTTGATCTCAGGGATCAGGCAGCGGCTGCATTGCATGTTCGATTCTCGTTACTGCAAAGATCCAGGTTGGTTGCTCAGTTGGAGGCAACCAATGGTCATGTTCCGTAGTCTGTTTTGATTCGCCTACCTTTCTGTGTCCTTCCCCGGTCAATGGGAATTATGACATACTTTAAATGTAAATTTCTCATAGGCCACTGCTCCCTGTGCCTCTCTGAGGGGATCAAATTCTGGCTTGTGGTAGGCATAAGAACTCCTGTCCCTGATGACCACAAACTAATATAGCACATATCAGTTCGGATAGCTTCAGTATGCCGACAGTGCTCCCCACAGAAAATGGCATTTCATTACATCTTCGGAACAAACACCTTTTTCTAGTAGAGCCCCAGTGGGTGCCTGAAGCTAGCTCGTTGAGATTGTTCTATTCTAATGTGTCACATCAGATGCAGGAGTTCTGTTTGACCTATCGAAGACATGAGCCAGAACCTGGGGCCAGATTCACAAAGCAGTTACGGAAGTACTTACAAACGTGTACATTTTTCCTCAATCTTTGATGGCTTTGGTAACATTTATTAAACAGTTTACAAGCATGAAAACTTCCCAATCAACTGTTGTTATTGATATAAACAGCCTCCTGTTTATAGCCAGAGGTAATCTCAAGGTAAGGTACATTCAAGGCAGCATTTTTACTACTACTGATAATACTCCAAGAAAACAAACAAAAAATTACCATCAAGAATCCAGAACACAGTTTGGAAGAAATAATGGATACAGAAATCTTCTTAAGAGAAAAGCCAGTCTACAATAAGAGAAATACAGCTGGTATTGCTTACCCAAATCCTTGGCTCTGAAGACAGCCTCCTGAAATATTTGCAGCAGAAGTTCCAAATCCAAATGTAGGTTTGGCTGCTTGATTGGCATTTGTCCCGAAGCTAAAACCTAAAATAATCATTAAATCCGTGAAAATTAAAATTCATACAACATAAATATTTTTTTCAAATTATGCCCTATATTAATTTCTGGGCAAATGTCTCATTACACACAAAGCAGTAGGAAATGATAATTATTATTAAACATTTCCATCATCATCATCTCATTTTCCATTTCTTTGAGGTCGGGGAAACACCAGACTGGAGAAAACCCCTAGCATTAAATGAATTGAAATGCCTCTTTCTAGTAGAGCTCTAGTGGCTCCCTGAAGCCAGCTCATTGAGAATGCTCTATTCTGATGTGTCACATTAGTTGCAGGAGTTGTTTAGTCTACCGAGGACATGAGCCAGAACCTGGCCTTCTCCTCGCAAAAGTGGCAATGAAAATGAGTGAAAATTCACCATCACACCAGGAAAACATCCAGAAAATTAGCGAAGCTTTAGAGAAAACTGCAAGGTTAAAACAAACTGAAGCATCGAAACTGCCAAACAACTCTGTAAACGATTCAAATGAAACAACCGAGTCACTCGAAATTAGCTCAAACCCTTTAAAGTTAGTACCAATTGCCACCACAAGGTGGCCTGGGACGTGACCCTAAGCCAGTTCTCCTGGGTCAATACTAGAGCTGATGAAAAATAGGCATTTCATTATATTCGACGCTAGGTTTCTGGCGAGAGCCACTTACAAGAAAACCACTGCCAACACAGCATACTCTACTTGCGAATATTGTGGGCCCAAGAGGACACTGAAGGCTGGTTAAACTTAATGACATTGTGGACAACCTGGAAAACATGAGCCTTGGAATGGGGCAACGGAAACTGTCAATGAAAAATGCGTTAACCGAGGCACAACTGGTGGCCAGCAGGTAGCAGCGAAGAGCCATAGGAAGAGGGGGCCTTTTGGGTCATTTCTCACAGCCTATGGAGGAGTTGATCAATCCCTCCCCATTTCTTGGACTCAGGGTTTTTAGGCCAGGTATCCTCCCTGGCTCTGCCTCTTGTCATTACAGACTGGTTGGCCACAGATGTGTTCAACTTAACCTCATCCCTAAGGTGGATGTCTAGGCTGTTCCGGTGCCAAGAAACCAGCGTTGAATATAATGAAATGCCGTTTTCCGGTGCGTATGCCTACCAGGAACTATAAGCAAGAACCCTGGTCCCCCCTCAGAGAGGGACAGGGCACAATGGCCTATGAGCACTTTACATTAAAAAGTATGTCATTATTGCCATCAACTGGGGAAGGACCCAGAAAGGTAGATGAATCAAAACAGACCACTGTCTGCTTAACCTGAGACATTCTACATCCCAAAAAATCAAAATATCTTCCCTAGAAACAAACTAAACAAGCAACCCTTCATGAAACTAGCACTCTCACTCGTTAGCACTATTTCCCCTTCCCTTCCCCCGGCAGGGAAAGGGGGGTAGTAGAAGGGGAAGTTGGCATCCCACCACTCCAGGTCTTGAACGATGAAAAATTGTCGACTGGAGGGAGAGAGGGTGTCAGGGAGCCTCCAGGCCTCACCCAGAAAATGGCATTTCATCAAAAACTGCAAAAAACCACTACCACAGACTCTTCATATTCTTCGGAGACAAAGCCTAGATACTGGCATTATTCCTGACATACTAAAAACAGCAGAGACAGCACCACTCCATAAAGGAGGAAATAAGGCAGAGGCAAAAAATTTCAGACCGATAGCACTAACATCACACATCATAAAAATCTTTGAAAGAATGTACAGAAGTAAGATTACAAAACACAAGGAATCCCAGCATCTCCATAACCCCGGACAACATGGCTTCAGAACAGGGCGCTCTTGCCTGTCACAGTTGCTGGATCACTATGACATGACCTTAGATGCCATGGAAGACAAACAAAATGCTGATGTAATTTACACAGAATTTGCAAAAGCCTTCGACAAAAGTGACCATGGTGTTATTGCACACAAAATGCGTTCAAAAGGAATTACTGTAAAAATAGGCAGATGGATCTACAATTACCTGACTTAACAGAACCCAATGTGTAATAGTCAACAAAATAAAATCTAGTTCATCAACTGTTAAGAGCTCAGTCCCCCAGGGTACTGTGCTTGTTCCAGTACTTTTTCTCATCCTCATATCAGACATAGACAAGGACACAATCTATAGTACTGTAACTTCCTTAGCAGATGACACTTGATTTTTATGAGAGTAGACAACATAGAGGACACGGCAAACCTCCAATCAGATGTAAATCATCTTTCAATGCGCTACAGAAAATAATATGGTGTTTAACGAAGATAAGTTCCAGCTCATTTGCTATGAAAAAATGAAAATATAAAAATGGAAACCACATATAAAATGCAGTCAAATCATAATATAGAATGAAAAGGCAATGTAAAGGATCTGGGTGTACTCATGTCAGAAGACTTTACCTTTAAAGAACACAATAAAGTAACCGTCACAACTGCAAGAAAAATGACAGGTTGGATAACAAGAACCTCTCACACTAGAGATGCTATACCGATGATGATATTTTTTCAAGACGCTAGTGCCCTCTAGAATGGAATACTGTTGCACAATGACAGCCCCTTTCAAAGCTGGAGAAATTGCCGACCTATAGTGTGCAGAGATCCTTTACTGGTAGAATCCACTCAGTAAAACATCAAAACTATTGGGCCTGACTAAAATGCCTAAATCTGCATTCTCTTGAGCGCAGATAGGAGAGATACATAATAATTTACACATGGAAAATAGTACAGGGGTCCCAAACCTGCACACAGAAATACCACATGAGACCAGAAGGCATGGCAGGATGTGCAGAATACCACCATTGAAGTGCAGAGGTGCAATAGGTACTCTGAGAGAGAACTCTATCAACATCAGAGGCCCAAGACTGTTCAACACGCATCCACTACACAAGGGGCATAACTAGCCGACCCCCTCACAGTGTTCAAGAGAGAACTTGATAAGAACCTCCAAAGGATACCTGATCAACAAGACTGTGACTCGTACGTCAGACTGCGAGCAGCCGTGTCCAAGAGCCTGTTTGACCAGTCCAGCAGTGTGGAGGCCTGGTTGAGGACCGGGCTACGGGGATGCTAAGCCCCGAAACCATCTCAAGGTAACCTCGAGGTAAGGTACATTCAACACTGGTTTTCTGTGGTGAGCCCAGTCAGCTCCTTTAAGCTAACTACCCAAAGATAAGTAATAAGAGGGACTTACCCAGGTGGCAGCAGCACCGCAGATCTCAAGACGAAGAAGAGACAGATGGCTGCAACAGGCACCCCAAAGCAGGGAAGGAACCGGAACATTCACTAGACACCGGGCGGCCAAGACCCTGTTAGACCTCCAAAACCCTCAAGCCCGAATGTGTACCCTAAAACCAAACATGTTGCCAAAAACTGCTGCGAGAGCAACTTATTTCTATACGTCATTGGCACGAGGGTAGACCTCATTCTGGCTGGACTTTATGACACTGCGGACAACCTGAGACACACGAGCCCTGGGACAGGGAACCACGAAAACTGGTTCCACCCAAAGAACGTCCACCGTCACAGAACCAGTGGCCTGCAGGTAGCGGCATAAAGCCGCCACCGGACACAACACGTGATACACCCCCGGCCTAACCAACCAAGCATCCACAAATAACAAACCCCTGGACTGATTGAGGTGGAAGTACATTTGCTCCAGGTTCCATTCATTCTAGAGTCCTATTCAGGGAGGGGTGAACCCTCTGGCTCGTTTGTGGTCAGAGCAGCCTTGGTTCAATGCTTTTAGACCAGTTTACGAACCCAAATGTTTTTCTGTATATCCATCTCTATCGGCAGTTTGGTCCAACGATGTACTTCCATGACTGTTGGGGTTGCAATAGTAATGCAAGTAATACAAGCTGACAAGAACAACAATTGATGTGGTGAGTCGAGCCACAAGCAGTAAAGTGTCAGGAATGGAAAATTTCCCAGGACATAACACGGCAAATCCCGAGCAGTGTCCAAGAGCTTCAGAGCCCACTCCTAGAAAAACAAAGAAGGACCAAGTGCTGAACCAAGTTACAAGCAAGCCAGGAGGAAAGACACCTCCATCACTGCCTAGCATAAGTGAAGAGCTATGTGGAAAACTGAATTCCACATATGAATGCCACGTGAATTCCACCTCGGAAGAATAAAAGACACCCGAGGAAGTCAACTCTTCTCAGGAAGCAGACAAGTTAGGGAAAGCCTCCTGCAGGGCTGAGCGCCATATAAACAGATGCATAGTGCTAACCTGCACCACAACAATTAGAACAGGATCCGTAGAGATGAGGCAAAGCCCAAGTACCTACAGGCACCTGTAAATACCCTGAAGGGGCACCAAGGAGGAATGGGGTGAAACCAAGAAGGAAGACAGAAAACACTTGAACCTCTCCTCTCACAAAAGTAACAGAACCCATGCTCGAGGGATAATAATAAAGGTTATTAGAACCCCTCCCCCCCACCCACAAAAGTAACAGAACCTATGTTTCAGGGACAATAATACAGGCTACCAAAACACCCTTGGTAGCACCCCAGAGAACCCTGGCCTTCCCCAACCCAACCAGCAAAGAGGAGCCAGGGCAAGAAGGAAAAACTGAAGACCCACCCCAAGAGGAAACCAAGGCCCTCGAGAGTGTACTTAGTACAACCACCCACACAAAAGGGAAAGTAAAGTTGGAGTGGGCTCCAGCACACCAGATATCCCCTCCATCAGTAGAGCTGGAAGACCATGCAATGTATGGGAATGATACACCCTAAAACCTTGAGGGCAAACCACCCAAAACTCCAAGATGAATGACAGAGGCCATGTAAGTAACCATGGGAGAGAATGGAAACAGAAAGCCACTAGCAAGGAAGATAAGCGCTAAACTGAGTGGAGAAGCTATTAAGTATATCAGCATAGAAAAAGTGAACATAAAATATGATATATAAAACACAAAGGCAATTTTAGGAAGAGAGAGAGAGAGAGAGAGAGTTGGGTCTTTCATTCTCCGATGAGCGTGCTGTCACCGACGTAGAATACTTAGGTTTACCCCTATAACAAGCAGATCAGACATAAAATGGCATAAAAAAAATCCCATACACCATCAGTTAAGGCAATAATACACACTACACTGCACCGTACCGGTACATGAAGCAGTAATTTATTTGACAAGCTTGACATGCAGTACTCACAACTTGTTCCTGCCAACGTGTTAGTTACTCCTCCAAGGTTGCCAAGGCCAAACATGGGAGGCTTGGGGCCACCTCCCCCAAAGTTAGACAGAAAACCATACCCTGGCAATTATAAACTTGTTAGTTATTAAACCAATTCAGAAATGTTACTATCAGTCACTACTTTCAGAGATGTTAGTAATTCTAGGAATATACATTATACAAAGCAACCAGATTAGAAGAAATTAAAGCAAACAGCAGAAACTAAAAACTAGATATTAAGCTTTGTTGGAGTCTGTGTAATTAAGCAATAAGATATTTTTGGTTAAATATCATATGTGCAATGAGAATTGAGTGTATAAATGTCTATGTGAGAATTCTAGGCAGATCTAACATCAAATAACTATAAAGCAATGAATAATATTATGCATCAGGATCCATTTTTGGAGCAAGACTGTACAATATGTGAATAAGTATGTTTCCCCTTGCAAACTACAATCACATCTTCCCTCTCACAACATACAAGTTAAGTGCACCAATAATTGACTCAAACGAGAGGCGCCTGAGACACCCGAGTTGCCATATAATAATAGTTGCCATATAATGCCTCCACAAAAAGCCTTAATTTAGGTTCAAGTGAGGAAGACTGAGCAGAGAAAGTGAAGAAAGTTCACAGGTCATCCAGTATTGAGGCACTATCTCTAAAATATGGTGTATCAAATATACAAAGCAGTGAAGAATGACTGACACGTTACACACCCGAGACACCGCACTTAAAATTAAAATTAGCAAGACTAATTCCCACTGAAATCTTATGTCTAGTCTAAAATATGGTGACCAATACTGAACTGCATAATCTAAATGGGGGGGGGGGTCAAATGAGGATAAGATAAACCTGAAAATTATTATTAGATGTCTCATTGCTAATGCTTCTTGATACAAATATGTACAACAATTTTATTTGCCTTATTCTGAACATTAATATATTGATTTTCTTTGGGGGGAGGGGGAGCTTCTCTGGCTCCCTGAAGCTAGACATGCAACCCGTCCTCAGACCAAGTCCATTCCATCCAGCGGTCAACCCCAAAGACGCATTCATCAACTTTAACATGCTGTTAATTCAAAACAGAACTTTTCTCAAATATAAATTATTATTACAGTATTATATATTAACATATTATGCTCATTTAGGCACTGGTTAGGTTAATTTAGGTGTTTAGGTTCTGTTGGCGATTATTTGTATTTGTAGTACTGTACGTGGGTGAAGCATTTACAGGTATTTGCAGTTCAAACAAAAGTCGTCAGCGAAGCACATGTTCCGGAAGTGTTCGAACATCAGTTGTGAGTCGTGTGTAAACTGCTTTTCATTCATAAACAGGGGGTTTGGCGGGTGGATGGAATGGTCTTTGGGTCTTGGTTTAGAGGATGGCCTGAGATGTGACTGGGGTTCCATCCAGTTGTAGTCCCTGGGTGTTCAGCAAGAATGTTGTTGCCTGCACAGTACGTACATCAATAACTATTATCATAAACAATAAAGGAGCGACTTCTGAAGCACTAAAATACCCGAGAAGCAGCTTTACAATACAGTCGGCGCCATCACAATTACTCTCTTAATATCACGCAACAAAAATACTAACAGGCGTAATTGGGCTCATTATTTTCACATACCTGTTCCTGTACTGGAACCTGCTGGGTTGGCTGTCCCGAAAGCAGACCCAAATGCTGTAAAATATAAACCCTCAGCTTTCTAAGTACATATAGTGAAACATATTAATAGAAAGTATACACAGTAAAGTAGCTTTAAGTATATCATATATGCAAGAAATTACATCCCCCAATAGGTTAAAGACATTCTTAAAGCATTCTTGCATGAGCAAGTATGAAGGATGTACTCTCAACAATCAGCCTCTCAAAGTAAGAATGTTTTATTAAGCAATTCGTTTGTTTTTTAAATCTGCAAAATTTTCCGAGCTAAAAAATATTTGCACTGCTCAATTTTTTTAAATAAACTCAGGCATTTCATATTTCTAAAAAACTCAGAAAAACAGCAGCAAGTACCCTATATGCCACACACCAAGTTAAAACGAATCTCTATTTTGTTCACAGTCAATCAAGAGATACATACTAGGCTAGCACATCTCAGGATACAGGGTGTATCCTGAGAAAATCCTTATACTAATAAGGATTAGTGATATTAAGTTCATTATGCCCCATCCACACTTTTATACCTAGTGCACTTTTTACTCCTTAATGTACACGTACTAATTTATACTCATTTTCAAAATTGTGAATAGAGAAGGTTTCAACCTTTTCATTCAATGCATTCCACTTGCTGACCACTTGTAAAAGTTACGAAAATCTCTTTACATTCCTGACAAAATTGTGTTTCCAGCATCCATTAATGTTTTTGTGTTCTATTTTCTCTCCATATGCAAATAAACATTAACAAGGACTACATGTATAGGGGTGAATGACTAAGGTGCACTAACCCTCAAAACAAATCAATCATCAAAATTGTTAACCCCACTTGTGTAGGAAAAAACCAGCATTGAATGTAATGAAACGGCAGTCGAGCCTGCCCTCAGGCCGGGCTTGGGGAGTAGAAGAACTCCCAGAACTCTCTCCAGGCAGTTTCTAGGTGAGCCCTGGGCACTCACCACAGAAAATTATTTTCTTATAGAGGGCAATTATTTTCTTCATTGGAGGCCTGGTCAACGACCCGGCTGCAGGGACGTTAAGCCCTGAAAACACCTCAATGTAATCTCAAGGTAAAGGTGATCACCTCAATGTAATCTCAAGGTAAGGGTGATCACCTCAATGTAATCTCAAGGTTAGGGTGATACACCTTCCTGCTACACAGAGCTGTAGCAGGAAGAAGGGTTGCAGGGTCTTGTGGCGCTCAACACCAAGTGAGAAGGTGGAGGAGACCAAAACCGTCAGTAGTTTCAAAGCGTTATATGACAAAGAGTACTGGGAAGACGGGACACCACGAGCAGTGCTCTCATCGTGTAACTACACTTAGGTAATTACACACCCGAACACCTAGAGTTACTGACACAGTAGTGTGTGTGGTGGTGGTGGTGGTGGTGGTGGTGGTGGTGGTGGTGGTGGTGGTGGTGGTGGTGGTGGTGGTGGTGGTGGTGGTGGTGGTGGTGGTGGGGGGGGGGGGGGGGGTAGAGGACTTGTACTTACCAATTAGGTAAGTGTTCACCTTGGATGATTTTATATTCATTGTTTCACTTACTGTATTTCTTAACACAATATAGTGTTTGTGTTGAATAACTTTATGTACACATAATTTACAAAAAGTGATTGCATACATACTGTATATAGGACTACACTGTAATAGTATATGCTTACCTATTGCATGTAATTTCTATTTCCATAGTACAGCTCAAAAGAAGCATGATTCAAACACTGGTGGGAAAAGACCAAACTGTCATTTGATGATAACCGCTAGCGAGGGGTCCTCATCGCCAGAGTATGCATTACAAAACGATCGCAGAATTTGCTCATGGGTTGGTTAACTTCATTTACAACTATATAGTCATTAAAACCACATTAACATCATTGGTACACAAATCGGGAAATAATAACTATAATGAGAAAATCCACTGGGACTAAGACAACACGAATCTGTGACCAAGGCCGGCCGAGCGGACAGCACACTGGACTTGTGATCCTGTGTTGCCGGGTTCAATCCCGGGCGCCGGCGAGAAACAATGAGCAGAGTTTCTTTCACCCTATGCCCCTGTTACCTAACAGTAAAATAGGTACCTGGGTGTTAGTCAGCTATCATGGGCTGCTTCCTGGGGGTGGAGGCCTGGTTGAGGACCGGGCCGCGGGGACACTAAAGCCCCAAAATCATCTCAAGATAACCTCAAGAAGGCATTGCTTGCCGCGCATACTCTACAGTAGTAGAGTTTGTCTATCTAGTAACAGTATATAAAATACCGTACCTGGATTGTACATTAATGGGGGTTCTTCTACTCCCAAAGCCTGGCCAGGAACCAAGTTTGACTTGCAAGAGTTTGGTCCAACAGGCTGCTCGGAGAGGCCCACAGGCCCACATATCCACTGCAGCCCAGATGGTCCCAAGTGATCAACAATGGTGATGATGACTATCATCGTGAGATGTCGAGGGTTACAAATTGCTATGGTAATAGGTATGTGAGGAGACATTGAAAAACTGCCATCTAGTGTTGGGAGAGTATATCTAGGTAGTGACCCATCCACAGAAAGGATTGTTTACATCATTTTCTGCAGTTACAAATTTCTCCAAACAGTTGCTTGTTTTTAAATGACTTGACATTTTTAGTGGATCTTTTGCTCTGATCCCCAGGCATTAGGGAAAATATGATTTGTCCCCTTTCATTGATAAGTGTGTAGAACTCTCATTTGATGAAATCTGGGGTAGTCAGGCAGTGATACTTTGCTCGATTCAGATAGGCATTTGGAAGTTCAATGTTGTCAAACATCTTTTGGAGGAAGATGGAATGTTTTGAGGAGTTTCTGTGTGTGTGTCAAAACAAAAAGATTACCATGTGCAGACAATGAGTCGCAATAACATGGCTGAAGATATGATGACCAAACCACAATTCAGAAGATGGAGAAGCGACGACGTTTCGATCCGTCCTGGACAATTATCAAGTCGTGTGATAACATCGTCGCTTCTCCATCTTCTGAGTTGTGGTTTGGTCACCAAAAGATTACCATGGTTGTTTGATGGATTTTTTAATTTCATAAGGTTCCCTCCCAGTTCAAGGGTAAACAACAGACTGAAAAAGTGCTTGTCTTTCATATACAGTATATATAAAAATGTATACAGTACCAAATGTAATAAGTGCCAAAAAATTTGCCTAAAAAGACATTAATTTGTACTATTAAAACCACAAGAATAGCAAATAAAGGGAAAAATATCTGCTGGAAATTACTGTAACATTCTGTAAATAGAATATCCACATTTCACCTCAAATGTTAATGAATGACAACCTAAATTACAATTACTAAAAGGGTAACTGGATAGCAAAATCCGTCCACTACGATGCCTACTTGGATATTTTCACTATGGCGAGCTCTAGGCTTTGCGGATCACACTAAGTACAATTTCATGCTATATAAACCTGTATCACTGCACTACTATCAAACACCGAAAAAAGTTAGTCATATAATTGGGCTCAATTATTTTTCTTACCTGTTCCTGCACTTGAAACCGTTGGATTCGTTGTCCCAAACGCTGATCCAAATGCTACCAAAAATAAAAAGAAAATTAAAGTATTTAATACAAAAACATTTATTTTTCAATCTAAAATCTAAGTAAATGAGTTTAAGTAATAACACACATATCATATATCAAGGTTAAAGAAGTCACCAAGTCAGCCTTACGTAATAATAATAAAAATACATGACACGCAAGAGGATCTAAACCGAATAATCCAGTTTCAAACCTATTTAAATATTATATTATTTTAGTCTGCGTACAAGAATTTTGTTATAGGGATCACGTCTATATAGTATCATTATTTTACAGCTACAATGAAACATTATCTGTAAATAATAAAACACAACTCCTGAAATGATAATATATACTGTACTTATACAGTAGTAATTATTTGGTTGAAAGCACCAATACGTAGTGATGGACCGCCAGTAAACTACAGATTCACGAAACAGTTACACAAGCACTTACGAACCTGTACACCTTTTCTCAATCCTTGGCGGCTTTGTTTACAATTATTAAACAGTTAATGAGCTCAAAAGCACCAAGAGGCTGTTTATAACAATAACAACAGTTGATTGGCAAGTTTTCATGCTTGTAAACTGTTTAATAAATGTAACCAAAGCCGTCAAAGATTGAGGAAAGATGTACACGTTCGTAAGTGCTTGCGCAACTGCTTCGTGAATCTGGCCTCAGGACCAAAATCTACTCGCCTCAATAGAAGGAAGGGGAAGTCTGGAGATACAAGACCACCACAGTAATCTGAAGAAAAACCAAAAAGAAGGGCAGAGTGCACTAAAACAAACAGTTTCATGGAAAACCCTTGCAACCCTTAGGGAGCCGGTTGGCCGAGCGGACAGCACGCGGGATTTGCGATCCTGTGGTCCTGGGTTCGATCCCAGGTGCCGGCAAGAAACAATGGGCAGAGTTTCTTTCACCCTATGCCCCTGTTGCCTAGCAGTAAAATAGGTACCTGGGTGTTAGTCAGCTGTCACGGGCTGCTTCCTGGGGAGTGGAGGCCTGGTCAAGGACCGGGCCGCAGGGACACTAAAAAGCCCCGAAATCATCTCAAGATATCTCAAGATAACCCTGATGTGAACTACGTACACACTTGTTGCCTCGGTTCAACCACTCATTAGCTACACTTGCTCACCACCAGATCTGGTGATCTGACCAGCCAACCCTAGTCACAAATGTGCCACCCAAGCTACAACCCCCCCCCCCCCCTTGAAAGCCATGGGAAGTAGGGTAGGATGGGATACAAATAGAGGTGTTAACAAATTATATTATAAAATAAAAATATTAAAAACAAATAAACAGCGTTAATGTAATGAAATGCCAATTTCAGGGTGAGCCCAGGTGGCTACTATCGCTGATTGTGTACCACTACTTAGGTCGCATCAGCATGCAGAATTCTATTGGTGTACCGAGGACCCGAACCAGGCCCACTCTAAAGTCGTGCAGGGAGCGGTGACATGTAGGTATTTATGCCACCACTGGGGAAGCAACCAGAAATTCAGCAAGACATAACAAACCACTGCTATCTTCTTGAGGTTATCTTGAGATGATTTTGGGGCTTTAGTGTCCCCGCGGCCCGGTCCTCGACCAGGCCTCCACCCCCAGGAAGCAGCCCGTGACAGCTGACTAACACCCAGGTACCTATTTTACTGCTAGGTAACAGGGGCATAGGGTGAAAGAAACCCTGCCCATTGTTTCTCGCTGGCGCCCGGGATCGAACCCAAGACCACAGGATCACAAGTCCAGCATGCTGTCCGCTGGGCCGACCAGCTCCCCATTGCTGGTTTTAATAGAGATCACAATCTCTAAAACTGCCGAAAGAACTTTGTAAACAAATGATAAAAAAATCTCTCAAAACTAGCACAAGTTTGTTTGCCCCATCTCCCTCACTGGGATGAGCGGTTAGCTGGTGATCAGCCCGCCACAATGTTCTCAGTTCTATAGCTTATGGTAGTGTGTGTGCTGTGTTGCCTCACTGCTGTTCCGGCTTTTAAGTGTTCTGGTTTTCAGCTAACAGATGGTTTTTGCCCTTGCAGTGGGTCCTATACACTGTGGTGTAGGGGTGAACCAGGAGTTCAAGAGCACTTGGAGCTGCATGTGCACAGGGTTCTCTTCCTTGTGTGCTCCCTAGTGCTGCCTTTGTACTGCCAGGGTTATCTTCCCCTGGCGTGTTCGGGAGCCACTACCTTGAGGCCTTTCTCGCTTGTGGTGGCCTTTGGCCAGGGTGGTTCAAGTCACTTGGGGTTTCCTGCTTTACTCGGTTTGGGAGTGACACTGGCTAGTGGGCCGTAGTGGGTTTTCACGTACTGTACTACAGCGTGCTGAGGTCGATCTTCACAGCCAACTGCCGAGGGCTGTGTTGGTTTATTATTCATAACTAGGTCCAATGTAGTATCCCAGTGCCTGTGTCCTGCTTGGTTTACCCTTCAGGCCTTGGTAATCCCTTGTGGGTTCAGTGGTCCTGTGAATATCCCTCCCTAACCTACTCTCACTTCATGTTAGTTAGAGGGTTGCGAAGTATGTTGTCCACGCCACATGGCAACAATCCTTCCTTCTACTCCTGCCATGCTGCATGTTGAGTTGGTGACACCTTCTACCCCGAGTCCTGTGTTCTTCTTCTCCCTATGTGCTCTCCTTTCTAACCCTCCAGATGAGGTTAGGGCTTACCAGGCAGTAACTGCTTAGCATCTCGGGTTTCCTAGGTTGCAGTGGTCTAGGTCGTGTGCCCGGTTGGATGTCCTGTTTCATGTTTAGAGACCCAGAATTGGAGATGTTGGTAAATTCTACCAGGCTCTGCCCGCACCCCCTCTTCTTCTCCCTTCGGAAATGGTTTGCCATTTCGTTTTCCCTCCCTCCACTTTACAGTCCTAGACCTGATACCCTCCCAAAAATAATAAAATTAGTTACCGACATTTTAACACCTCTGGGTTTAGTGGCGCCCCAGATTTAAAGAGTATAGCCCCATAATGGTCCTTAAATTGAGTGGATATTGGTTGGCTTTTTACATTTCACTGGCTCCACACGAGTGCTTAGGGCGCCGGTGAAATGATACACAAAAGCTAACCAAGTAAATCAATAAACATGGAGATAGGGTCATAAAGTACAAAATAAGTTCATGAAGCTTCTGTATATAATATAGATAGGATTTTAAAGTCCTAAAACTAAGTCATATATAGTAATTGCCCGAAGCGCTATGCGTACTAGTGGCTTTAGGTATTGTATGTACTACCTCTATCTTTAAATCAAACAGAATGTTTGTACTGTAACACTGCAACTATGTATGTACTTTTCCTAAATAAATTATTATTATTATTATTAATATATCAAAAATTATTTGATATCATCTGATTTTATAATAAAAATCCCACACTTGAACACAACATAATACATAATACATGTAACATAATACACATAAATACCAACAACAGAATACAGTCCAAGACAATAGAAATATTTTTTTAAATAAAATACTTGAGAAATACATCTACACATGAAAGAAACTCTTAGCAGTCAAATGATTTAATATCCTCAGAAAGAAATCTATGCACACAGCACTTATTATTTTCTTTACCTGTTCCGGTGCTGGAAACCACTGGGTTCGGTGTTCCAAAAGCCGAACCAAATGCTGCAAAAGTGAATAGATAATATGTAACAAAATATAAAAATTTTCACATTTCACTAAAAATATATGACATTTAATCTTGTATCCCACATTTTTTTTTTTTTTTTTTTTTTTTTTTTTGAGATATATACAAGAGTTGTTACATTCTTGTACAGCCACTAGTACGCGTTGCGTTTCGGGCAAGTCCTTAATCCTATGGTCCCTGGAATACGATTCCCTGCCGCGAAGAATCGTTTAAACATTAATTACTACGGGGTGTATAGTACATTGAGGTAGGTGTTTGATGGGTGGTGCAAAAAAATTCTTGAATTAAGCAATACAGTATTTAAGTATTTTTAAATGTTTTTTTTAACTCTGTGATTTGAAATGAAAATTGTTGAGTTTGGCAATATTTTGATATTTTTCACATTTTAAAAAATCTTCAGTTAATGTCAATAAACCCCTTGCATCATGAAGTTCTCACATGAAACAGGTCCACAGTGCAGGAGTTAATATTTATTATACAGGTTATACCGTACCTAAAGGAGTTAATGAGGTCCTTCAGTCATTCTTGCATAAAAACCCAACACTGAATGTAATCAAATGCCTCTTTCTGGAGGAGCCACAATAACTCCCTGAAGTTATCTTCTAACATTGCTCCATACTAAATAGTCTCATCAGTCGAGAATGTTCTGTTAGGCCTAACAGAGTCAAGAGCCAGAACCAAGGGCCAGATTCGCAAAGCCGTTACGCAAGTACTTACGAACGTGTCCATCTTTCCTCAATCTTTGACGACTTTGGTTACATTTATTAAACAGTTTACAAGCATGAAAACTTGCCAATCAACTGTTGTTATTGTTATAAACAGCCTCTTGGTGCTTCGGAACTCATTAACTGTTTAATAATTGTAAAGAAAGCCACCAATAATTGAGTAAAGATGGACAGGTTCGTAAGTGTTTGCGTAACCGCTTCGTGAATCTGGCCCCTGGCCCCCCTGACAGAGGTACAAAAAACAAATGACAATCTGCTACCCCACTGAAAAAGAAAGCCTCCAGAATGTCAGCGAAGCTTTAAAGACAACTTGAAGGTTCACAGAAATCGAAGCCATGAAAATGTTAAAACTCAACCAACTATTCCCAAGTTCAAAATTTGTTAGTAACAATAACAACCTTCATGTGACACGTCCTGGCTCCAGCCTTCAGCCAGCTCTCCTGGTCAGTTCTGGAGCTGATGATCAACTCAATGACGAACTGTCGAACCTAGAGGGAGGAAGGGGGGGGCTATCAAGGAGCCACCGGGGCTTCTTCAGCAAGAGAAATTTCATTACATTGAATACTATGTTTCTGGAGGGAGTCGACTGGTGGCTCCCTGAAGATAACTATAGAACAAGAAAATGCATGGAATCTAATAAAATGTCTCTTTCTACAGAAGCCCTGAAGCTATCTCACCAAGATGCTACATACTGAAGGGTCACATCAGTAGCGGAAGTTCTGTTTGGCCTACCGGGGACAAGCACTGGAACATCGCCTCCTCACAGGGGTGCAGGGATCAGGTGACAATCTGCCACCCCAATGGTAAAAGCCTCCCGAAAATCATCAAAGCTTTACACACAACTGACGGGTTCACAGAAACTAAGCTTTGAAACTGCCAACAAAACTCAGCAAATGACTCGCACTGAACAAAGAATTCACTCATACTAGCTTGAAACTTATTCGTAGTGATTACCGTCACCAGAGGGCCTAGTCCCACCCGCAAGTCGACACCACAGCTTCAGTGTGACACCCTGCCTGGGCTTGGCTGATACTAGGAATTAACATCATGGCGCTACTGTACTTAGGAAACCATCTCGGAAAAGTACAGATTGCCAATTCCTTTCAAATAAATTTTACAGTATAGCTACTGGTAAATATCTAGGCACTGTTGTGCAACAAAAGACAATAATAGGTAAAGAATTAATAGTTTGCTTATAAAATTAACTTGAGATGACACATCTCAAGTTAATGTACACATTTATTTTTCTTACCAGTTCCTGAGCTGGAAACTGCTGGGGTGGTCCCAAAAGCTGACCCAAATGCTGCAAAATTAAAAAAATACGTTACAAATTACCTTCATCTATATCTATATACAGTATATATATATGGTATATTATATACATTATATAGATAATGTGAATGTGATATACAATATTCACATTCATAAATGTATAACTGAATGTGACAAAGGATGAGATTAATGAGGAGTTTATGACCAAGGTAAGGTAATTATCAGGAGAAAGTGCCAATCCATTACGACTATATAGCACTGGGAAGGGGTCAGGATAAAGTTTTGGGATGGGACGGGGGGAAAGGAATGGTGCCCAACCACTTGTGGACGATCGGGGATTGAACGCCGACCTGCATGAAGTGACTATCGCTCTACCGTCCAGCCCAAGTGGTTGGTGAGTTAATGACCAAACCACACAAAAGAAGATGGGAGAAACGATGTTTCAGTCCGTCCTGGACCATGAGCTTGAATCTTGTATTATGTCTCTGCATGAGATAAATGATTCTAGCCAGAATCTTCTATATTTTTCTTATGTTTTTCTTTACGTAAGAAAGAAATTGAAAGTTAACTCTCCAAAGTTCTTTTTCCATTTTTATTTGGTCTAAGACATGCATTTTAGTAACCCTTGTTAACATTATCAAAGGCAGAGTTCAAATAGTTATAAGCCGATTGATTGATTGATGAAGATTAAGCCACCCAAGAGGTGGCACGGGCATGAATAGCCTTCAAGTGGTAGATCTTTTTGGAGTGAATGTATACTGTGCTGAGGTCGCATTTAAATCGTCAGTCCTTACTATGTGGCTGCTATCGCGGGGGAGGATACTGCTGGACAGTACTGATGAGGGTGTCCAGCTGCTGGACACCTTTTTTGACCAGAAGAGTGGCAGTATTAATGGCTTCAGGGTGGTTACTGCAAGATTCAGGGACTCTTAAAGCTCTTCTAAGGTCATTAGTTACAGGTTAATAAACTTTTCTGTGATTGTTTGGCAGAAGAGGCAATCAAAATCTCTGGGTTCATCAATTTTCCAGTTGCATTTGTAACCTAGATGTAGTCTATATAACCGAACTGCTATTTCCCTGTGGATTCCATTCGGGATATTTAACCTGTCTAACTTGGTGGCCCGAAAATACCATATTGCAGAGGGGGAACCTTCTGCTACTCTTTGTTGTAGATGGTCTTTGATGAGGTGTGAGAGTTTTTTTGGTGATGGTGTTTTTTATGTACTCTAGGTTGGGTTGGATTATTTTATGAATCACTAGATGACGAGTTGCCAATTTAGCAGTCATCGGTTTTCTCATTTAATGATATTCCAACACTGCACGGGATCCAGTTTAGGGTTATGTTGAGTCCTGTGCCTTTAGCTACTGCTCCTAGATACAAAATGGCGGTAATTATAGTATTTCCATGTTGTCTTTCCAGTTATGAGCTCTTGTGCTGCAAGATATACAGCTGGGGATGCAGTGAAGGTGAAGCATCTCAGTTATGAGCCAATAGGCCCATTATAACTTACTAATAGGGGAATGCATAGTGATGCCATCTACTTGTTTATACATGCACCATTAGGACGCAGAAAGGTACCCCATCAGGACTCTTTGGTACATGCTTTGAGTAGCTTCCTAAGTGTGCCTTCTGGGGACATCAAGGAGAGTACAAACTGGATCCCGGTAAACTCTGTCCATCATCATTCCAATAGTCTCATCCCGGGCACATTGCATACCTGGAGAGGTTTTTGAGAGTTCTTCTATTCCCCGAACCCAGCCTGAGGCCAGGCTTGACCTAAGTAAACAGCAACTCAATATCAAAAGACGCTATCACTCCTAGTGCCCGCAACCCCTGCAATAAATCAACAAATTCCTTTGGAGATCTAAGGCCGAAGGTGCATTGCACGTATGGAGTTAGCAGAGTTTTTCACTTAGCCAGTCCGTACGTGAGCGTAGGTATCTGGCTGATGATTGGTCAAAGTGGGTTTCCAGGTTTGTGGGTCTTGACAGGAGAGCATCTCTTGATGTCGAGTCCTGTTCACCAATGTGCATCTCAGTTCTGGTACTAATCTAGTTGCAAACCTGTTAACTTTCTCACATTTTTGTTTATACTTCACAAGGTGTGTTTTCCATGCTGGAGCTGCTTACTCAAGTAGTGGTCTTGCATATACAGCACCTGGATTGTACCTGGGAAGGGTTCTGGGAGTTCTTCTACTCCCCCAAAATTGACTTGTGAGAGCTTGGCTCAACAGACTGTTGCTTGGGGTGGCCTGCGGGCCTGCATATCCACTTCAACCTGGTTGGCCCGGCACTTCTGGCAGGATTTTGTCTAATTTTTTCTCCAAGAAGTCACAGTTTGTTCCAACAATATTTCTTATATTTGTTGGCAAGATATTGAGCAGCCATGGCCCCTCTTATGTTTATACAGTTTAGCTGTATAGTGGTGGTTTCTAATTGTGCCTATGGGACATGTACTCTTCACTAGCTCTATTCTGCATTTCCTTCCATATCGTTCACTCCAGCATGTTATTTTACAGTCCAAATTAAGGACCTGGCCTTCCAGTATTTTCCGTATGCATATTATGTGATATGTACTTCTCTCGTCTCCTTTCCAATAAGTACATTTTGAAAGCTTTGAGACGATCCCAATAATTTAGGTGCTTTATCATATCTATGTGTGCCGCATATGTTCTCTCTATTTCCTCTATTTCACCAATCTATAAAGCTCTGAAGGAGGAAATGAGTATCAAAAAATACTCCAAGTCAGGACAGCACAAATGATTTAAATAGTATGAGCATTGCACAATGAAATCACATTAACATGATGTATCAATACCTGCTTGATACCTGCTTGATGGGGTTCTGGGAGTTCTTCTACTCCCCAAGCCCGGCCCATGGCCAGGCTTGACTCAATAAGAAAATCAATGAGAAAATCAGTAGGGTCAATGAGGAGGATTCGAACCCACTCCCTCGATATTCCCAAGCTAACACCCTAGACCACTATGAGCATTGATAGACCTCTGCGAGATCATTTACATAGATTAAAAAGAGAAATGGTCCTAGGACAGAGCCCTGTGGAACACCACTTTACACGTACCTCCAGCTTCACATATTGTCTCTGTGGTAGTGGGTAGAGTGGTGGGTGTGGGCATAGCGGTAGTGGTTGTGGGCATGTTGGTGGGTGTGGGTATAGTGTTAAGTGTAGTACCCATAGTGGTTGTTGTGGGTATAGTGGTGGTTGTGGGTATAGTGGTGGTTGTAGGTATAGTGGTGGTTGTAGGTATAGTGGTGGTTTGGGTATAAGGTGATTGAAGGTATAGTGCTGGTTGTGGGTACAGTGGTGGTTGTGGGTATATTGTTGAGTGTGGTATCCATAGCAGTGATTGTGGCTGTAGTAGCGATTGTATACAGTCCATAGTTGTAATGAGGAGAAAGTGTTGATTCTGTCCTCTTTCCGCCGCTTCTCGTTTATTTCCTTTTTCATTCTCACTTGAACAAACCTCAACCATTATACTTATTCTCATTTCTCATAGAAAGCATGGGGTGACTTGTTCAAAATATATGACAGTCAAACTAAAGTATGCCAAAGTAGCAAACATGTCAAGTTCCACTCAATGTCTTTACCACCTAAAGGCATTTCAAATATCCAAGAAAGCTTATCCGTGCAATACACCCTCGTACATGTCCTGTAGCAGTAAAGTATGCGGTACTGGACGCACTTACGTGTTGTTGCCGTTGTAGACCCTCCCGTTGCACCTCCAAAGCCGAAACCTGTAAATGATTCAAGACCATTAACACACTGATGTTTCAACCCATCACCACATACCCAACTGTCAACATTCCAGGAATCTCAAGGTTCCTGGAATGGCAGTCCTTTAGGCAGTCCTTAACGTTAGTAATTCCTTTAGGCAGTCCTCCTAAGGACTGCCTAAAATGTTTGTACTCATTATACATTTTTACTCAGTCTTTGAGTTATAACTATAAATTTTGTGACAAAATATTTACAAATAATATCCCTTTTACCAAATCAAATCTTTGCTGTAAGTACTGACAATGCAAAATGTGTTTTAATAATAGATTATGATGTGTGATGATGCTGAATATAGACACTTTGATGAACATTTCAAAATCACTCGTATATTTTTCAAAATTCCTCACTTATTTTTTAACCTAAATAAAAAAAATCACCATTCAATGTAATGAAATGCCAATTTCTGGAGGAGCCCTGGTGGATCCTTGACACTATCTTCCTGACGTTGCTTTATGCTAAAAGGTTACGCCAGCAGCGGCTAGTTCTGTGTGGCCAACTGGGCACCAGAGCCAGAACCGGGTCCCCTCACAGAGGCAGAGAGAGATGCCACCTCTCCCCTCACAGGTGACAATCTATCATCGCCAGAAAAAGCCTCCAGAATGTCTGTGCAGCTTTACCGACAACTGAAAGGGGTCACAGAAATCGAAGCCTCGAAAAACCACCAAACAACTACTGCAAACAGAACAAGGGACTCATTTGAATGAGCTTGAAACTCATTAGTATCGATTACCACCTCCAGGTGGCCCAGCCCTGGCTCCCAGCTAGCTCCAAAAATTAGTTTTGGACCTAGGGTCAGATTCACGAAAGCACTTACGAACCTGTACATCTTTCCTCAATCTTTGGCGGCTTTGTTTACAATTATTAAACAGTTAATGAGCTTCGAAGCACCAGGAGGCTGTTTATAACAATAACAACAGTTGAATGGAACGTTTTCACGCTTGTAAACTGTTTAATAAATGTAACCAAAGCCGTCAAAGATTGAGGAAAGATGTACACGTTCGTAAGTGCTTGCGTAAGTACTTTCATGAATCTGGCCCCTGATGAACAAACCCATGGTGAATCGACGAACCCTGAGGGAAGAGGTTGGGAGGAAGGGTAAGCCGGGAGCCACTAGGGCTCCTCCAGAAATTAGTATTTTATTACAGTGAATGCTCAGTTTCTGGAGGTAGCCCCTTGTGGATCCCTAAAGTTCATTTAACCACAGAGAACAAGTAAGGGACTTATCAGGAATAAAGAAGAGGTGGCAGGCACTTAAGACAAAGAAGAAAAACTAGGCCAAGCAACAAAAATGATTTAAGTTACTACAAAAACAAAAAACCAGCACTGAATGTAATGACACCAATTTGTAAGCGAGCCCCGGTGGCTTCCTTTAGCTACTAGTATACTGATATAATGCCAGACTACAAGGTGTCATCGGTTGTAGATTTCTTACTGACCTATTGGGGACCACCTGGCCCTCTCAGAGAGGCACAGGGAGCATTGGCACTATGACAAATTTTGATGTAAATTTATTCATGTCAGCTACCACCAAGGACACCCAGAAAGTCAGGGAACCAAAACAAACCACTGCTTGGATAGAAAACCAGACCACAGCCTCAAAAACAGCCAAAAGAACTCGCCCAACTACGTTATCTTGAGGTTATCTTGAGATGATTTCGGGGCTTTTTAGTGTCCCCGCGGCCCGGTCCTCGACCAGGCCTCCACCCCCCAGGAAGCAGCCCGTGACAGCTGACTAACACCCAGGTACCTATTTTACTGCTAGGTAACAGGGGCATAGGGTGAATGAAACTCTGCCCATTGTTTCTCGCCAGCGCCTACGATCGAACCCAGGACCACAGGACCACAAGTCCAGCGTGCTGTCCGCTCGGCCGACTGGCTCCCCCGGTCGTAAACAAACAATAGAAAATTCATGAAACTAGTGCAAGCTACTTCACTCCACCTTCCCCCCCCATCCTTTCATCTGGGGAGGGAGGGAGTGAGGTAGATTGGGTCAACTGGCTGCTCTACCACCAGTTCTTATAATGATGGAAACCACCCTGACAAGAGTTCTCACATTCTTGTAGAGCCACTAGCACACATAGCGTTTCGGGCAGGTCCTGAAGCCTAATCTTTTTCCCCAGAATACGACCCACAAAATCGCTTAACAACCAGGTACCCATTCACTGCTGGGTGAACAGAGGCAACAGTTAAGGACTGGCACCCGGTCAATCCTCCCTGGCCAAGATACGAACCCAGGCCAAAACTTATGTATTCCTAAATGGAATATCTAATTATAATAGAATATAAAAAACAGCTTAGGACAATGAAATATTACATTAATATTATCTGAAGGGTAAGAACACCAGAAACGCCAAACCAGTAACAATGCCAAACAATATACTGCATGTTACAAGAGACAAGTTTAATTCAGTCCGTCCTTCTAATGTTTCCAAATTTCAAGAAAACTGTCAATTTAAAGTATCTTCTCCTAACCTACCAGAGGAACGAAAACAGAAAACGAGACAGTACGCCACTTTTGCAAGCTGTTTCCATTTTCTAGTACGACAATTTTTGGCCTTATGCAATGCAAACGAGCGAAAGTGACGTTCTTTGTAAGAGGACAAGTTGTTTAATTACCTGTCGAGACTGGTGTTGTAACACTGGTGTTAGCCCCTCCAAAGCTGAAGCCTGTGAATGATAAAATGTATTGGTAAATTTAAAAAACAAAAGGGAATGAAGGACTGACTGGTTTAGATCTCTGGCACTGTAATGATAGTGTTTTATGTTTTAAAAGAGCTGGCTCCAGCAAACTTTCCACCTCAATAATGTTGGTTTAGTTCAGAATATTATCTCAATTATGCCTCTTCAAGTAATGGAAATAAAAGATGTTATGGAAAAACACATTAAGAGTATTGTAGTTTATTCCACATATAATGATAATTGTGGAACGGAAAACAAAATAGTGTAGAGCATTATTTAAGGGTTAACAGCCAAACATTATATCTCCCAGTGCTTCAGACATCACAGTGCCAGAATGAATCTACAAAAATTATTTATTAATGTTGACCACACATTAGGGAAAGAAGGCCTCTCACTACACATAAAATACTAGGTAGTCAAAGACTACCTAGGTATGCAGGCGATGAGTCACAATAACGTGGCTGAAGTATGTTGACCAGACCACACACTAGAAGTTGAAGGGACGACGGCGTTTCGGTCCGTCCTGGACCATTCTCAAGTCGATTGTGATGAGGACAGGTAGGGACAGGCAATAAATAGGCAAGAGAGAGCTGAGGAGGAAAGTAAGGTGTAGGGGGATAGTAGTAATAATGAGAACTGCAGAAGGCTAAAACCTAGGTAGTATAGGCTAAATATATCCAGTCCACCAAAAATATAGGCCACATCTGACCTATTCATTCAGTTAAATCACCTGGAAAACCAAATGCAGAAAATGTAATTTATACATTTTGCAAATTGGTCAGTCTAACAGCCCACTGTTCAAGCTTTGCACTCTTCAAAATAAAGTCACATAGCATCAACATTTGTGATTTATATTTATACACTTACAATAAACACTCATGATCATAATAAAACCCTCTCTTTTGTCATCAAGCTCCTCGTGTTGTTTGCTAGTGGACTGTAGGCAGCAGTGTTATCAGTTTATTATCCCGAGTGAAGATTGTCAATGCCATTATGTTGGCTTCTCGTGGACTGTTAAGTATTACTTATCTTACCTTTAGTTGGTCATAGTTAGGACGGCAACGCCTCCACCTTTTAAAATTTTACTTTCGTGTTTTCAAATAGCATAACCCCTCTGGAATACCGCCCCCATTCAAAAATTTTTCTTCAAGTTTAGTCTCCGTTAATGTAACAATATCTAGTATCCTTAACTGTATTATATATTTTAACTCCAGCATTTTTTACTTTACCCGATTTATGTTAGTACTGTACTGTACTGTACTTTACAGTATGTACTTAAATTGCTTAGGTAATTACAAAAACACACACAATCAACTATATTCCACGAATAATAAATCCCTGCTGTACTGTAAAGTCTAGGGTGCATAAGAGTACACTCTCATACTGTAGGGCCCATACCAGTATACGATAAATTATGTGATATTCCTAAAATGCAAATACTGTACTCTTAAAACCACAATGACCCTGGTGTCGCAGAGGGAAGTATTAGAAAAGTTGCCTGTCTATCTCTACATGAAAGAACTAAAGCACAACAGTTGCCTCTTTTCATTCACAAACTCACCTGTTCCCGCAGTTGTGCCACCAGTGCCAGGAGTTCCAAAGCTAAATGCTGAAAGGAGAACGTTATCATGTTATTCTCGGTAGTGTCTATATCTGTCTTGGTTAATAATTATCCCTTCACAATGATCACAACATAGTCACATAGAGCATCGCAACCTCCTGAAATGATACTATGTAACTATAAGTAACTATTTGGAGGAAAATTCCAATACGTAGTGATAGACCCCTTTTTGTACTTTCCATTTTATAAAGTCTGGGAAAACTAAAGCTACAAACCAAACTTAAACATTCCTAGATCTAGTATAGCACACGTATGTGCAATATTAGATCTCAGACAGCATATATTAGGCCTAGGGTTGCTAGAAGTTAGGTTAGGTTCATATTTGTATTGTGGTTAAGAAAAAAGTGTTTCCCATTTGGCTATATTGGTATTTTCGACCAAATAGTTACTATCAGTACCATCATTTCAGAAGGATGGGCCAACATAGAAAAATATGAACTACAGTATATTATTTAAAAAATTACAGTAGAGTGAGACTACATATCAAAATGTCTTCTATAATTCAAACTCCAAATTTATATCTCTCTCTCTCTCACTACTCCAGTAAAAGCATCTTAAGAGCATCTTAAGATGCTCTTAAGATGTTTAATATCACACTACTGTAGTTTTTATAGACAACTAAATGGCCTCTGAACTTAAAAAAATAAGAGCTACAAAGAAAGGCATTAAATATGCCAAAAGTAGAAGAAAGAAGAAAAGGAGGAGCTATGATTATTACAGTATTTACAAAATACCAACAAGAATCGATAAAATTGACAGAGAAGAGTTTTTAAGAACTGCAACTTCAAGAACAAAAGGACACAGGTTTAAGCTAAAGATATAAGGCTGCTGAAATAAGGTTTAAGCTAAAGATATAAGGCTGCTGAAATAAGGTTTAAGCTAAAGATATAAGGCTGCTGAAATAAGGTTTAAGCTAAAGATATAAAGCTGCTGAAATAAGGTTTAAGGGGGCGTCTGGTTATTATAATGAAAGTTGTTCAATGTCAACCAATATTATTTTTCTAGTTGTATATGAAAAGTGCTTAAATTGTCCCAAGTTTCAGTACTGCAGCGTGAATAGAAAGGTTTCAGATAAAATTATTCTGTAACACTTTTCTGACACATTAGCATATAATAAAGGATTTGGGGATTTAGAATTTCCAAAACATCTTTAGTTTTCCTAATACAAATGTTCAAAGTTCCCCAAAAATTTTTTGCAAATATGGTTTATTGCTATTATAAAATCAATAAATGAACTTAGAGAAAAATGAAAGCCCCCCAATGTAGAGACATGCCCTCTACATATACTGTGTAAGTTTCATGTAAATTGAATAAAAAAAGAATGAGTTTTGTAAACGTTTGTGTCAATTGAAAAAAAAACAGAAATGAATAAAGTCTAAGGTTCTAAAATCTGTGGCTGGGTTTGACATCAACCAATTTTCTTCAAAATTGGCATCTTTACAGATAGGCTTACGTACAGTCAGGTGTGTAAGTTTGATGCAAATCGCCCCAAAAAAAATGAAAAAAAAAAAATATTAAAAAAAAAAAAAAGAAAAAAAAATCCTTTTTTTTTTTTTTCCTTAAAATTTTTTTCGAATTAAACTAATAATAATATTTGTTTAATATATGCTATTGTGATAGCAAAGAGTTGTAGTTATGATTTCAGTTGACACTTTTGATTGATAATCGATTTTGACCATTTTTGCATTATTTTCACAACTACTTCAATATTTTTTTCTCCCTTCCTATTTATGCTACAATGCTGAAACTTGGACCAGATGAAACACTTTTCATATAGAACTTGTCAAAAAAGTTTGATTGAACTCGAATGAGTTTTCATTTTTGCATTTTTGGACCCAGATGCCAACCAGACGCCCCCTTAAGCTAAAGATATAAAGCTGCTGAAATAAGGTTTAAGCTAAAGATATAAAGCTGCTGAAATAAGGTTTAAGCTAAAGATATAAAGCTGCTGAAATAAGGTTTAAGCTAAAGATATAAAGCTGCTGAAATAAGGTTTAAGCTAAAGATATAAAGCTGCTGAAATAAGGTTTAAGCTAAAGATATAAAGCTGCTGAAATAAGGTTTAAGCTAAAGATATAAAGCTGCTGAAATAAGGTTTAAGCTAAAAATATAAAGCTGCTGAAATAAGGTTTAAGCTAGATATAAAGCTGCTGAAAAAACTCAGAAATTTCACTTTTGCCAACAAAGTGGTAGACAGTGGTAGACTCAAGAATCTGTACACCAGTTGATTGATTGTCGAGAGGCGGGACCAAAGAGCCAAAGCTCAACCCCCGCAAACACAACTAGATGAGTACAGTTGGAATAAGTTAAGTGAGAAGGTATTGAACCAAAACTGTCAGTAGATTCAAAGCATTATATGATAAAGAGTACTGGGAAGACGGGACACCACGAGCATACCTCTCATCCTGTGAACACATTCAAGTAATTACACTACAAGCATACCTCTCATCCTGTGAACACATTCAAGTAATTACACTAAGAGAATTACAAATAAAACTGCTTTATATGAATACTTCCTGTTTTACAACATGCATCAACACTGATGCTCAAACACTTTGGAAACATTTCCACTGAATGTGAAGAGACTGCATTAAGCATCAGCAGCATTCTGATGCTTAATATTAGGATGAGAATATTTAAGTTACTGCTAAACAAGTGATACATTAGTACATTTAATATTTTTCAGGACAGCAACTCCATCCCTGTTATTCATACTGGACTATCATTTTGTATCAAGTATACTTCAACTTTAATAACCATAAATGATAATATAAAAAGCAAGGTCAATGATAACCCTAACAGGATATGACCTACAGCTCTCCATAACTTTACTCTGGTTAATGTACATAAAACATTACCCATTCATGTTAATATAAATTAAGACATGTTCATAAATCAATATATGTATTAAACAGAATTATATCAGTCAGTAATCAATTTCTAGTTCTATATACTTTTGAGAAATACAAAAGTGTTATTGTAAAGGCTTTTTGAGACCGACCCACAGGATGTGGCGAGCAGCTCTGTATCCTGTTGACATATTCCCAGAGAATACATGTTTATACACACTATCAGTGCCCGAGACACTAAATGTGCACACACAATACTGCGGAACTGCCCAGGAAACCTATAGTGTTATTCCCTTATCTCCATTAGGCCAAGAGGAGACGAGTACATCTGCATCACCAGGTTAGGATATAACCACAGTAATGTTGTCCAAGTAAGGGATGGAACTTGGAGCACAAAGTACCTCTCTACATAATGACAACAGGAGTGTGCCAGCATGAAACACAGAGCTAAAAACCTTCATTCTATAGTTGGAACAGTACTGTATATGGCAGGATTTAAATACAAATTTTGTACTAAAAACAAGTCTAAATCTCAATACCATTCTTAACTTACAATCTCATTTTTTATTATTATTATTATTATTATTATTATTATTATTATTATTATTATTATTATTATTATTATTACTGTATTATTTTTATCAAACAAATCCACAGGAGCCTTGATGAGGGTTCGAACCTATGCACTGAGTGTTCTTAGACACGCTCTAGTCGACTGTACCACGACACGGTTGACCATGTTGTGGTACAGTTGACTAGAGCGCATCTGGGAACACACAACGCATAGGTTCAAACTCTCATCAAGACTGCAGGCGATGAGTCACAATAACGTGGCTAAAGTATGTTGACCAGACCACACACTAGAAGGTGAAGGGATGACGACGTTTCGGTCCGTCTTGGACCATTCTCAAGTCGATTGAGACTTGACAATCGACTTGAGAATGGTCCAGGACGGACCGAAACGTCGTCGTCCCTTCACCTTCTAGTGTGTGGTCTGGTCCTCATCAAGACTCCTGTGGATTTGTTCTTAGATATTTTGCGTTTATGTGATTTCTCTGTGTAATATTTTTATTGTTGGCAGGAGGAAAGGGAATGGTGCCATCTCTCTTAAGCCAGGAATGGCCTACATGTACATAAATGTATTTTATTTTTCCTCACTTTACCATAATTACTATGATTTTTCGATCCCTGCATCCCTATATGAACATGAATTCATATATTGGTCATAGTACAATGCTAACTATAGCCTCCTCAAAATGTGCTTGCATAGTGACCACTTTCTATACCTTGACTGAGTTCGTTATGAATCATTCCGCAGAATTTATAAACAACTGCCGTATCAAATTCCATTTGCCGAATACAGTATTGCTCCATTCAATTACAATATTTACCTGCTTGATGGGGTTCTGGGAGTTCTTCTACTCCAAGTCCAGCCCGAACCCAGGCATGACTTGTTAGTGCATAATTTTGGAAAGTATGACAGCCATACATATATCAGAAATTAGGATTTTTTTATTTTTTTTATTTTTTTTTTCTTCCCAGCAGTTTAGCATAATCTGCAATCAATCTGGATTGCTTCAGATAGATCAATTGATTTATGTATTGTGACACTATAAATATTACTGACAATAGTACGGTACCGAGCCACTCAATAGAAAGACCAGACACATTCGTCCAATCTGATTTATTGCTCCGAATCAACTGCTTTCATCTTTTTATTCAAGAAAAATTTCATCCATACTGGCAGGTTTCCGATTATCTCCTGTGTGCTCAAACTTCCAAACAATCTCATGTGTCCTTAATCGAATGCTTTTTTTTTTTGAGGTCCAGATAAATGAGTCTGCTTGTGTGTCTCTTAAATACTCAATGACAGACATAACCACTAAATAAATAAAAAAAGCATTATCACCCTGTTTCAAAGCCCAAAACTGCTTGAAAGCCGATTGTTTCAAGAAATTCCACTTTTCATTTTAATAATCATTTTTAGTGATGTGACCTTAACCCCCCTTCCCCATCCTTACTCTGACCAGCAATACTGGGGGCCAGATTCACGAAGCAGTTACGGAAGCACTTACGAACCTGTACATGTTTTCTCAATCTTTGGCGGCTTTGCTTACAATTATTAAACAGTTAATGAGCTCCGAAGCACCAAGTCGCTGTTTATAACAATAACAACAGTTGATTGGAAAAGTTTTCATGCTTGTAAACTGCTTAATAAACATAATCAAAGCAATCAAAGACCAAGGAAAGATCTACGTATTCGTAAGTACTTGCGTAACTGCTTTGTGAATGTGGCCCCTGGTCTATACTGTAGTTCAACGAGTATATTTTACTTTTTCAAGATTGCTCTCCATTTCCTCTAGATTTGTGACTTGCACCCCATGAAAGTGGGAAATGGGGGTAACACAAATAAATGATAATGACGATGAACATCAATTTTTCACAAATAAATCACGCTAGTATTCCCTGACTGATAGATGCCATGAGTGCGATAATGTTACGAGAATTTGTGACGTTTCTGGCCTGCATCATCGGCATCGCAATGTGCTATACCAACCCCCCCAAGTGCCCAGCCGAGTGTGAATGTGAAGGCCCAACGATCACGTGCGACAGCGAGTTAGGGCCATCACTAGACCCAAGATTTACCTCCTTCAAGATACAAGACGCAAGTCATGCCATCACTACTCTCTCACCTGCAATCACAACAAAACTGAAGAACCTGGTATGGATGTTACTTAGTTTTTGAGTATGCTAGGACTCGAGAGAAAAATTTTGGATGCTAATACGCGTCTACCGAGAGCAATAGTGATATTATAATTATCACTATTGCTCTCAGTAGACTTGTATTAACGTCCAAAATTTTTCTAGCGTCCAAAATAATAATTTATTCTTTGGAGTTCATAAAATTTTAATTTTGTAGAGCGTATCATTTGATCAATTTCAATGAAAACTTGATTTATGTTTAAGTGTGAACTTAAGCCTTATGTAATACTGTATTTTTTCTATTCATGCAACAGGTGGAGCTGCAGTTAGTTACAGTGAGATTAACAGAGATAGAGCCTGGAGCACTGGGCATAATTGAGCGCCTGGAAAACTTGAAGATAGCCAATAACAACATCCATAAAATTGGAATAGAAACTTTCAAAAACTGTAGCAGCCTTATTTATCTTAACCTTGAAAATAACAATATTAACGTAAGTATGTACTGTATACCACATTAGAAGGGGTACCTGGTGGTGTAGGGTATCTAGCTCTGTGTCTGTAATTATCTAAGTGTAGTTACAGGATGAGCACTATATTTGTGGTGTCCCATCTTCCCAGTACTCTTTGTCATATGACCCTTTGAAACTACTGATGGTTTTGGCATCCACTGCCTTCTCACTTAACTTGTTCCAACCATCTACTACTCTCTTTGCAAAAGAGCACTTACTTATATTTCTGGAGGCCCCCCCCCCCACCCACAGTGTCTCCCTTCTGACCAGAGCCAGATAGGCTCGGCTCTTGTTGCATTTCTCGCTACATGGGTTGAGTTTTCTTCCCAGAGTTCAGGAGTTTGCCACTGAGAGATCTGGCCAATAAGGTGCAGAGGTTACCGACTCTTGTTGGCGTATGGACGACAGTGAGAAGGGGGGGAGAGGAGGAGAGGTGTTAGTGTTTGGAAGGGGAGTCCCCCCCTTCCACTATAACATCAGGCAGTGATGACTTCTCTCCTATGTTTTGCCTGCATACCACTAGGACCTGGTTGTGGCTCATTGCTTGTTTGTCTCACTAAGAACCTTTCCATAAAGACTTGTTTTTCCCTACGTCTTAACACTTGTCTGTCGTGAGGTATCACAGTGTCATTAAAAAGTTAAGGCAACAGCCTACTGCAGCTTGATTTGGGTGAGTCATTTCAGTAAAAGTTTGCAGTTCTTCCAATGCTACACACATTTTCTTAATTAATTGAGGAAGGGACATTCTATACTGCCTCCTCCTCCTCCCCCTGAAGAAATTTCCTCAGCTGTCTCTTGTTGCTGCTCCTTGTAAAGGGAAAGGAGTTCTTCGGTGGTCACCAACTCCTCCACATCAGCACCATCCATCTCCAAGCCCAATTGTCGGCTAAGAGAAACAATTTCCTCAACAAGAGGCACTTCAGGGTTAAACCCCCTCAAAGTCTCATTCTGGAACACATTCAGGCCACAATTTTCTCCAGCCAGAAATCATGGTTCTTAAGAGTCACTTCTTGCCAGGCTTTGTCTACAAGTTTTAAAGCACTAAAAATGTTAAAATGATTTTTCCAGAACTCTTTGAGGGTGAGATTTGAGGCATCCGTCAAATCTCCAGAAAAGTGCCTTGCCATAAAGTTTCTTAAAATTGGAAATTATTTTCTGGTCCATAGGCTGAATTAGAGGAGTGGTGTTGGGAGGAAGGAACTTTACTGTAACAAAACTAAATTCCTCGAACAATGAATCCTCTAAGCCTGGAGGATAAGCACGAGCATTGTCGAGAAGCAGGACCTTGAGTGGCAAACTTTTCTCCTGCAGATATTTTTTTGATGGAAATGCAAACCACTTCATTTATCCACTCAGTAAAAAGTTGCCTTGTCACCCATGCCTTACTATGCATGGCCCAAGGTAACCTCCACTAGATGATTATGCCATGAATTCTCGTGAATCGTGACGTCATTTCCTCACTTCACCATGGTCAAAGTCACAATTTTTGTATTTTCCCTAAATCAGGGAGTGCAATTTTTTTTCACGCTCACTAGGGAACTATCTCCTATAAACAAGGTGTAGCCCAAGGATTAATAACTGCACTGCGCCTAACAACAAATGTCGTTTTGAGAGTTGTGCATTTTTCACTTAGGCTAATACGTAGCAGTCTCCGTGGTGTAATCGTAGCAGTCTCCGTGGTGTAGTGGTAAGAACTCGCCTGGCGTTCCGCGAGCGCTATGTCATGGGTTCGTATCCTGGTGGATTTACTGGGCGCAATTCCTTAACTGTAGCCTCTGTTTAAGCAACAGTAAAATGTGTACTTTTAATTCTTCGCGGCAGGGGATTTTCCAGGGAATAGGATTAAGGACTTGCCCGAAACGCTCACTAGTGGCTGTACAAGAATGTAACAACTTTGTATATATCTCAAAAAAAAAAAAAAAAAAAAAAAAAAAAAAAAAAAAAAAAAAAAAAAAAATAAATGTTTTTTAATTATTTCATCACTATGTTTGAATGAAAATAGTTGAGTTTGGAAACATTTTAACATTAAATTTACCTGAACATTTATAAAAACAACAAAAGTATGTCCTTTACAATTGTACTATGAAGTTTTTGCCAAAAACCAGGTGCGCAGTGCTAGGATTAAGCAAAATAATGAAAATGATCTTAATTTTTTCTTGATGTACAGTCAGGCACCTTCAAATAATGTGTATAATTGGGATCTTACTGTACAGTATATCATAACTGTCAAAGAAGGAAGCCATATATCTTTTATTGCAAGTTTCTTGCAATATTTGTCTACTAAAAATGTACAAATTTCTTTTTATTAAAATATATTAAAATTGATGACCAGACCACACACTAGAATGTGAAGGGACGACGACGTTTCGGTCCGTCCTGGACCTTTCTCAAGTCGATTGTGACTTGAGAATGGTCCAGGACGGACCGAAACGTCGTCGTCCCTGCACATTCTGGTGTGTGGTCTGGTCATCATACTTTAGCCACGTTATTGTGACTCATCGCCTGCATATTAAAATTCATATATATTCTATCCACAGGTGATTGAAGACGGGACATTTGCCTCAATGAGTGATCTTCGTAACCTAAGTATAGCTCACAATGACATAATTGCCCTTCCAAAACACTTACCGGCAAACCTTCAAGCTCTAAACACAGAGTACAACCAGATAACCAAGATTCAAGATTTATCTCTTAGCAGTCTTATTTCTCTCAACTTGTGCTACAATTCCATCTCTAACATAGATCCAGATCAGGTATGATACTACAGTATTTTACAACCTCGTATTACAGGCTAACATGTTGCAGAAGATAGATAATGTCAGTACTGTAGAGAAATGACTGACAGACCACTGAAACATCATGAGAAATGACTGACAGACCACTGAAACATCATGAGAAATGACTGACAGACCACTGAAACATCATGAGAAATGACTGACAGACCACTGACACATCACAAGAAATAAAGACTAAACCACACACCAGAAAATGAGGAGAGTCGTCATCGTCGTCTTGAATAATGGTCCAGGATGGACCGAGACGTCGTCGTCTCCTCATTTTCTGGTGTGTGGTTTAGTCTTTTAGTGTGTGTGTAAACCACACACCAGAAAATGAGGAGCGTCGTCGTTGTCTTCAATAATGGCCCAGGAAGGACCGAAACATCGTCGTCTCCTCATTTTCTGGTGTGTGTGGTTTAGTCTTCATATCTTAAGCCGTGTTATAGTGTGTCAACGTTTGCATCATAAGAGATAATGTAATTATAAACCAAATCAGATTACCACTAAGATTTATTACTGCAATTGTAAAACCACACTGGATATAACCTTATTCAAACCAACATATGAGTCGAACACTCATCCAACCCTTAAATAATATTGACACAAGACACAAAAAAAAAAATCACCAAGACCTTACAAGAATCATGCAACTCAAGCATTGCAGCATGATCCACATTTAACAAGGTGAATATGTTCATAAAAACTACCTTTAATAACTCAGTACAGATATGAGCCACTTGCGGGGGGTTTTTCCTCAGCACCTACAAGATCCAACACATGCTTCAAAATAATGATACACAAGATGCTATATATGGTGTACTACAGCCACAAGGAAATGAAAGGTTAATGACAAGAAAATTATCTTGTAATTTACAAAAATGTCGTACGAATTACCTGTAGTGCCTTCAGGCACTTGCCCTTTCCAGAAATCAAATATTCTGCTTGTAACTCATTTTGTAATTATGTACTTTTACCTAAAATAAATATTTATTATAATTATTATACAGTAAGTAAATAACAAGAGAATTTGCAGCTTTACTGATACTACTAGGACCTGCTGCATGGGTAACAGCTTCTCCGTATCAACCTAGCCTGGCTTTGCACCCTGGAAAGGCCACTCTAGATCGACACCCAGGTTATCTTGAGGTTATCTTGAGATGATTTCGGGGCTTTAGTGTCCCCGCGGCCCGGTCCTCGACCAGGCCTCCACCCCCAAGAAGCAGTCCGTGACAGCTGACTAACACCCAGGTACCTATTTTACCGCTAGGTAACAGGGGCATAGGGTGAAAGAAACTCTGCCCCATTGTTTCTCGCCGGTGCCCGGGATCAAACCGGGGACCACAGGATCACAAGTCCAGCGTGCTGTCCGCTCGGCCGACCGGCTCCCCCAAGAGTGACCAGAGTACAACTCTATACACAGTAGTCTCCTGAGACTGATGGATACCTACTACTTGCTCCTCGTGCACATAATTTTGTTATTTGAAAAATTCAAACATGGCAAAACAAGACAAATCTAAAAGTACAGCACTTGAAATAAATCAATGTCTGTTTACTGGAAATGTTTTAACAGTAAAAGCTAAAACAACTACATACGGGACTGAAAGGAACATCATGTGTTGCCTGGAGCATACCTGAAGAGGGTTTCGGGAGTGCTTCTACTCCCCGAGCCTGGCCTGAGGCCAGACTCGACAGTTTTGGCTGAGAGCGCGCTGACAATTTAGTTAACTATATGTGTTATAAACAGTATATTTCCATATACAGTACATACAATATATACAGTATATAGAAATATATAGAAAATTATATAGAAAATTATATAGAAATATATAGAGAATTTGATTTAACAAAATAAGCATCATTAATTAATTAAGCAAAAATTTGAATACATAAATTCTTACAATAATGTAATAATTAAAAACAAGCAATGTATACTACATAACAAATGCTTTTTACATAATTTTTCTTTTTCAGATTGATGTAAAGAATGTCAAGGAACTCTGCCTTGGAGGAACAGTGTTTAAACTAAGTGACAATCTAATAAGCCATGACACTTTTCCAATCCTTGAGAGCTTGCAGCTAAAAGGAACTACTCAAAATCCTGTGTATATAAAGGAAATATTTCAACGAGACATTCAGATAATGGCAGAAATATCCCTCCACACTTTAGAGCTAAAATCTTGCAGGTAAATATAAATCTAACACTGTAGTGTGGTGATGATGTTTATAAATATGTATACTATACATAAATATGCATACAGTATACATATTTATATACACAGTAACTGTCTTAGCTTTCCATTTTTTGTCACTCTGCTTCTGATGCCAAGACGGTTGAAGGTACTCAAGAAATACTGCACATTTCACCTTTCCAATGTGATAAACACGAATTTAATTGATCAGTAATTATTGATTTCTATGCATATGCTGGATATATATACCAGTAATTAAAATTAAGGATATAGTGTACTGTAATATATGAAACTTTTTTCAGCCTACTAAGTGCACGCTTTTTCAACCAAATGAAGAGCAAGCTACATAGCCTGAAAGTTACGGATACAACACTGACATTAAGAGACCTTAGAATGCCCAAGTTTACACTTCCATCTATAACCATATTTGACTTGTCAGGATCCCCAAATCTGGCACGGCTGTTTTTAACTTCACTTGCTCCAACCACCCTACCTGAACTGAAGATTCTACGAATGTCTCACTGTAACATTAAGATCTTTCCCGAGTCGTTTCTTCAATATAAAACGCCAAATGTCAATCAAGTGGACTTGAGCCACAACCCACTGGAGTGTACATGTTATGGACTATCTTGGATCCCAAAATACGTAAGGCAGCAGAAGCTCATTCTCCTTCACGAAGAAAACACAACTTGCGGCAGCCCCCAGCACCTCAAAGACATACCACTGCTGACGGCTACACTCTGTCCCATAACCATAAACACCGATGAATCCACAAGCTCTACTGTTTACTTGGGTACCTCATCTAATAAAACAGGTAAGGTGTAAAAATAGTAACATGTTATATACCAGTCCGTCCTCCTAAGGTTCCCCCAACGTCAAAAAACTGTGGTACTAAAGTGCCCTTATCCTAACCTACCAGAGGACCCAAAACAGAAAATGGGACAGTATGTCAATTTCACGACCTGCTACCATTTTCTAGTACAGTATGACGATTTTTAGCCTTAGGTAGAGTATATGTCAAAATGTGACGTTCTATTAGGAGGAAGGGTTGGATATACAATACAGTTCAACAGCCACAATACTCAGGGCCAAGCCCATTGTGAATTTCCAATATTTTCAAATTTATAATTTACTAGGTATCTGTTCATACTTACCTAAATTGGCATACAGTAACTAACAATATGATTTATCTCATCAAATATTTGCTGTATTTATGTGTTAAAAAGTCATTAGCATGTCACTGATTTACATGCTTACCAGGACAAGATGATTACACGAGTATGGTTATCTTGAGTTATCTTGAGATGATTTCGGGGCTTTTTTTTTTTTAGTGTCCCCCGCGGCCCGGTCCTCGACCAGGCCTCCACCCCCAGGAAGCAGCCCGTGACAGCTGACTAACACCCAGGTACCTATTTACTGCTAGGTAACAGGGGCATTCAGGGTGAAAGAAACTTTGCCCATTTGTTTCTGCCTCGTTCGGGAATCGAACCCGCGCCACAGAATTACGAGTCCTACGCGCTATCCACCTGGCTACGAGGCCCCCGTAGTATGCAAGAGAGTAACAACAACAACAACTACAGAACATTGATACTACTGGTATACGGATATCTTTGACTCCACACATACTGTACAACACATGTACTACAGCATTTAGCAAATCCTTCATAATTTGACAATCAAGAAGAAATATAAGAAACACAAAGTTCTCAAGAAAAGCAATACATACAGAGTACCTGTAACTTATAAGTTAGCTAGATGTGGTGACAAGTCTCGGTGATCACATTCCCTTCTCGACACTCCCTTACACCCAGTCACTGACAAATGCTAGACTTCATCTCTACACACTGTATTGTATTCAGAAAACCCATTCTAGTGATTTAATTTGAAATAGAATATAGACAAATACAATGTAGATACAGCACACTGCAAAAAACAACTTATAAGCTAGGTCAAGGAGTTGAAGGTAGGGAGGTAGTTTGGCCATGAGTTTGTGATCTCACGATTCTTTCACCCTCTCATACTCTACCTTGCTTTAGTTTGCCTCCACAAAAAGTGTCGCGTATTAAACAAATCTATAAAATCTCTTTCTGGACGAGCCCCCGTGGCTGCCTGAAGCTATATCGCTGAAATAGCCTCCCATTACACACAGAGATCACACTAACGTGATGCATCAAATGAACAAATCCACAAAGGCCGTGACGAGGATTCGAACCTGCGTCCGGGAGCATGTGCAGTGTCTGGGATGCTCCCGGACGCAGGTTCGAATCCTCTTCACGGCCCTTGTGGATTTGTTCTTTAGCCTCCCATTATTAAATCACATCAGCGAGCAGCATCTGTTTGGCCAACCAGGGACCAGACCTAGAACCTGCCCCCCTCAAAGAGACACAGAGAGCAAGGAATTGTTACCAGAAAGGAGACAAGACAATGCTAACAACATTTTCATGATTCATGAAAATGAAGCATCAAAATGTCAACAGATGCCACAGAAGATTCCCTCAGAATGAAATGGTTCACTGGAAACAACCCCTGGCCCCCCCCCTCCTCCAAGTGTGCAGAGAAGCCAACGGTCCAGTCCAGAGATGATGGACCACAAACTGACATACCTTATAGGTGGGAGAAGGAGTCAGGGAGCCACTGGGGCTCATCCAGAAAGGAGCATTCAATTACAGTGACACCTCAACTTACGATTGCCCCTACTTATGATATTTTCGAGTTACGATGTAAATTTGATTGGAAAATGTGACTCGACTTACAATCGTGTCGTCAACTAACGATATTCGTTAAGCGTTCATGTCGACCGAGCGCATGGTTCCTGGTGGCACGGGCTGACCTGCCTCAGTTTACCAGAGCCGCCCACTTAGTGACGATCACGCTTGTAAGAAATTCCATTATTTTGGCAATTTCTTATTTTTTGAACATAAAAGTAATTATTATATATCACGCCATGGGTCCCAAGACAGTCAGTTGTAAGGCTCAACATATGAAAACACATGTGAGGATGACCATAGAGGCAGTACAGAATGTCCCTGCCTCAGAAATTAAGAAAATGTGTGCAGCATGGGAAGAACTGCAAACTTTTGCTGAAATGACTCGCCCAAATCAAGCTGCAGTAAGTTAATATTTTTGGGGTGTGGTTCAGATTAATTCAATTCCCATTATTTCTTACGGGAAAATTCGTTTCGACTTACAATCTGTCTCTGGGAATGAATTAAAATAGTAAATCAAGGCCCCCACTGTACATTCAATGCTGGTTTTCTGAGGAAAGTTCCCCTTGAAGGCTTGCTAAAGCTAACTAATAACAAAGAAGGAAAATACTGGACTTTCCAGAGAAGGAGAAGTGGCAGCTACAAAGCTTTAGAAATGATGTCGGGCCAGGAAATGCTGCCCAGGGTAACACAAGCCTGACTGGGACCATAAACACTGACCTAAAATCGTGCTGTCAAGATCCTGTTAGCTCCCCAAAAACCCCAAGCTTTAAAATCCACCCACGACATAAATAGCAAAGACAGCGGCCAAAACCACAAACTTATAAACAACGTGGGCCCAAGGGTAGAGGTAGAGAGGTAGAGGTCAAGGGTAGACCTCAGACGGGCTAGTTTTAATGACACCACTGATGAACTGGGACAAACGTTCCTTGGAACAGGGATGGGGTTATCTTGAGGTTATCTTGAGATGATTTCGGGGCTTTTAGTGTCCCCGCGGCCCGGTCCTCGACCAGGCCTACACCCCCAGGAAGCAGCCCGTGACAGCTGGCTAACTCCCAGGTACCTATTTACTGCTAGGTAACAGGGGCATTCAGGGTGAAAGAAACTTTGCCCATTTGTTTCTGCCTCGTGCGGGAATCGAACCCGCGCCACAGAATTACGAGTCCTGCGCGCTATCCACCAGGCTACGAGGTGAGGGGCCTCAGGAAAGCGGCTCAACAAACAGTACATCCACCGAAGCAAAATGGGTGGTGCACCAGTAAAGATGAGCTGCCATAACCAGACAACAGACAATACACCCCACCTGGACAAATTAAAGCTGTAATCACCAAGTGACTCCTTTGGATTCCGTCTCCATCTTTGTCAAAAGAGAAGAAAGCCACAGACAAACAAATTGCCCACTGGGGCTGAAAAAGCAGAACACACACCTCCAAAAGAAAGCATGAACCTCCCCAACACAACATCTGGAGGCTAGAGCCATCATAAATCACAGTAAAATAACAACGTACTGGAGTGAACGACATGGAAGAAAATGCAAGATTGAACCAGTGAAGAGCAGAGGTGCCATAGACACAATCAGAGAGCACTGTATAAACATCAGAGGTCCGCGGTTGTTCAACGTCCTCCCAGCGACTGTAAGAAATATTGCCGGAACAACCGTGGACATCTTCAAGAGAAAACTGGACTGTTTTCTAAGAGAAGTTCCAGATCAGCCGGGCTGTGGTGGGTATGTGGCCCTGCGGGCCGCTCCAAGCAACAGCCTGGTGGACCAAGCTCTCATAAGTCAAGCCTGGCCTCGGGCCGGGCTTGGGGAGTAGAAGAACTCCCAGAACCCCATCAACCAGGTATCAACCAAATAACACCTGAAGAAGAATATCCCATACTGACAGGGCAACTGGCAACCAAATGAGAGAACCACTACTCGACCGAGAAAGCAAGATGGCTCAGGGCGAGCATGAGCTGACTGGAGGTGAAAAAACACTAAGACAACTTGTGAAATTGTGCCGAGGAAGTATCAACTTCAAATGCCAGAGACAAAAAGGAGAAAGGTAACGTCATACTGTTGCTATGATGAAAATTTAGGTGAGAAACCAACATCTCAGCCACCAGCACATTATACAAATAGTGGTAAACTTGCAACAGAAAGTACAGATGCAGAGATCGGTAGAGTACAAAGCAGTGAGATACATCACTAAGCCAATCTACTGAAAACGGCAGAGCTGCAAAAAAATACCCAGGATCAGACACAGCTCTAAGACCTGAAAATAAAACCAAGGCAGAGCCTGTCACCAAAGAGCCAGAAGGATTACCTTGACTGAATCCCAATCCTATAAAATACCTGGAACAACAACTGAACCAGAGTAAAGAGGGAAACAAACCCCTACCTCAATTAGTCCAGCCACAAGGCATCCACTGCGAGTGCTTCATGATTGGAGAATGGAGCCACATAGGAGAGAAACCACTGGCTCCACTCCAATGCAAAGAGGTCAATCTCAGGTTGACTGAACACCTTGCAAAGCCAACAGAAGGATGTGTTGTTGATAGTCAATCCCGTGGAAAAGGGATGGAAAAGAGGAATTCGGGACAAACTCCCACAGAGAAATGACGCAGAGAACCAAACCCTGAGAAGTCAAGTCACGTGAAGAGCCCAGTTCCAAAGGGGGAAAAGACCAAAGCAACCCTCATGGTGCAGTGAAAGAACAACTGGGGAGCCATCTGAAAGGAATCTGAGAAGAGCTTCCATAGGAAGAGGATCCCCACAAAGGGCCCACTACAAAGAAGAAACCCAAATTTCCAGAAGTCAGCCCAAAAGCGTGAACCCAACCAACCACCTGGGAGGTGAGGAAAGTATAGGGCACATAACCTCAACCCAGAGCCAAGGCATCTGGGAACAACCTAAGGAGATGGGGGAGAAGGGCATGACAGTCAATCCCTAAGAAGTCCAAAGAGGAAGCCAGTGAAATAAAGAGTAATGAAAGGCAGACAAGCCTAAACCCAATGGCTCTGGCAGCAGAAAAAGAGCAGCACAGAGATTATCTTGAGATTATCTTGAGATGATTTTGGGCTTTTTTTTAGTGTCCCCGCGGCCCGGTCTTCGACCAGGCCTCCACCCCCAGGAAGCAGCCCGTGACAGCTGATTAACACCCAGGTACCTATTTTACTGCAAGGTAACAGGGGCATAGGGTGAAAGAAACTCTGCCCATTGTTTCTCGCCGGCGCCTAAGATCGAACCCAGGACCACAGGATCACAAGTCCAGCGTTCTGTGCTGTGCTTTCCAGAGTGTCAAACCTAACCCAGGGATTCCACTCATGCAGGCAAGGAGGGACCCACCCCCCACAGGCAAGGAGGAGGAGACACCCGCACAACTGCCAAACAACCATCAAGCCCCCCGAGGCCATTCCAACACCCGAATATCTGTCCAAAACGCTATGCTTGCTAGTGGCTTTACAAGAATGTAAGAACTCATTGTATATATATATATATATATATATATATATATATATATATATATATATATATATATATATATATATATATATATATATATATATATATATATATATATATATATATATATATATATATATATATATATATATATATATATATATAAAATAATAATAATAAAACACCAAACAAACACCTGAACAGGTAAAACAGCACTACTGGAGGCAGAGCATGAAAGACCAATAGGAACAAACCAGGCCCCAACCTAGGATGTTATCTTGAGGTTATCTTGAGATGATTTCGGGGCTTAGTGTCCCCGCGGCCCAGTCCTCGACCAGGCCTCCACCCCCAGGAAGCAGCCCGTGACAGCTGACTAACACCCAGGTACCTATTTTACTGCTAGGTAACAGGGGCATAGGGTGAAAGAAACTCTGCCCATTGTTTCTCGCCGGCGCCTGGGATCGAACCCAAGACCACAGGATCACAAGTCCAGCGTGCTGTCCGCTCGGCCGACCGTCACTCAATGTCATGTTGAGGTAAGAACACTGAAGAGGCAAATAGGAAGCTCCACAGAAAACCCCCAACTCATCCCGGAAACATGAGGAGCAGCACAAGGCCTAGATGTGACCAAGAGAACTAGGGATACCACTCTGGAAAGAAAAAGGCAATCCTGGGTAAATCTGAGTGAAAACAGGTAAGTAAAAATGTTAGCAAGGGAGATGCAGAAACTTGAGAAATACAAGAATACCCCACAGGGGTGCCAAACCTGGCGGGTATTCTGGGAAAAAACTAGGACCCTGAAAGAAGGGGTGTACCAAATAATGCCTTAGACCAAGGTGCAGTCTTTGCAGAGCAAAAACAAGGACACCATAAATGCCAAAGTCAAAACATATGTGGAGACGAAGGTCCCCAGAAAGCCGACAAAACCCCCAAGAAAGCCCCAAAAGGAAGACTAGGAAGGCCAAAATGTGCCGACAGATTCCATCCCACATCCAAATAGGCAATCTGTGAAAGGGCTTGAAATGAAAAAATTCGAGGAGGGAGGTCCCCAGAACAAACCCGACCATATGATGAAGGGCCAAGTCTACCATCGTTGCAAACTGAGCCTGGCACATGCCCGACTATGTGCTTTCTCCTGATATTGTAATTACCTTACTTCCTCCTATTCGTCAAATACAAATCTATAAGGCTTACAGTACACAGGTTTTGTTTTACAAAATACCTTTCACCATATGAACAAATCCACAAGGGCTGTGACGAGGATTCAAACCTGCGTCCGAGAGCATCCCAGACACTGCCTTAATTGACTGAGCTACGACATGGTTAAAAGGAGTTGAAACCGAAGTTCTACTGAACTTACTGGATCCTGCAGCCTCTCCGAGGCACAAACCAGGGTTTGTGCATCGGAAGGAAAAGTAAGGGAGTTGTAAGAAGTTGTAAGAAGTTGTAAGAAGAAGTAAGGGTTTGTGAAGTAAGGGTTTGTGAAGTAAGGGCGAAGAGGGAGAACGGCCTATTGACATAGCTCGAGTGCATGGGGGGAGTTGTGTAAAACCCTGGTTTGTGTCTCGGAGAGGCTGCAGGATCCAGTAAGTTCAGTAGAACTTTGGTTTCAACTCCTCTTGACCATGTCGTAGTTCAGTCAATTAAGGCAGCGTCTGGGATGCTCTCGAACGCAGGTTCGAATCCTCGTCACGGCCCTTGTGGATTTGTTCATTTGATGCATCACGCAATTGTGATTTCTGTGTGTGTACCTTTCACCATAAATTGATAGATCTATTCATCCACTCAATACATTAATCATTTACCCTTAATAATAAAATGGAATTAAACAGATGTATAAAAAATCATTTTACAGCAAATATAAACTATAAAATCTTGCAGGTGTATCAATGGACCACCAGCAATGGGATCTCTCTGCTAACCAAACAGACTCAACCATCGGTACAAGCCGCAACGAACCACAAAGTCATCTGCCAGTGATCATTTCCGGAATTGTTGGTGCTGCTGTTTTAGTGATTATATTGATTATGCTTATGAGACCGATTCTTAGCTGCTACAGGAATGGATTTTTCCTAGTCGAGGACAACAGTAGCAATAAGGGAACAGATCGAGTGACAGTTGTATATATGAGTAAATCCTAAGATTGAGTGACAGTTGTATATACATGTAAGTCCTAAGATTGAGTGACAGTTGTATATACATGTAAGTCCTAAGATTGAGTGACAGTTGTATATACATGTAAGTCCTAAGATTGAGTGACAGTTGTTTATACGTGTAGTCCTAAGACCAACTCATTACTGTGATGATCGATAACATGTGCAGTGATCAAAGAGAACTATGATTCCCAGAATACATAGAGAAATCCCACTAACGTGATGTATCAGTGAGAAAATTTGTAGGAGCCGTAATGTAGATTCGAACCTATGCGCTGGGAATCTTTTTCTCATGATTCCCAGCCAAGTTATGAGTTAAACAAATGTCAATAAAGCTTATTAAAAATTCCTTACTCTGAAGTTAAATCAATAAGCTATTATTATAAAACTTACTACAATTTATTATTTATAAATTATAAATTTATATTACAGAGTACTAAATACAAATTACAGTGCATTGATAGCATACATTTTTATGTAGTGCATATAACAATAAGTTGCCAAATTTTAAGAGTAGATATGTGATACAATACTTTGATACAATCACTTATCAGCAACAATATATTCTCTCTTTTGGGATGTATAATTTAGTGAGGCATCGAAATATTGAAAACTTCAAATTCTGAGAATTCATTTTCAAGTTAACTATTTGTAACATACCTGTATTTCTCATCACTAATATCTTCCAGGTCCATAAAAGTCCTTGAAATTTTGCATCGCATCAATGGTTTCTAGTAAGGGCATCAGTAAATGGCGATGAACCTAACATGTTCGCAATTTTTTCTTACAAATGACCAGGAAGGAAACCAAGGCTTTCAGGAACATTTCTAATATATTTTAAGGACTTTTAAATATTACAGGACATATTAAATCTCCCACAAAATATTGGCACACCAGCCCCCTATCACCTGACGACTACAGAAGCAGTTTAAGATAGTTTTACAGTAAAAAAACAACATATTTATTGTGTCTTAAAAATAAGGTGTGCTAGATTTCCATAGAAAATTTATATAAAAACAGCTAAATGTTATTCCATGGTTGTAGTATGCTCAAATGAGTTTAGCAGGGTGGTAAGGTGGTGGTGAGATAACACCTGAGAGTCCGCCACTACTTACAACCTTGATTATTTCCTAATCTATTCAATTACAGGTATATTCAACATTACTATCTAAAAATTACTATCTCGCTTCATGTAGGTCGGCGTTCAATCCCCGACCGTCCAAGTGGTTGGGCATCATTCCTTACCCTCCGTCCCATCCCAAATCCTTATCCTAACCATATTCCCAGTGCTAGATAGTCGTAATGGCTTGGCGCTTTTCCCCTGATAGCTACCTACCTTTTCTAATCCAAGCCATGAGGTTAAAAGAATAATTAAGATCATAAATAACAAAAGCAACTTACTAGACATAATGATTAATGACGATACTCGAGGATACTTATATACAGGCCTTCAGAGTGTAGTGATCTTCACAACCAATCTTCCGCAGCAATCTGAAACATAAAGGGCTACTTAAACTTCCAATACTTGTAAATGCAGACGATGAATCACAGTAACGTGGATGAAGATACGATAACTAAACCACACATCAGAAAGTGAAGAAACGACGACATTTTGGTTTGTCTTGGATCATTATCAAGCTGTGTGTGAAAGAAAAGCATGTTGTTGTTATAGATTCAGCTACTCGGAACAAGTTCCAAGTAGCACGGGCTATGGTGAGCCCGTAACTTTTTTTTTTTTTTTTTTTTTTTTTGAGATATATACAAGAGTTGTTACATTCTTGTACAGCCACTAGTACGCGTAGCGTTTCGGCAAGTCCTTAATCCTATGGTCCCTGGAATACGATCCCCTGCCGCGAAGAATCGTTTTTTCATCCACGTACACATTTTACTGTTGCGTTAAACAGAGGCTACAGTTAAGGAATTGCGCCCAGTAAATCCTCTCCGGCCAGGATACGAACCCATGACATAGCGCTCGCGGAACGCCAGGCGAGTGTCTTACCACTACACCACGGAGACTCCACGGAGACTGCTACCTGGCACAGGAGCGGGGCAAGTAGCTCAGGCTATGGTGAGCCCGTAGTGAACTTACCTGGCACAGGAGTGGTGCTGACCTGAAAAAAAAAAAAGCAGAAGGTACAGGCAAATATAAGTGTAAGAGAGGTGAGGAGCAGGCAAGAGATTATACATGTCACCTCACTCTCTTACCTGCTCCTCACCTCACTCATCTCCACACGCCCTCTCTTCCTTTGCTCGCAGGTATGGTTGGCCTTACTTCTGGTCTCCCCTTCCCCGATTTTGGCTCCAAAGCATCTCCGGGTTTCAAAGTTGAGGCAGGGTTTAGATCAGGGTGCAGCTCGCCCTTCTCCGGATGGGCAGCTCCATCCACACTTATGGTGAAGGCATTTAAGCCTTCTGGTCCCACCAGGGTTTCAGGGCAATCATCTTAACAATTGACACTCCTTCCCCATCCCCCTTTCCCTGTTCCAAGCCTTCTCCTTTGGAGGAAATGTTTCTGTCCCAGGTGCGGACCTTGTCCAGCAATTCTTACCCTGAAGAATTTGTGACAGGTTGAGGGGGGAGTCTGAGATATGTCAATGGATCCTGTACGAATCTTCCTGGACCTTGGTTCCAACTCCGGAGGGTCTTTTGCTTCAGGGGGACAAATTTTCATATCCTCCTATGCATGAGTATGATCATTCAGCTGTGGGAAATATTCCCACCAATAAATATAAATAACCAAATAATAAATTTGTCTATTAATGAATAACTATGAGGACTTGTCCTCTGTTTTTAAATAATAACTTTAAATAAAATGTGCAGATGGGCAGATGCAATATTTGTGACGTCAACCAGTTCCACGTCACTGTTGAGTAACTGAAATAATTCTCTTAAATCTTGTTAATGACCTAAAGTGTATGGATTAAATGTAATACCTTATATATAAATCAAATTAGTATATTTACTGTACTTCAAAGTCTGTAACAACTCAAATTAAAAGACACCTCCCAATTTAATAACTTTGAGTGTGGGGAGGGAGTTGGCCACTGGAATCTGGACCAATAACATGGAGGATTGTGACACACAGTGTCCTTAAAATCCTTGTTGTACCCTTATTCCCACAACACGGCTGTTAGCAGATTATCCCATTAGCTCCGTTTCTAACCCAGGCAAAATATCTAGCTCTCAGTTTATTGATCAGATCTGATTATGTTATTTGGATCATATCTGGAGAGGGTTCTGGGAGTTCTTCTACTCCCTGAGTCAGCTTGTGATAACTTGGTCCAACACGCTGTTGCTTGGAGCAGCCTGCAGGCCCACATACCTGGTTGATACCTGGTTGATGGGGTTCTGGGAGTTCTTCTACTCCCCAAGCCCGGCCCGAGGCCAGGCTCGACTTGTGAGAGTTTGGTCCACCAGGCTGTTGCTTGGAGCGGCCCGCAGGGCCACGTACCCACCACAGCCCGGCTGATCCGGAACTTCTCTTAGAAAACCGTCCAGTTTTCTCTTGAAGATGTCCACGGTTGTTCCGGCAATATTTCTTATGCTCGCTGGGAGGACGTTGAACAACCGCGGACCTCTGATGTTTATACAGTGCTCTCTGATTGTGCCTATGGCACCTCTGCTCTTCACAGGTTCAATCTTGCATTTTCTTCCATATCGTTCACTCCAGTACGTTGTTATTTTACTGTGTAGATTTGGGACCTGACCCTCCAGTATTTTCCATGTGTATATTATTTGGTATCTCTCTCGTCTCCTTTCTAGAGAGTACATTTGGAGAGCTTTGAGACGATCCCAATAATTTAGGTGTTTTATCTCGTCTATGCGTGCCGTATATCCACAACAGCCTGGTTGGTCCGGCACCTCTTGCAAGAACTTATCTAAGTGCCTCTTGAATACATTCATTTTTATTCCAGCAATATTTCTAATGCATGCTGGGAGGGTATTGAACAGCTGTGGACTTCTGATGTTCAGTATTCTCTGATTGTGCCCATGGCACCTCTACTCTATATTGGTATCTTATCTTGAGGTTATCTTAAGATGATTTTGGGGCCTAGTGCCCCTGCTGCCTGGTTCTAGACCAGGCCTCCTTTTTGTTACACACCCCCCAGGAAGCAGCCCGTAGGAGCTGTCTAACTCCCAGGTACCTATTTACTGCTAGGTAACAGGGGCATCAGGGTGAAAGAAACATTTTGCCCATTTGTCTCCGCCTCCACCGGGGATCGAACCCGGAACCTCAGGACTACGAATCCAAAGCGCTGTCCACCCAGCTGTCAGGCGCCCTAAAAGGCACCTTCTAAAAGTAGAGGGAGTTAGTGACATATTGGTGCTAATTATGAGCAGGCAATTCTTAAAACAACAGTAAGCATATAACAAGAAACTTTTAATTGATTTGTGGATCCCAATAAGATTGTTTACATAAATTTGTATTTTTCACATTAATACCGTAACACCTTGCCAGCAGGTGGTGTTCCCAGTGGCTACGATTGAAGAGGCAGCCATTAATTACAAGGGACGCTAACCGTGCATGGCGTGAATAGAATTTCCTCTGGGTTATTGATCACCATAGATGTTCCTACACTTCAAGGTGTCACCTTACCAGCTAAGAATGCTGTTTTACTAACACAATTCAGACAGTACAGCAAATTAATTTCAATAATTAATTTCTTATTTATAACTAAATTCATTCATCTAGCAGTAGGCTTATAGTCATATGTTAGTACTTTATTGTAAAATGTGATTATATGTACAGAATGAGATAGTTGTCACACATTATGTCTCGTCTGGTGGCTAACCTTGTAAGGCCCATTTCCCCCCCCCCCCCCTCCCCTGAAGGCCCAAGATAGGAGTGGAATGCTTTGCGCCAAATGTAAGTCACACGGCATCGTTTTGTATGACCTCAAGGCTCTGTAGGTTAGTAGGCGCAGCCGACGCATATGCCTGGCTACAATAGTCTAGTTGGCTGCGAATGTAGGTTGTATAGAAACGGAGCTAAATTTTATGGTGTGCTCCCCAGGTGGTGCCAGTGAGGGCTTTAAGTATGGCGAGTCGGGGTTGTGTCGTCTGTTTAAGGTGTTGAATGTGTGCTTTCCAGGTAAGTGAGGGCGAGTCTAAGTGCATGCCAAGGTATTTATGTTCTCGTACGTGTTGGATGGGAGTGTTGTGTATTGTGAGGGTGGGTAGATGAACAAGTCTTTTTTTAGTGAAGATCTGATAACAGGTTTTGGTAGTACTAACTTGAAGGCTCCATTGTTGTGTCCAATCAATGAGGTGGTCAAGTACCGTTTGCATTGTTGAGACTATATAAGGTAGGGCATTGTCTGAATAATACAATGTTAAGTCATCAGCGTACGCTGAGAGGTGAACAGGATGGAGTTAGATAAATTGGCTAAGAATGCAGCAAAACGGTTTGGGGCTTAGAATAGTCTTGTGGAACACCTGTTCGAATTGGAATGCTATATCTGGAAAACCCGCTGTGTATATAAACTTTGGAGTTCCTGTTAATAAGATAGGACTGTAGCCATAGAAGTAATCTTCCTTTTACGCCTAAACGGGCACAAGCTTGATTAGGAATGCTATTTAAATTCCTTTATTTATATATACAAGAGTTTTTACATTCTTGTACAGCCACTGGGAGGTGTAGCGTTTGGGGCAGGTCCTTAATCCTAATTATGCCCCGGAATACGACCCGCCAGGGGAGCCGGTTGGCCGAGCGGACAGCACACTGGACTTGTGATCCTGTGGTCTCGGGTTCGATCTCAGGCGCCGGCGAGAAACAATGGGCAGAGTTTCTTTCACCCTATGCCCCTGTTACCTAGCAGTAAATAGGTACCTGGGTGTTACTCAGCTGTCACGGGCTGCTTCCTGGGGGTGGTATCCTGGTCGAGGACCGGGCCGCGGGGACATTAAAGCCCCGAAATCATCTCAAGATAACCTCAAGATAGCCCAATCGTTTAACAATCAAAAGCTACAATTAAGGATTGGCGCCCAGTCAATCGCACAGCTATCAAAAGCTCCTTCAAGATCTATGTAAAGAACAATACAACACTTACTGCTTCTAAGAGAGGTGCGGATTTCACATTTCAAAGCGGAGTAAATGATAAAGTGAGGTGAGTTAGGTGTTATTTACCTTAATGGTTACCACGAGTGTTGACAACAAGAGCGAGGCCTCAACAACAATGGTTCCTATACGCCAGCGGCCGCCTGCCTAAACCCTTCCTCTTTATCTCTTCTTCCTCATGTCCTCGGGGGCTCCTCTCAGCCGTAATCCATGCATTATATTACGTTACACTAATATTAATGTGTTAACTTTTTATTCGGTAAATATTTATGGTGCTATGTAGAAATAACTGGAGATTGCACTTGTGCTAGATGAAATGGAGGTAATATTATTAGCGAGCGCTGGGTTATGTAAGGTTGAAAACTATATACAGTAACATTATTTAATTTATTATTTGTTAACTTTTGCCTAAAGGGCAACTTATTTAGGCATGTTAGCCAGTCACTGAGAAGCATGCCGTAATAGCAGCATTGTATGTACAAACTCTGGGAAGCCATTTAATCCAAGGCACTTTTAATCTCACCTACAAATCAAAGTGTATTTTAGCTATAGTGAACAATAACACGTTAAAAGACAATAAATATGAAGCACAATGCAAGGGGTAAAGGATACAGCAATTATATAAAGTGTACTGTAATTGCTCCAAACTGTCATTAGTTTCAATGTAGATAATTAGATGTCCTTGTAAATTCCACATTTATTTGTTATTTATTTATTTATATATACAATTCTTACATTCTTGTATAACCACTAGCACGCATTTGTCTTATATTTATTTAACAAGTTTAGGTATACACAGCAATGTGCTGCTACCCTATTCTATATGAAAGATTACACAGTGTAGATAAAAAAAAACAATTGGCTTAAATTCATCTGTTATTCCCATCTCACAGGATGGTTCCATGTATCATGTATCCATGTATCACAGGATACATGGAATCAGGGGAGAAAACACCGGCCTCAATACAAAAGCAAATCAATTCTGGCTTAAAATCAGGGGCCAGATTCACGAAGCAGTTACGCAAGTATTTATGAACGTGTACATCATCCCTCAATCTGTGGCGGCTTTGGTTACATTTATTAAACAGTTTACAAGCATGAAAACTTCCCAATCAACTGTTGTTATTGTTATAAACAGCCTCCTGGTGCTTCGGAGCTCATTAACTGTTTAATAATTGAAAACAAAGCCGCCAAAGATTGAGAAAAGATGTACAGGTTCGTAAGTACTTGCGTAACTGCTTTGTGAATCTGGCCCCAGGTGAGAACATGAAGTGTAAGGCTGATCTATTAGCTCCCATTAGCAAAATTTGGGTACAGCACAAGAATATCTTCCAATACTCCTGAGTGTATGAAGTGATTACAGAGCTCAAAGTACCTCATACAATTAGGTCTGAAGTCACTTATAACAGACCAATCACAGATACAGTGATTGTTCCAACTGTTGTTGCTTTTAGCAGTGCTGGTTTTTCCTCCTGCTCTTTTTGCTGATGGGCGTTAGTTTAGTTTAGTTCATTTATTATGCACCCCATACCCATCTTGTGGGCGGTAGTGGAAAGGGTTACAGAGGCACATAATGGGCTCAGGGACTGAACCCCACAATTCATTTAGCTAAGCAAGTTACAATCTTGATGAGCTAGTTACAAAATTCAGTATAAGTCGTCACAATAAGTGTGTAAGACACTTGTAAGATTCTTATTCAACGGAAGAGTCAGTTCAACAGTTATACTGTTATCGAGACACGAATGGAATTATCAAGGGAAAGCGCCAAGTCATTAGGACTTTATAGCACTGGGAAGGGGTCAGGATAAGGATTTGGGATGGGACGGGGGAAAAGGAATGGTGCCCAACCACTTGTGGACGGTCGGGGATTGAACGCCGACCTGCATGAAGCCAGACCGTCGCTCTACCGTCCACCCCAAGTGGTTGGTACATCTAATAGCTGGTCTATCTAATAATTAATTATTTAATTTATTTACAAATTGCAAATAGACTAATGTTTACATTAAGCTAAAGGCACGCTTTTAGAGACGAACGCCAGACCCAATAGCCAATCTCCCACAAAAAACTGTTAATGAAGAAAACTTCTGTCTGTTATGTTTAGTAGTATTTTTAATTATTATTAATAACAAAATACAAAGAATTGTAGTGTTAGACATTGCATTTCGCTACATATAAAGCTATAACATAAAAGGAACATTGGATTCGACTTCATCTTAAGAAATGCAGATTCTAGACCAGTCCTTTAATATAAGAAAATAATTCAAGCAATATATATTTGCGTCAAAATTTAGCTAAAAAAGAGCATAAGACCCAATAATTTAAAAAAAGTAAGCTAGTATAAGCAAGTTAAATCTTATATAGATATATATATATTGCAGTGGGAGCCATAGACTTATGGGAGTAACTAAGGTGTTCGTGAAGATGGTTCTGGCAACAGTGTTTGTTTATTGTGCTACAAATAGCAAATTGGGCTACTTTTGAGAGCCCTGCGCTCCCAATTTTTTAATTTCGCTTCTTACTACTTTTTGGGCTAATTTAAAAGCAAGATGTGCTAATTTGGGCTATTAAAGTTAAGAATGTACGATTGCGAGTTACATGAAAGTAACTAAGCTATAAATAATTGTAATTAATAATAATTGTAAATATTAATTAATACTAAATAATATTATTTAATAAATTAGTCCCAATTCAATGCAGAGTTTTCTTCCAAGCACAGAAACTTGTAAATATAAATACAAGATAATAGATAGATCGATAAATAAATAGACAACTTTCAAATATTGCACCAAGTAATGGCGAGAGGAAAAAAACTAGACAGTATACATTATATTTGAAATTAATGTAATGGATGAATGGTAATAAACTAGTGTATGATTGTATGTATACCAGACAAAGTCCATTTAATGACAGAATTTAGCCATTTTGTGTAAAAACTTTTATATCTCATATTATTAATTATAACAGTAATCGAAAAAGTCATAGTTTGTATATACAAGAGATGAAACAGAGAGCCATGAGCTAGAGCGATGTGCTGAGTCCATAAGGAGGCCGAGCTTCCGGAAATACCTTCCTGTGATTGGCTGTTGCGGGGAACACCAACACTCTTTTATGAATTAAATTTAAACTAAGAAATAGGTCCTTGTGCACAACAACAAGGTTGTTGTGAAAAAGAACAACAGTTTCTGTTTTGCACCTGACAGAAATCTCCATCTAACTGAATAATTTACTCGAATAAGAGGGCAGAGCAGCGTATCATTATTTGTGTCAAGGCAACCCCCAATAATAACGTCTCAAGTTAGGTAGCCAGCCCATGTTTATATAACATCTGTTATATCCTGCAATATTTAATTATCACTTTATTAACACTTTAAATAATTAACACTTCACTTTTTTGGGTAAATTAAAGTTAAAGCAGAATTCCATAAGCAAGGATGGTGTGCTGAATAAAGATGATTTATTAAGTGGATGGCACCTTTAGCTGATCCCTTCCTGTGATTGGCTGTTGTGTGAATGTCAACAAAGAGTTTCTACCAATGATATGCCATTTATTATGCACCCCATACCATCTGTGGGCGGAGCTAGGAACCTCCTACCCGAGCACAACAACCCGCCTTATGGGTTGCTGTTTGGCTATTTATAGTGCGTTGGAAAAAAAAGAGATGGCGCTAGTAGTATTTTATGGGGTAATTTGTTATAAGTGTAATTTGATCTCAACAGATGGCGTAAGCTGTATCTTATGGCCATTATTGACCAGCCAGTTGATAGTGTTCTCTTTTGCCGACAGATGGCATCAGCTGTATCATTATTACCTCCGAATTCCCTTTAAACACTGATCTACAAATCCCAATTGGCTTATGATAAGGTTTTATACCATTTATGATAATTATTAGATAACTGGAGTTCCGCAATTACTATTATTTATCAACTGTTGAGGATATCATCATATAACATCTGGTTAGGACGTACTGCTCTCGATTGATGAAGATTAAGCCACCCAAGAGGTGGCACGGGCATGAATAGCCCGTAAATACTGCTCTCGTAATATTATTGAGGGTGGGGGGAGGGGACTATCAAGTGATAGTGCCAGGCCATTATTACTATATAGCACTCGGTAGGGGTCAGGCTATGGAACGGGGGAAAGGAATGGTGCCCAACCTCTTGGGCGGTCGGGGATTGAACGCAGACCTGTAGGAAACGAGACCGTCGCTCTACCGTCCAGCCCAAGTGGTTAAGCGTAATATTATTAAAACAACAATTTATGCATATAATAACAGCATTTCACACTAAAAACACTTGGATATATCGAAATTTGGTAGTGAATTCCAATCTAGGAATTTCCTATGACTAAACTGTACTTTTTAATCATTTTTATGTACTTACTACTTATTATTAAATTATTAAGTACTTACTATAATATTTAAATAAATGATTTTATTTAATATTTAAATTAAATGATAAAATAATAGGTAATAATAAATCATTGTGTAGGGGGACAGGCAGCCAGTGTATATATACATGTTAAGCTTATACCAAGGTCCCACGAAGGTGCCAAGAGGTGCCACAAAGGTGCCAAGAGGTTCCACAAAGGTGCCAAGAGGTGCCACAAAGGTGCCAAATTAAAGACTGGGAGCGGGCCCAAGGGCTGCTGGCGGCCCTGGCCAGGCTGAACTTCCGCGCCCTTATAATCACCATTGTTTAATAATCTTCACAGGGAGAAACAACTGTAAATATAGGAATACTTTATTACTAACATACACGGTAAAGAAAACAGCTCGGAAATTAAGGAAATAAAGCTGCCGAAAAAAAACATTAAAGTCCACTTCAAGTTCAAGTATGTTTATTGAGACAATAAAAATATACATTTCAAAAGAGATAGAGTAGCTTAGGCTATTTCTACCCCCCCCTACTTCAAGTCCCTCCTCAAGGGGCGCACAAATTCAGTGAGTACAAATAGACAAATCACAATACAAGAATCCCATTTAACATAGCAGGTTAATATAGGAAGCACAGCATATAAGTGTTACATTAAGTGAGTTACAAGTTACAAGGGAACAAGTGAGAAGGCGGTGGAGGCCAAGACCCGGAACTGCACACTGATTCTAATGCAGCTATGTCTACTCGCTACTTTTAGACCGTCAGCTCGCTACTTTTAGACCGTCAGCTCGCTACTTTTAGACCATCAGCTCGCTACTTTTAGACCGTCAGCTCGCTACTTTTAGACCGTCAGCTCGCTACTTTTAGACCGTCAGCTCGCTAATTTTAGACCGTCAGCTCGCTACTTTTAGACCCTCAGCTCGCTACTTTTAGGCCGTCAGTTCGCTACTTTTAGACCATCAGCTCGCTACTTTTAGGCCGTCAGTTCGCTACTTTTAGACCATCAGCTCGCTACTTTTAGGCCGTCAGTTCGTCCTTTTAGACCGTCAGCTCGCTACTTTTAGCCCCTCAGCTCGCTACTTTTAGCCCCTCAGCGCGCTACTTTTAGCAATTTAGACCTGTCAATATTTGCGTCAAAATTTAGCCCAAAAAAGCATAATATCCCACCATTTTAAAAAAAAGATAAGCTAGTATAAACAAGTTAAATCATATATAAATATATATATATGGCCGTGGGAGCCATAGAGTTAAAGGAGTAACTTAGGTGTTAGTGAAGATGGTTGTGGCAACAGTGTTTGTTTATTGACAAGTAGGCGAGGCTGATGAGTGTTGATGAGTCCCTCTCCCACCACGGTGACCTGACCCACGGTACTCAGGTGGGTACTGTGACGAGCCGCTGGCTCCTGGTCCCCTGGTATGGTGGGGTGGTGGGTGCTACTGTGGTAGGTACCCCTGGTAGGCACTGCTGTGGTGGGTACTGCTGTGGTAGGCACCGGTGGTGGGCACTACTGTGGTGGGCACTGCAGTGGTGGGTACTGCTGTGGTAGGCACCGGTGGTGGGTGCTACTGTGGTAGGCACCGGTGGTGGGCACTGCTGTGGTGGGTACTGTTGTGGTAGGCACCGGTGGTGGGCACTGTTGTGGTGGGTACTGTTGTGGTAGGCACTGCTGTGGTGGGCACTGCTGTGGTGGGCACTGCTGTGGTGGGTACTGTTGTGGTAGGCACTACTGTGGTGGGCACTGCTGTGGTGGGTACTGTTGTGGTAGGCACCGGTGGTGGGTACTGTTGTGGTAGGCACCGGTGGTGGGTACTGCTGTGGTGGGTACTGTTGTGGTAGGCACCGGTGGTGGGTGCTACTGTGGTAGGTACCGCTGGTAGGCACTGTTGTGGTGGGTACTGCTGTGGTAGGCACCGGTGGTGGGCACTGCTGTGGTGGGTACTGTTGTGGTAGGCACCGGTGGTGGGCACTGTTGTGGTGGGTACTGTTGTGGTAGGCACTGCTGTGGTGGGCACTGCTGTGGTGGGCACTGCTGTGGTGGGTACTGTTGTGGTAGGCACTACTGTGGTGGGCACTGCTGTGGTGGGTACTGTTGTGGTAGGCACCGGTGGTGGGTACTGTTGTGGTAGGCACCGGTGGTGGGTACTGCTGTGGTGGGTACTGTTGTGGTAGGCACCGGTGGTGGGCACTGCTGTGGTGGGTACTGTTGTGGTAGGCACCGGTGGTGGGCACTGCTGTGGTGGGTACTGTTGTGGTAGGCACCGGTGGTGGGCACTGCTGTGGTGGGTACTGTTGTGGTAGGCACCGGTGGTGGGCACTGCTGTGGTGGGTACTGTTGTGGTAGGCACCGGTGGTGGGCACTGCTGTGGTGGGTACTGTTGTGGTAGGCACCGGTGGTGGGCACCACTGTGGTAGGCACCACTCGTAGGTACTGCTGTGGTAGGCACCACTGGTAGACACCACTGGTAGGCACCACTGTGCTAGGCACCACTGTGATAGGCACCACTGTGCTAGGCACCACTGTGATAGGCACCACTGTGCTAGGCACCACTGTGATAGGCACCACTGTGCTAGGCACCACTGTGATAGGCACCACTGTGATAGGCACCACTGTGCTAGGCACCACTGTGATAGGCACCACTGTGATAGGCACCACTGTGATAGGCACCACTGTGCTAGGCACCACTGTGATAGGCACCACTGTGCTAGGCACCACTGTGATAGGCACCACTGTGATAGGCACCACTGTGCTAGGCACCACTGTGATAGGCACCACTGTGATAGGCACCACTGTGCTAGGTACCACTGTGATAGGCACCACTGTGATAGGCACCACTGTGCTAGGTACCACTGTGGTAGGTCCCGGGAATTCAGGACCACATTTGTGGTCCCTGGTTCAAGGTTCCGGTGGTCCAAGTGAATGACATTCTACTTAAATTTAACTTTGATTAATTGAATATCTCATGTAATGGGTATTAGAGTTAAGCCTGAACATGTAAATGATTAAACGAAGCATTGCAACTAAATCCAATTTTTTTTTTTACAGGTCCTAGAATGTATGACAAGAAAAATGCACCATAAGAGATGGTGTCTTGGTGTGGTACTCTTGAGGGCCATCGCAGCACTAGTAATCTGGGGCCCTTTGGTAGGGGTTCTCCGAGGTGTAAAGGCCGTCGTGGCGTACAGTACCCAACGTGATGCAGCGTATGCTGAAGAATCGGATCCCAAGGCGTTAGAAAGTTTCCCTGAATTATGGCAGCGAATATTCATTTGGGGATTCTTCTCTTTGTTATTTATCCATATTGTCTCTGCCACCATCGCATTTTTGATGCTCAGAAGACATAAATATGGAAGGTAAGATGTGATTTTTAATTCTTGAATTAAACTGTTTATAGGGAGCCGGTCGGCCGAGCGGACAGCACGCTGGACTTGTGATCCTGTGGTCCTGGGTTCGATACCAGGCGCCGGCGAGAAACAATGGGCAGAGTTTCTTTCACCCTATGCCCCTGTTACCTAGCAGTAAAATAGGTACCTGGGTGTTAGTCAGCTGTCACGGGCTGCTTCCTGGGGGTGGAGGCCTGGTCGAGGACCTGGCCGTGGGGACACTAAAGCCCCGAAATCATCTCAAGATATAACCTCAAGATAACCTGTGATCAGTTTAAACTGTGGTTGGACGTCAGGCTGCGAGCAGCTGGTTCCAACAGCACTGGTTGACCAGTCCAGCAACCATGAACTAACCAGGTTGCAGGGACATTGAGCCCCGAAATCATCGCAAGATAACCGTAAGGTGGTACGCAAGAATTGATAAACTAAGCATAAGTAGGATTCCTTCTGTGGAAATTGGTACACAATATGTTGTGTGCCTGCATCAAGTCCATAAGGCATGTATAAATGCACAGTTTATAAAAGTTTGTTCACCAGTATATGTTATGTATGCCGTTGTACAAAGAAAATGTAAAAAAAAAAAAAAAAAAAAAAAAAAAACTAGTATTGAGAGTAATTAAGTGCCTCTTTCTGAACAGTTTTTTGGGGGCTTCCTTTAGCTTAAGGCACTAAGCATGATAGCATGAGCAGAAATGCCAGTCGTCTGGGTGACTTTTGCTTTTTCCATGGGAAAAAACACTTTGCCCAACCAACCTTTGGCTAGACAGTAGAGCGACGGTCTCGCTTCATGCAGGTCGGATTTCAATCCCCGACTGTCCAAGTGGTTGGGCACCATCCCCCTGCCCCCCGTCCCATCCCAAATCCTTATCCTGGCCCTTCCCCAGTGCTATATAGTAATTACCTAAGTAATTACAGGATGAGAGCTATGCTCGTGGTGTCCCGTCTTCCCAGCACTCTTTGTCATATAACGCTTTGAAACTACTGACGGTCTTGGCCTCCACCACCTTCTCACCTAACTTGTTCTAGCCGTCTACCACTCTGTTTGTGAAAGTGAATTTTCTTATATTTCTTCGGCATTTGTGTTTAGTTAGATTAAATCTATGACCTCTTGTTCTTGAAGTTCCAGGTCTCAGGAATTCTTCTCTATCAATTTTATCAATTTCTGTTACTATTTTGTATGTGGTGATCATATCACTCCTTTTTCTTCTTTCTTCTAGTTTTGGCATATTTAATGCCTCTGACCTCTCTTTGTAGCTCTTGTTCTACAGTTCTGGGAGCCACTTAGTGGCATGTCTTTGCACCTTTACCAGTTTGTTGATGTGCTTCTATAGATATGGGCTCCATACAACCGCTGCATGTTCCAGCTTTGGTCTAACAAAAGTCGTGAACAGTTTCTTTAGTATATCGTCATCCATGTATTTAAAAGCAATTCTGAAGTTAGAAAGTGTAGCATAGGCTCCTCGCACAATGTTCTTAATGTGGTCCTCAGCTGATAGTTTTCTATCTAGAATCACCCCTAGATCTCTTTCTTTATCAGACTTCTTTAAAGTTTCTCACATAATTTATAGGTTGTGTGGGGTCTATGTTCTCCTATTCCACATTCCTTAACATGGCATTTATTTACATTAAATTCCATTTGCCAAGTGGTGCTCCATATACTAGTTCTGTCCAGGTCTTGTTGAAGGGCATGACAATCATTGAAGTTTCTTATCTTTGTATTATCTTAGCATCATCAGCAAACATGTTCATATAATTCTGTATTCTATCTGATAGATCGTTTATGTAGACAATGAACATTATTACCGGTGCAAGAACTGAACCCTGAGGTACTCAGGGTACCTGGCGCCTGACAGCTGGGTGGACAGCGCTTCGGATTCGTAGTCCTGAGGTTCTGGGATCGATCCCCGGTGGAGGCGGAGATAAATGGGCAAAATGATTTTTTCACCCTGATGCCCCAGTTACCTAGCAGTAAATAAATACCTGGGAGTTAGACAGCTGCTATGGGCTGCTTCCTGGGGGAGTGTGTAACAAAAAGAAGGCCTGGTCGAGGACCGGGCCGCGGGGACGCTAAGCTCCGAAATCATCTCAAGATAACCTCAAGATAAGATACTCCACTTGTGACATTTCTCCAGTCCGATACACTTCCTCTTATTACTGCCCTCATTTTTCTATCAGTCAGAAAATTTTTCATCCATGTTAGCAGCTTATCTGTCACCCCTCCTATGCGTTCCAGTTTCCAGAACAACCTCTTATGTGGAACTCTGTCAAAAGTCTTTTGTAGGTCCAGATAGATGCAGTCAACCCAACCACCTCTTTCCTGTAAAATCTCTGTTGCTCGATTATAGAAACTGAGTAAATTTATTACACAGGATCTTTCAGATCGAAAACCATACTGATGATCTGATATTATATCGTTTGTCTCCAGGTATTCTACCTTTTTAGTTTTAATTATTTTTTCCAATATTTTGACTTACACTTGTCAATGATACAGGTCTATAATTGAGGGGGGAGTCTTCCCCTGCCGCCACTTTTGTAGATTGGAACTATGTTAGCCTGTTTCCACATGTCTGCTACGACTCCTGTACACAGGGATGCCTGAAAAATCAGTTGAAGTGGAATGCTGAGCTCAGATGCACATTCTCTCAGAACCCATGGTGAAACTCCATCTGGGTCAACTGCTTTATTCTTACTTAGCTCCTTGAGCATATTTTCCACTTCATCTCTAGACACTTCTATGTGCTCTATATTGTTCTCTGGAATTCTCATTGTGTCTGGTTCTCTGAAGATTTCATTTTGTACAAACACACTTTGGAATCTTTTGTTTAATGTTTCACACATTTCCTTTTCATTTTCGGTGAATCTGTTTCCCATTTTCAACCTCTGAATATTATCCTTTACCTGCAATTTGATGTTTATGAATTTATAGAATAGGCCTGGTTCTGTTTTATATTTGTCCGCTGTCCCTTTTTCAAAATTTCTTTCTGCCTCTCTCCTTACTGCTGTATATGTTTGGGGGTTTGGCCTCTTCCTATATTGATTCCATTTTTGTGTCTTTTGGTCTCTGGCCCTCTCGCAATTTCTGTTGAACCAATCCTGTTTTCTGGCCCTGCATCTCTGTTTAGGAAATGGCTAAAGGTAATGTTTAATTGTAATGTTTAGTGGTAATGGCTTGGTGCTTTCCCTGATAATTTCCCTTCTATGGGACCAAGTGCCTTTTTTAATTGTCTTGCTCCCTGAAATTAGGCAAGGTGCATGTTAGCCATTCACCAACGAGAAAACTCCACCTTGAGAGATAAACAGGTCAGATTAGAACTTTCAACTCGGAACAGACCTAAGAAACACACATTAACTGTCAAGGAAAAAAAAAATCATAGTTCCCCATAAAACAAAATGGGTATACTATCACCAGCTGGCATAGCCACCAACTGGAAGGTAAGGGACACACGATCCCTCACATTGAGCCCAACACACTCGTCATTCCTTGGGCAAGGCTCCTTTGGCGACATATTGAGGGAACCACTTAGGCACCACTGGCAGATACCGAGTAGATTTTATCACCAGTACTGTAATATATTACATTATCTACCAGTATATGTATATGTGTATCTACCTGTATGTGTTACCTACCAGTATCTACCACTGCTAGATACTGGTAGATTTTCTGAGAAACCATATTTCAGAAAATGTATTTCATTACAGTGAATGCTCTAATTCTAAACTGGTCTTCCTCAATAGGCTCCCTTTATCTTTTACCTATGATATCTCTCCTATAGCAGGGAAAGATGACAAAGTAATACAGTATTAAAATGCAAAAGATAATGACGGTTTATCTGAGGAACCAGTGGCAGATACGAAGCATCTGCAATTCAGGCATGTAAAAAATAACAGGATGATGTGAGAAGGCCAAGGGCCCTACACGTCTGTGTTAACCCCTGCACTGCGCACCTAAAAAAAATAAATGTTTAATTTTGTATTAATGTTGTTCAAATGTGTTCCATGTTCATGGGAAAAACAGAATAAAAAGTAGCTTTGGCTGTGGTGTAGGGATGCAATCTCGCAATGGCATCACCGATGCAGTACAGTATTTGAGTGTTTATGCATCAAGTGGCCCAAGCCGGGTGTGCAGAAGGCATTTCCATAAATATAATATTTATACTGATTTATTTCAGTGTTACTGATTTGTCTTTTACTACTTTTTACACTTGTACAGTATTATGTACTAGTGTTTTATTTGAGAGATTTCTATAATAAAAAGTGCAGAACATCGATACACATTTAAATGTGTAGCCACAGGGCTAACAACACTGCAAACTAGGCATGACAGGGTGGATCTCATAGAAACCTTTAAAATATTAAACAATTTAGAGGATGTCTATCCGAACAATTTCTTCAAAAGGACAGATGTAACACGTGCGAGGAGCAACGAGTTCAAGCTCAACAAGCCACAATGTTGGACAGAAAACAGGAGATGCTTTTTCACCCATACGGTTGTAAACCCGTGGAACCGCATACCCGCCAAAGCTGCAAACGCCAAACCTGCTGGGTTTTAAAATACAGATAGAAAAGATCAGGGCAAATGGGGGGGGGACCTTTGACAAGCTGTTGGCTTCCTGTCCTCTTCGAGGCCACTAGTATTAGTGGCCCTTGGGTAAAATTCAGGTAAAGTAATTTTTTATTTTAAAAATAAAAAATGGGGGGGGGGACTGAAGGGTTGCCATGTATACTGAGTGTGTAACTTTGGAAAATATAGAGGTGGTCTTCCTAGAAAATCACTAGCTCTTGGGCTTCAACCCAGTTTGCTCATATTGTACATATACTGTACTGATCTTGTGGTATTTCAGACAGACTGATTCCTATTCTTCTCTGCTCATTCTTAATGTAAAAACTACATAGCACAGTAACATTGAATTGTGGGTTTCAGTCCCTGAGCCCATTATGTGCCTCTGTAACCCTTTCCACTACCACCCACAAGATGGGTATGGGGTGCATAATAAATGAACTAAACTAACAGTAACATTGAAAATAACTTGTCAATTTTTGTGCCACTTATTAATATTAACCTTTCATTAAATAATTACAGTGGAAAAAGCTAATCAAATTTTATCATTCACAGGTTTTCAGCTGCCTGTATTTTAATAATTGGCATGTGCACCACATTCTTCATGTGCGCGGCCACCAGCGCCGCTGTGGGATTTGTATTATATCAGGCCAAGGTATCTTTACAGCCTATTCATGCGATGATATGTGGGATATCTCAGACAACGCTCTACATCCTTATCTCATTTTCCCGAGTGATGCCTACTCTATAAGCGCCGCAACACTGGTGTTACATTATTGCAAGGCGTGAGGAGTAGTGATATTTGTTTTGCTTACTGATACCTGTATGTATTACAGAAACTGCATTTATGATGTGATGGAAGAAAGTAATTGTAAATAATAAATTGGCCAGAAATATATATATACTGTTATGTAAATATACTCTCAATAGATTTTACTAACAAAAATTAATAATCCTTTATTTATAATATGCATTTGTAATATGTATGTTGTTGATGAAAAGGCATGAATGGAATATTAATGTTTAGAAAGGAAGTTTTTGCCTGATTATACAGCATTAAACGATTAGAAGAGGAAGTTAAGAACTGGCAGTGCATTATCCCCCCACCTTTCATGGCCTTGTAAAAATATCCATACGGCTTGATAATAGTCCACGATGGACAGAAATGTCGTCGCTTTAATTTCAGATGTGTGGGGCTAATTTAATTTAATTTCAGATGTGTGGGGTTCAGATGTTTCTAATTTTCAGAAAGGATACTGTGACTTAATGTCTGCATCTGAGTACCCAATAATGTGTCTTCTGTATGTAGTTGCACATTAGAGTACATTCCAGTTGAATGCATAGAAGTCCATCCACCACTGTTATTCTTAAAAAAGCAGATGGAATGTTCACCAAAAAACATGCAGATTTAAAATATAGTATATTTTAATCCTTGTTTTACTCTGTATTATCAGTTGTGGCATACTTTAGCATTTTGCAATATAATAGAATGTCAGTTTTATGTGCTATCAGGTGTCTAATGAGGTTTGCTAATTTTGCCGGGGTCATTGTCCCACAAAAGTGGGACAGGGTAACGGTAATGAATGAGTCAATGAAGTGTTCCATGCGTCAAGTTTTTTTATTATACAAAATAATGATTGTATGGTGAGAGTGGAATGCAGTACAGGGTATTTGTGTTTTTCTGGATTACACATTTGGTTTATTAATTAAGACAAATATAAAACAACGCTGGAACATATCAGTGAGCGTCAAACACACACGAAATATTTTTACTTTTGTTATGTTTGTCAAGATTATACTTGTTGCACACAGTTATTTTTGGTTGTATATTGATCGGAATAAAATTCCCTAAACAGACATATGCATATAATACATGATATGGGGGAAGAATTACCAGTATAAACGGCTAAAGTCACCCACCTGCAACCCGTTTGGGACAAAATACCATTTGATCGACGTTATCCACACCTTTCATGAACTTATTGTACCATGCAGCCTAGTGGTGAGAAAGAGAGCCTCATAGCGCGCAGTTTGAAACAAACCCAAAGTAAATCGGATAAAAATTGAATTTTATACAAATATTTTAAAAGTTGACATAACTTTATGTCCACTATGCGTTTACGTTAGACGAAACCGAACGCGCCGGCGCGTCCAGATAGCGCGAAAGTGTTAATATAACTGCAAAGAAAATTAAGTCATAATTTTTTGCACTCATTTAGCATTGTTTGTTTGCTTGTGTGCTTCCAGCCAGTGGCAATACCGTGCCAGTCCCTCCATTGATGGCCTGCAAGTCCCGGAATTCAGTTTAAGCTGGATGTGCAAACTGGGGTATGTGTGTGTGTATCCTTGGGGCTCACCCATGTTCGTGCTCCACGATTGCTTGAGCGTGTGTGTGGTGTGTGTGTGTGTGTGTGTGTGTGTGTGTGTTGTGTGTAATTACCTAAGTGTAATTACAGGATGAGAGCTACGCTCGTGGTGTCCCGTCTTCCCAGCACTCTTTGTCATATAACGCTTTGAAACTATAACAGGTACGCCTTAACCCGCTCCACCACCCACTCAGACCCTAAGAGATGGTAATTTCGGAGTATTTAAATACACCAAAGATCACCACCTCCCAAGAGCACTAGAGCAAGTGAGGGGTCATTTAGACGTTAATTTCATCAAGTCCCTGTTAATATGGGAAGACACAGTGTCTATGCTTAAGGCACAACTCTCCTAAACACGAGAGTGAAGTATAGAACTTTAGAACACTTTCCCACCAGGAGACTCGAACCCTAGCCAGCACAGAAGCCTTCCAGCAACTGGCATAACAGGTACGCCTTAACCCGCTCCACCACCCACTCAGACCCAAGAGCACTAGAGCAAGTGAGGGGTCATTTAGACGTTAATTTCATCAAGTCCCTGTTAATATGGGAAGACACAGTGTCTATGCTTAAGGCACAACTCTCCTAAACACGAGAGTGAAGTATAGAACTTTAGAACACTTTCCCACCAGGAGACTCGAACCCTAGCCAGCACAGAAGCCTTCCAGCAACTGGCATAACAGGTACGCCTTAACCCGCTCCACCACCCACTCAGACAAAAAAATATTTAGGTCATTGTGGGATCGAACTCGTGTCCCTGAACAGCTGAGGCACAACGCACCTAACTACAACAACCCGTCTTCTCAAAAAGAAAGAGGAAGAACACCTCATGACTTGGTCTCGACGTGTGTGTGTGTGTGTGTGTGTGTGTGTGTGTGAGTGAGTATTCCAAGTTTGCTGTAGACAGCAGAGGGATCATGGAACAAGGACATGCACTAGAGAAAGTACCAGGGTTATATGTACTCTAGTTTGAGTATTCATGGTTTAAGTCCTAGGAGGAATGGCAGAATAATGTTTAAGATCAGATCCGATCTATACTTTCTATGATAAAATGTTGAGCATTACACACCCCCATAAAATGGTAGGCAGTGTGGAATATGTTACCTAGGTTTTGTTCAGGTTCATTTTGTATTTGGTAGACTATTGATGTATTTGGATTTTCAATACGAGTTTCATTAGCAGTACAGTACTTACTGATGAGTTCCTGCCGGCCACCAGTCATTGTGGAGGTACTGTACCATTATGTGTTTTTCACCTCCGTTTATTCCACAAATTACCCACTACATATGTTGAGTGTTGATGGGTACAGCAAATGTTTGTTGACAAAATATGAATTAGAGAATGTAAATGGCTGTACAGTACAGAACAGCAGTGAATAAAAATAATGTTTTCTACATTCTTTGCAAATTGTGGTTGTATGTATTGCTTACCATGTAAGTAAATGTGGTGCAACATGTCATTCATCAGAGAAGCTTTGTAATGTCCATTATTTACAATTCTGAAACGGTTTTGGATTAGCATTAGGTTACATGATGAAGTAACAATAAAGTGAGGTACCAGAGAGTGCTACCTTATGTTTTAAAAGTTTTTTGCTGTTTTAGAGAACATATTACATAGATACAGTATTTGATAATAAATGATGGCTTTGTTATTTAAAAAGGGCATTACACAGTTATGCTCTTAAAAAAAATTGCTGAAGTAATCTTGTTTTATCAATAAAATTGTAATACAGTTAATATATTTTTGTACAGTAATTTGGCTGAATATTTTTAATATTTTATCAGCTATTTAGATGTATACCAACCATGTTTGTATGTAGTGATTGAAACTGTTCTTACCAAAATTGTTTTAATTTCTTAATTTGATATATCTATAAAAGAGATTATCTGTCTGTCTGTTTGGCCGAAGTTTGAGTCCAGACACCTGCTGTTAGGCTCTTGCAACTTACGTTAGTGGTTTGTGATTGCATGCAGAGTATCATAGGGAAATTTGGGGCCGACTCTCACGCAGGTTGGTGTTCAATCCCCGACCATCCAAGTGGTTGGGCACCATTCCTGTCCCTCGTCCCATCCCAAATCCTTATCCTGACCCCTCCCAAGTGCTATATAGTTGTAATGGCTTGGCGCTTCCTTCTCATGCCTCTCTATGTTCCATAGAGGTTTTCAAAAGATTTCGGTTGTTCATCACATTCACATAATGTAACCACAATGTTGTTATAGTGGTGCATCAAAATAACAATATTGAAAATAAGTGTGGTAACGTATATTTATTGGGCGCATATACCATCAAAATAACAATATTACAAATAAGTGTGGTAACGTATATTTATTGGGCGTATATACCATCAAAATAACAATATTGAAAATAAGTGTGGTAACGTATATTTATTGGGCGCATATACCATCAAAATAACAATATTGAAAATAAGTGTGGTAACGTATATTTATTGGGCGCATATACCATCAAAATAACAATATTACAAATAAGTGTAGTGACATATTGGGCACATATAATGCATGTTCTGAGGGGAAAGAGAGACAGAGCACCCTCAGGTACCCAAGCTAATGATGATAATTTAGTACATGTGAGGTTTATATTGGGGCCCCCTATAGGGTTGAATTACTAACCCTCCTAGGATGCAACCCCACAACAAGCTGACTAATTCCTGAGTACCTATTTACTGCTAGGTGAACAGGAGCATGAGGTGATAAGAAAATGTGCCCAACCATTTCTGTGTCGTCCCGGGATTCGAACCCAGAATTCTCTATTGCAAGTCGAGAACAAACTCGACCACTACCAGGACCTTCTGTACAGACGAACTCGACTGTACTGCCAGGATAATACAGTACCGTATATTGTGAAATATATGGAACTTACATCAACAAGGGTTTATGTTATGCAACAATACAAGAGTGTTTTAAACTGATGTGCTTTAAAACACAGTATACTAAAAATGTCATATTTGAAAATGATTGAAATACATCCTTAGGCAAGAACATTATAATGTAGTGTAAGAACAACCTGAACTGATTGTCAATGTCAAATTACAAATCATATTCGGATAAATATATATTTATAACTTGTACTGTCAACATCCTCCTACCACCGTAACCGGCGGTGGGAAATGGCTCTGGCGAGGTTATGTATTGGTCATACCCGTATAACTCACAAGCACATAATGGACCTCTGCCCTGCTCCTTATTGTCCAAACTGCATTGTCCCTCTTACAGTTGTGCATATCCTTGTTGAATGTCCTGACTTCTAGGATGTGCGTGCGTCTTGCTTCCCGACGGTCCCTCACGGTCACCTGTTCCTCAATAGAATCCTTAGTGAAACGGATACCTTTGATGTTGTTCACCTTGTACGCTTTTGTTCTCGTATTGGCATCTTTAGTGATATTTAGCACCTTTTGAATATCCTGCATACTTGACGGTGCTACATAGCCTCCCTGGCTTGGTGCCTTCTTTTGATAATTAGTTACTGTACTTGTACCATCAACAGTTAACAAGTGTAGCTTAGTTAGATCACTGTAGCATAGTCTTGAATTGTTTAAGACATGGTTTATAGGGAGTATTGAAGTGAGTGTTGATGGTAGCAGTAATAGAGGCCAATCAGTGTTGCACCTCCCAAGTCTAGCCTGTAGGTAGAGTCGAGAGGTGGAACTCGGAAGTTACTGACTTTAATTTTCTAAACTTTTCAGGAATGAATCTCATTAATTCTTGTAAGTGTGCGCAACATGTAAACAGTGGCTTGCATTTGACAACTCCAATTTTTTAAAAGTAGACTGAAAAAATATTAAAATTGGATTCCTTGACTGCGTAATAAATTTACCTGAAGTTTCTAATACAAAAGAGCATTTGTACTGGGACTTAAGACAAGACACAGTTATAGGTTAAAACCATGTATGGTGTATATATTTTTTTGCAAATATATCTTAATAAGTAGTTCGATGCCAAAATGGCCTTATCTGTGACTTTTCGGTCACGTAAACATTACAACATCGTTGTCTGCATAACAACAACTTGGTTTAATTATGCCTACTTATACGTGAAACTTTGTCCACCTA